TTAACCAAAATGAATCTTATATCAAGACATCTACACTCAGTTATTTTCCCTATTAATGAGTGTCCCACAGGCAAATGAGAAAATACAGAGAAGTTGTGAAGAAAGGGTTTGGAATTTATGGATAATCTGATGTTCCTGACTCTCCCATTAGTGATACATTTGGACTAAATCACCTCCTGCTGCTGGAGACCAGAGGCCTTCTGGTTGTCCTTCTCTCCAATCTCTCCTGGTTGTATTGTTACTAATTGGCTCCACTGGTGCCCATGTTTGTGCTCCTGTATGGCATGGCATTACCCACACACCTCTGCGTGGAGCTCGTGCCATCTGCCCAGACTCACACCTACAGGTGCCGGCTGTTCTGATCACTGCCTTTGCTTCTACTTCCTATTAACCATGATTAGTCTCATCTGGAAAGACCTCTATATATGGGCATGTTTGTGGCACTGAAAAAATTATACAAACTTGTGTCAGAAGCACAAGTTTGTATAAGGCAGCATTGTTTGTATAAGGCGGGATTGAGTGAATACATTTCTACAGAGAATGTTCAATAGAATAAGTTTATTTAGTAGAATTCCTTGGAGGCATGCGTGTGTTTATCCTTCTTTGGAAAGTGCCGTACGGTTGAGTCCTATGCTCATATCCTAAACCAAATGTCTCAAATGTGTTTGAGTTTCAGGAAGACTATTGCAATGCTGACCTCTAGTGGTGTTAAATACACCAGACCTGAACGTCCCAACCTTGTATATTAAACTATTCACAAATGAGGGTGGTGGCAGCCTGATCTTACCACACCATCATACAAGGAAATGATAATTGAGTTTATGGATGACTGAGGCCAGAAAAGGGAGTTAGAAGGAATAATCTACACAGCACATTTAAAACTGAAGTTCTATTTGAATATCCAACCAGGAACGCCCCTTTCACCTCTTCAGGAGGCCTAACACCAATTGGCTACACACCTAAGGAATATCGATATCACAGTTCAAATATCAAGCACACAATTTAAAGTTAAAGAAGTATAACTTTATTTACGTGTAAACATAAACAAACAAAACTGCATAGGAAATGTTTAAAGTCCAGAGAGTAAAGGAATAGAAGCAGGTGGCCAAAATATTATTGTCTCCTCTGCCTTATTTAGAGTAGAGACTTGACATTTGTGCTTTCCCCAGAGCCGTGTGCTGGCTGTGGATGAGGGGCATGTGCTGGCTCGCACTGGTCAGTGGATACAGACACTGCCCGGGGGAAAGCACCAGCAGCACCATCTAAACTCAGCCCTGGCCACACTGCACCTCCCTCCTCTTAGGACTGTGAGGAGATACATTCAGTGGATTTCTGCTCGGACAACACAGATGCAGCGCACACATAACCCACACTAAACTTAAAACAGTGTCAACAGGTCATCATCACAAGAGGAGCATGTGCCAGAGTGCCTTGGACACCTGGACACTGCCCACTCGCACAGAGGCCTGTCCATGTGTGCAGCAACAAGAGCTCATGAAACCCTTTTCTTCACAAAATACATTCTTAAAGAATTCATGAGCATCAAGTGGTGTTCTGAATTTGTACTTATGGTAGAAAAAACACTGGGGGGGAATCAAGGAAACTAATCAACTAACATCAAAGTTTGGGAAATAATCTTTTATGTAAATGGACAGACTAGTACAGGGAATAAACACTACAATTTCACTATAGGACACAAGTTTTAATGAGACACCTGCAGGGCAGGGCAACCGAGATCTACCTGAGTTTTATTTACTTATTCAACTTTGTTTTTGAGCATACAATCATAAGACCTTGCACACATAACCTGGTGCAGTTTGCTTTACTTAAAGCCATGAGCGATGAAATAAAATTATGGACAAAGCTGAGAGGCCATCACCACCTTTCTGATCAAAACCCCAAAGACAGGCTGATTGAGTGTGTGATGGAATTACATTGCAGTCCAACTCAGCATAAACAAGTTCAATTGTATATTCAAAGAAAGTTTGAACAGGTTTTAGAACATACAGTGAATGAAGGTGAATGGTCGCCATGGTAACTACTCCTAATATGCACATTTTACTTAAGCACTAATGGTAAAGGACCTTATGCATGTATCCAAACCCTGCCGTCATGAGGCATGTGCTCTGCAGAGTCTCAAGAGAAGAGGAAATACAATCGCAAAGGTCAAGGTTAAATCCATCCAACACTAACACACACATCTTTGGGTAAATAATTTGGTACAACCATTCCAAAAGCCAGCTTCTCACCCCATCAGTTTAACACCCATCAAAGAGACATCATTATACAAGGACTTTTCAAAGCATGCAAAATATGGAACAAACAATGTTTAAAATATATTTTTTCTCTTTAAGAGTGAAGACCTAAAGATCTTAAAGATAGAATTATGTAATCTTAAAAAAAATGCAAACATGAATGACGAGGTAATACTGAAATCAACAAACATGTTCTGATCAAAGCAGCAGAATGAGGTTCACTGTGTGCAGGGCACAAAGCAATGTTTCTCTTACAACATAGATGTTTATTCCTGTTTAAATGTAATTAGTTACAGTATTGTGCTGAAAGTTATTCTAATGGCTCTGCCTTTTTTTATTACAGAGGCTCTGCAAACAGTAACAATAGAATAATGAGGTCTGTACGGTTATTATGAGGTCACAATATCAAGGGCCCAGCCCTTTAGGTGCATCTGAACAGACACCAGTGTACCCCAGCGCTGATTCATCACATGAGAACTGCCCAGTGACACCTGTGTGTAGTCAGGGTTCAAATGCCAACACTGTTTGGCACAGCACTCGCACAGATCATTTTGGCACAGCGCTCAAAACTGAAAATATTTGGTTTGTTAATGATAAAAGGCAAAGTTAACAGGCAAATGTTAACACAACTGAGCACAATACAAGTTCACAGAATGAAGGGATGATGCCTGAAACAGTACCATGATCTTTGGTCCAAGAGATTTGAAACATGTACTGCACTGCTGTAAGATTAACACAATGAGGTATATTTGTAAAACATAAATAGCCTGATGAGGTGTGCATAAATAAAAGTACAACTGAGGTATAAAGAATGAGGTATATGAAACACATTTAACATGTTCAAATGTTGCCGCAGCAGCTCTGTGTGAGTCTATTTGAGGTATTCAGTTACAGGAGGTCGCTGATAGACTGCTGAAGTCTGGGTGGCTGGGATATGAGGATGCTGATCCCAGTCATGTGCAAACAGGCCTTTCCCAACTACTGGAGGCCCATTGGAAACTTTTCATAGGTCCCAAGATTCCTTGCAAAAATCATAAAGGAGGAATTGTCTAGTGCTTTGTACAGAATTTAACAAAACAAATTGTGAGTGACCCCCACAGTAAAAATGTGAGGGTAAGATTAGTTACTTCTGCAAATATTTATCATTAGATCAGATTTATTAGACAGTTTCTTCTCAGAACCTACAGATGTTTATTTCTTGAAACAGTCCAATGGAAAAAGTAGATAAGAGGCTCTCTTTGGTTAGATGTCCTCTGTTGATACTATTTCAGTACCTAATTCAACAACTGAACGGCCTGATGTTTCAGACTGAAAGTCTACTCAAACTATCACTATGATTACTGTAAAAATTATTTCTAGTTGATTTCCAAATATAAATTTGGCCATTGTGCAGAAATCTTAGCTTTGGTTGAATCCAGACGTCCCGTGTTAAAACAGAAGCGGCCACTTCTGCTCTTTGCATGAAACATGAAGTAGGGTTAGGACAGCTGCCTGCTGCACGAGCCGCACTGATATTACAACAGGAGCAACTTAACAGGCAAAAGGCCAAAAGTGATTTTTGGGCCTATAGAAGGAGAGGTCCCTGGACATGTTTTTATTATTTATTATTTATTTATTATCACTAAATTTGAGGCTTTTGTCACACAAGGTTCCTCAAAATAATACAATATATTTCCAATCTGATTGAATATCAAACAAGACCACGCATTACTCCTGGATAGTTCATCTCGATTTTAGATATATTTTCTTATCCGGAGAAAATGCATTTGTGCATATTCGTATTGCATTTAAGCTGTTTTAGCTGTTTAAGTGACTTCAAAATATACATAGTGTTAAGTTAATCTTGGGGTAATTTAAGGAATTAGGAACATTCTAATGTTTGTTTAAATAATCTTCAAATGGGGACACTTTTATTGAACAATTTTTGCTCATAATAAATTCATCTAGCATAGCAACATCATTTATCTAAGATTATAAAACAGCAAAGCTGTGGGTGGGGACAGAAATGGACGGTGATATCTTTCAGCCCTTCATGACCTGAGCTCATTTAAGATTCTAGTTTGGCATTGTTCTACACCTTCTCTCTACAGCCAAAACCTCCTCAAATCATTGAGGCAGATAAATTTTATGCGCAACGCAAAAAAAAAAAAAAAGTTTAAAAAGGAAACCTTTTTCTCTCCCAACAAAGCCTTCTAATAATTATCATGCAGCCTCTACAGCGACTGAGTATTGTCTCAGCAACAACATTCAGGAGGTTCCAAGTTACTCATTTATGCACAGCAATATTCCATTAATCCTGTGCAAATTTCAACTGAACTTTTGTCTCTCTTAAATAGTATAGACGTTTTCTTCTTTGTAAAACTTCACGGACTAAACCTCTGCTCGGTGACTTTACATTCATAAAGAGATAATAAATGAGGTAGGTATGGAGCAGAGGATACAAGATTTCAAGAAAAGAGAAAATCCCTGAGATTAAACCTAAGGAGAGTGTACAGCGAGGATTCAGGGACATTTGTGAGGAAAGAAAATGGCTCTGTTTAGACTGATTATCCTTTTGTCATTTTGACACTTGATTATAAAAAGTCAGTGTAAAGGCTCTGGCCTCTGTATAAAACGTGCCTCACTAAGCATGCCCTGAATCATGGCTGCGCTCTCCTTATGTCTACTGATTCATTCTCTGTCTTTTTTTTCCTTCACCAGAAGCTGAAAGGCAAAACAGAAGAAGAGAATGTACAAAGAAAAATTTTAGAATTTGAGAATACGGTTATTTCCAAAATCTACAACTACAATGACTCCATCAGGTGTCACCGCCACACCAGAGGGCCGGTCCATCTGCCCAAAGCCACCCCCCTGTGTGCCAAATTTGCATAAGAAGTTTCCATTGGGTTCAAACACTTGTATGCGATGATTGCGGGAGTCTGCCACGATGATGCGGTTCTCTTGGTCCACGGCAACGCCCTGGGGCCTGAGAAACTGGCCGTTCCCTGTGCCCTCAGAGCCCAGGAAGCGGGCGGACTGGCAGTCGGGTCGAATCACCAGGAGGCGGTGGTTGTTGAAGTCGGTTACCACCAGATGATCCTCGTGGTTGAAGGCCACTCCTCTGGGAGAGTCAAAGTGTTTCCACAGAGCTCCCTCGAAGCCGTACTTGTTGAGGAACATGCCGTCATGGGCGAAGAGCTGCACGCGGTGGTTCCTGGTATCGGACACGAGGATCTTACCCTCCGAATTGACAGCCACATCCCACGGATAGTTGAACTGCCCGTTCTTGGTGCCTTTTTCTCCAAACTTTAATAGGAACTGACCCTCAAAAGTAAACACCTGTCAAAGGAAGCAAATGCATTCAAGTTATTAGTGTTTCGAATGTGGTGTGCAGCACAGAGGCATGTGGAGCTCTTGTTTATCCGTCCATGTAGTGTTTATACGTTCCACCAACCCAACACTGAACAGCTGGGGCGAACGCTTATGTTGGATGTATGTATTACATAAGTGTCATTACAATGATCTTGAGACATACCTGAACACGGTGATTGTCTTTATCAGCCACGATGATTCGCCGCTGAATGTCACAAGCGACCCCAGCTGGACGATCAAACTGACCAGGGCGAGAGCCAAGAGAACCAAACTTATGGTGGAATGCGCCACAAGGCTTGAATATCTGGGGAATATAAAATGTATACATAAGTACAATAGCTTTTATATACATCGCCAATATATTTTGCATGAACACTTAGAAGACATATTACACTTTTGTTATGTACACCGGTATTCAGAAACAATGTGTACTGTGTGTACCACACCTGTCAATGGCCCAACCATAAAAACAATACCACAATGAAAGCTTTAAATATGCAGATTATGTCTGCAAGGACGGTTGGTTACCTGTATACGATTGTTGCTCCGATCTGCCACCACAACATAGCCTTCCTTGTCCACACTGATGCCCCAGGGCCGGCACAGCTCACCGTCTCCTTCCCCCTCACAGCCGAACGCAGACACCTGTGCTCCCAGAGAGCCGTAGCAACGGCCCGACTTCACCAGCAACTTGAAAGGGCTCCCCTGGATGTGCTGGTTACACACCAGCACAGACACCAGGTGCTCGCCCTCACATTTGGGCAGATAGCTCACAGTGTAGGAGCCGTTAAGGTGGTCCGTCACCTCGGCAGCAGACAGGGTTCCATCAGCTACAGCCATGACGATGGCAGAAACTGCATCCCCACCAGACAGACGCGGCTCTCCGTCATGATCATATCCAATAACAGTGAAGGAGGCAGGCTTGCCTCGGAGCGCACTTTTCAAACCCTCGCCATGGGCTTTAGTAACTGGAGCAAATGCTCCACTGCTGATCAGACCCATTGCCTGGATGGCGATGTAGAGAGCCTGTAGGGTAAAGAAAGAGGTTTATGTCATTTCTTCATTCAAACTGAAGGATGCATGCAATAAAAGATCAGTATTTACTTGATCTGGGGGAGTGAACATGAAGCGGTCATCCTCCTGCGGCTGAAGCAGGCCTCTCAGGGCCTTCAGCTCGTGGATTTGAGAAAGCATGCGTTCTCTTGCCAGCATTACATCAAGATGGCGTCCTTCATCCAGCACTTGACTGACCGCTGCAATAGTGCTGTCCAGTTTGGTTAAACTTTGGTGTAACTTTTCCACTTGTAGGTACAATGACTTGGCCTTCACCTGACGAATCTTCTCTATCTAAAAGTTGAGAAAGGGGATTTTAGATTATATTACAAAAAGCTTTATATAGCATCTGGTCAGTTTTCAATAGACTTTGTCTGCTTATATAATGTATTAAAACATGTTTTCAATAACATTATTTTAACTAGTTGTGGTTGCATAGAGTGCCACAAGGTGGCAGTAACAAGGTAGTGTATTTTCAGCACAAAACTGTAAAAATGACATTCATCCCATACAGACTCACACTGACAAAACAGTGAGTAAAGCATTTTCATAGTTTACCTGAAAAAATGTAGAAACACAACACCTGACTAAATGATTTTAGTAAAATTTAAGCTAAATGTATATTATTTAAGTCCTGAAAACGATCCATTCTCTCTGTTGTTTGTGTAAATATGGTGGCGCTGGTGAACCCCAGGTCTTGGGCTATGGCTATCAGACTCTTATGCAAACACTGGTATAGCCATCTTTTATAAGCTTGTTTGTATTTTTTTGTGAGTCTCATCTTTTAGTTTCTGTCTTAGTTTCTTGTTCTGTCTTTTATAGTGTGGACCTAGAGTACAAATAAAGAAATAATAATTTATATATAGGAATAATTGCAGCAATCTCGTGTCTGTTACCTTCCACAGTAGTTCACACTCCCGTTCCTCGAGCGCTTTCTTATGTCTCAGCACCAGGGCCTTCACTTCAGTCTGCACCACCTTAGCCTTGATCTCCACCTGCTCGGCCATGGACTGCACCTTCTCCATGCTCAGCTGTGGAACACACACATTATGAGATCAGGAGCGTTCAGGCCAAACAATGAGACTGAAGAGAGGCTGCAGTACACACGCTCCTTCAGCAAATGGCGCTGTTGTGAAAACTTACCTCCTGTTTACAACTGAGAACCTAAGATCATTTGGAAGCAAGTACTACTAAATAATTTGCTATGGGAGGCGTAGTGTGCCGTGAAATATGAAAATAAAATAGAAACACAAATTGACAAATCAATTGTGGGCAAATTAATTCAGAAAAATAACAATAACTTCTATTACATAAATATGTAAAAATACTAAATTTCTTTATTGTCTTTAACCCAAAACCATCATTGTTGTGAAAATTCTTTAATAGAAATTTTAGTTAGCATCTTCAAATTTTTGTTCGCATCTTCATTTGTAACAACCTAAACAGAGATTAAGAAATATGACAATTACTTAAGCTAGGAATTAACTTTGCAATTAGAAAGAACAGCTTTGAAGAACACATGAGATGCATTTGTGAGTTTTATGTGGGCTTTCCTCTGCCTTTTGGGAGGTCATGGGTTGACAAAGACCTCACAAGGACAGAGGAGAAAGACTAAGGCCATGTTGCTGATATCGGCCAAAGGGATCATAGGTCGGCTAAACCTCCACAGGTCATGATCCGCAGCCTCCGTCTTTCAGACCCCCACAAAGCAGAGCAGCAGGCCCCTTCACAATGAGAGGCAGCCTGCTGCTGGAGCTCTAAATCAGGCACGTACGCATCAGTGCAGTAAGGACGTGTGCAAGACACATGCTTTTCGGACTAAATGCTTGAGTTGAGGAACAAGACCATTGAATGAACTATGAAAAATTAACTGCTGTGATTTTTAAATCACTTTGAGTCAGCTTGTGTATTTCCAGAGTTTTAATCAAGATCTATTCAGACCTATGAATTTGTTTGTACAATTTTGTTATTTAAAAAAATATTTTCAACATTACTAGTTTTTTTTTTTTTTTTAAACTCAACTCACATGTGACTTATATTTCACCATGTGTTTGAATTTAGGATTGGAGTTAAGGTTAGAATTTTTTATAAGCTATGACTTTGGGACTTGTAACAGGGAGAAATGTCTGCAAAGACAACAGCAGGTCAGAGGATGTTTGTGGAGGTTTCATGCTCTTTGCAAAGTGAAGAACTGCAGCACGAAAAGATTTGGAAAAATCCAGCTGTTTCTTAATGTTGATCATGTGGCCGTTTACCACAGCGTGAGGAGGACGAGGGATGAGACGCTGCACTAACAAGCAGCTGACTACAGGTACAGCTACAACAGCAACATAATGGACATAGCTTATCCTGTGGGTTCCAACAACAAAAAGACAGATGCTCAGGGGTCATTTAGATTTTACAGACATCCCTACAATAAAACTACATAATGGGGCTAAAGAAAAGGCTGAGCAGTCATGCATTTCCGGTTTAAATGACCCTCATCACAGTCAAAGTGAAATATATAAAGGCTTTATAATGATGATGATTGGCTCACAGAAAACTGAAAATAAATTAAAATAAATATTTTGAAACTGGACTGTAAGCCATAGTTGTCAAAATATATACTTGGCTAAACCTATATATCTATCTGTCATATACTGGTTTTGCGGTGGAATTAACCTTTGTTTTGACAATTTGATTAATCAATTACTTGGCTGGTTATTAATCTTTCGATTAAAGATCAGTGAATATGGGATTTGTTTAAACATTTGACCAAAATAAAGTCAAGTGATGTCTTTGGAGAACCGCTTTATAGAGAGGACATTTAACACATTGTTTATCAAGTATTTTAAATCGAAATAACCCAAATTTTTATTTCATATTGCTGTCCTTATTGAATTGGCAGTCATAGAACTTCATCTCAGGATATTCCAGTCTTTGTAAAGTTAAAAAAACATGAATCAGTTCATTTGTTGAAAACTATTTAAATGATTGTCAGTTGTTACAGCCCTAGTGTTTTTATAGAAAACTCAATGCACAAAAGAAAAAGAAAAAAAAAAGTCAGCCCAACCCACAAGCCTATCTAATTGACACATCCCATAATATAGCTTTCATCAATACAATAACGCCCCTGGAGGACTGGGGAATGCAGAAGACAGGGGGCACAAAAGACCAATCAGAAAGCCCAGCGGAAGAGGTGTGGCAAAGCAGTAGGTCATAAGTCCGGGGTCAGAGGTGCTGCTAGATAATGGATATGGAGCGGGCGGAAATTTCCTACCTCAGGGGACAGGACTGTGTGTTTGTATACTATCTGGCGTCAGCATTTACCCCAGTGTGACCAATGACAAACACATATGGCCATCTGGCAGGAATCTCTCTCCTTGGCTCTTTGCTATGATCATGTGATAGTTAGCCTTTTGATTTATATGTAATAAAATATTATTCTGCCTATGCTTAAGACAATAATATTCAGTGAAGCAAAAGGTTAAAGTGAGAAAGAGAGATGAGATCAAATTGACGACGAGATCCCAGTGAGTCACATGACCCCAGTTGCTACCAGCTAATGTTTCATGATTCTGCAGCAAGGTCACACCACAGCCACACCTTCTCTGTAAATTACTGACATGGTTTAGTTGTGCAAGCATACAGCACATTTAAAGTATAATTTGGAAACTATTGTTGTCCAAAACCAGATTAGAACATCCTAAAATGGATAGTATTTTCAGACTAAACTATTTGATTAAAGTGAGACATCTAGGCCGATTCAAGATAAAGATTACACAGATCACACAGATCACAAAGCACTTCAATGCATTTGGAGCCAATAAACACAGAAGTTAATGTATAACTACAAAAGCATTACCACTCCATTCCGAGTTGATCATTTGTAAACAAAGTTATAAATATATCAGCATGTGGTGAATGCTGTTAAATATTGCATGTATGTATAAAAATGCACGTGTAGCTTAATCTTTAGCTTCCATACCAGTACTCATTCAGTCCATTTTGACAAAAAAGGAGGGCGCTATGGCAATTAAAACTTAAAGATAATAAGTCCATAAACAGCCCAACTCCTTCATAATAGGAATACACATATTGGCCGCATTGGTTTATAGACTGCGGGGTTCAAAGAACTTTAAATTAGTAGTGGCTTATATTACGATAATCGTAAAGTAAACAAAATATCCCTGTTCAAAAAACTCGATTAGTTGTGATTGATCAATAGATGTCAAAACATTTCACACCCATTTACCTTAAAATATAATGATAAACATAGGGCAGTCCGACCAAGACCTGATTTAGCTGTAATTTAAATCCAGATGAGACCAGTTGTAAGTCTAACGGAAGGGTAAACATCTAATACTAGTGAAAAGTTTAATAACTACTACCTTTATCCGCTCTCACCTCACTCACTACATGTTTTTAATTTGAGCTATATTGTTTAAATGTATTGAAAAGGTGCAGCGTAAGAAACTAGTTCCATCATTGCGTAACACAAAGTCACATCTGGTGCATTTGCATATAATCAAAGGTACCATTTCAAACAGTGGGGATCCTTTCACTACAGTATAGTGAAAAACAGAGGGGGGTCTGTCGAGCTACCATCCAATCTATAATCATTGAAATGAAGTGAGGCTTGGGCTTGTGTGTGGCTGTGTGCATGGTGAGTAATGGCAGGGATCAGCTGAATAGGTATGCACATGTTCTGGAAGGAGAAAACAGTTTCACGTCAAAAGTATTTTTCCCCCATTTTCTGAAATGCTTTAAATACCTCTTTAACCCTCCCCCAATCCCCTCTCCACTCCTCTTCCCCTCTGACCTTCAGCACTGCCCCCAGCCAGACCTCACCCTGAGTGACCCACCCCCGCTCCAGGCCAGCTGGACAAACCCAGGGCTGTGTTGCTACCCTCTTCATTTACTTCTGTAGAATACATTGTTGAATTGTTTTGTTAATTGAGATAAAGACGTCACTTTTGCCTCACCTGCACAGCCTGCCTCCCCTGCTGAGCATCTGCCAGCAGCTGGATGGTGATGGCTCTGCAGTCTTGGACCGCATCCTGAAGGTACACAAATGTGTGGCCCATATGACGGCCCACACTGCACTCCCGGCAGATTGGCACAGAGCACGATTCGCAGAAGAACAGGAACACCTGTGGAGAAAAATACAACCTTGGTTAGTTCCAAAGTGTGTATGCAATCGTGTGTCACGAAAAGACAAGACAGCCGCGATTGCACCAGTAAAGTGGGTCATTTGAGAGTCCCCCCAGATAAAACAAAGACAGACAAGGCTTTTTATGATTTGTATGAATGTAATGGTAATAATAACATAAAAATGTCATCACTTGAGATATAAATGTGGACCAGAACAAATACGTGCTGTTCTGCAGATAAAAATGTTTAGCGGTAATACAGATATAACAAGGGTCCACAGAACAAAATATACAGGTCAGATTTTACCCAAAGAAAAGTTGTGAAGAACGGCAGTACATTTTGATGAGTAACAATACTTCTATTTTTATGTAACACTAATTTCATATGCACTGGTGATCATAGATCAATGACCCACAATACAAGGAGAGCTTCCATTGAACGGGGAGGAACCTTCCAATCAATCCATCAATAATGGCTATCCCCTGGGGAGTGGCATAATCTAATGAGAAACACACAGAGAGACACTTCCCCTTGATTGCACCTTATGGCACTCGCTCTAAAAACCCTCTTGGAGCCCATTCTTTCTCTTCTCTGGCTTTCTGCAGACTTTCCTTTTGTGGCGTCGGTGGACTTCTGTCACACATCCATCCCCCATCTGCACATCCTGAATTCCAAGGGGACAGATCACACAATAGCCAAGAATGCAGCTGGACAGAAGTGGTGACACTGATGGACGCAAAGGGTGGCACTTTGAAGTGACGTACACGCAATGCAAGAGTGTGTAATTTCAAGTTTTTATTTGACAATTTTGACCAAAGTTTGGTTAACAATATATTTAACTTTTTTTCAAACCCTAGAACTCAAGAGAAGGACAAATTGCTCAAAAACAGTGAAAATAGGTCATGCCAATTAAGCATGTCAACTTTTATTGCACACCACCTGCCACCAACAGCGGCCTGTGCCTGGCGAGAAGCAATTCATTGCCTTCACCGTATTGCCCTAAATTCTGTGAGAACTAGTTTCCAGTAATCCTACAGGAAACTAGTCCCCATTATCTGCAGTGTTTCCCACACATAGACTAATCTGTGGCGCACCGCCACAGATTAGAGACCGCCCGCCACAAATTGCGTTTCGTATTATTATATATATATTTTTTTTGTTACGCTATTTAAAACATGCATCGTCTAGTGCCGCCGCAGCGGTCAATTTGACAGCGGGGAGGGGGGTTTAAAATGTGGCGGCCCTTCGTAACTCTCACTCAAGCTACGCGTCTCTCCCACATACAGAGACCTACACACACACAGCCCCTCCCCTTCGTGCACACACACCGCGTGTCTCCGTCTCCATCAGCGATCATCGCTGTAAGCAGCTGTGTCTATTAATTTACCGCGGTAAAGTGGCCCGCATCTTTCAGCTCTATGAACATGCGGCCCGCATCGGGGAAAAGACGGTGCGCGTTTTGTTGAGAACTTACGGTAACAGCGGAACGTCCTTTCGGAGTCACCCATTTTTATCGAACAGAAAGCGCGCTGGGGTCAGGGAGACACGTTTTTGTGATTAAAACCTTATAGAGATGCCACCCGGCACACATAGCACCAGCCCCCTACGATTCCTCCGGCAGATTGTGAGTCCTCAGGAGGATAGCCACTCTATTGTTTACATGTATAAAGTACACAATTTGGTCCGCTAGTGCAATTTTCAAGTATTGTAACTATTTACTGGAATAAGGTGTGCGACTAATTTCACTTGACTCATGACCTTATTATTGCCCTCTGCCACTGTACCAAAGACCAGAAACTTTTACTGTAGAAATATTGAGGTAAAGTAGCCATTTTGGTCCAAAATACCTCCAAAATAGTCAAAACATGTCACTTTTGATCTACTGTAACTTTTTACTGTAAAAAGGTGTGCGACTAATTTCACTGGATTCATGACCTCAAGATTGTCCTCTACCACTGTACCAAAGACCAGACACTTTTACTGTAGAAATATTGAGAAATATTGATTTAAAGTAGCCATTTTGGTCAAATAGCCTAAAAATGGTCAAAACATGTCACATTTGATCTACTGTAACTTTTCACTGTAAAAAGGTGTGCAACTGATTTCACTGATTCATGACCTCAACATTGCCTTCTACCACTGTACCAAAGACCAGACACTTTTACTGTAGAAATATTGAGAAATATTGAGGTAAAGTAGCCATTTTGGTCCAAAATACCTCCAAAATAGTCAAAACATGTCACTTTTGATCTACTGTAACTTTTTACTGTAAAAAGGTGTGCGACTTAATTTCACTGGATTCACGACCTCATGATTGCCCTCTACCACTGTACCAAAGACCAGAAACTTTTACTGTAGAAATATTGATTTAAAGCAGCCATTTTGGTCCAAAATAGCCTAAAAATTGTCAAAACATGTCACTTTTGATCTGCTGTAACTCATTACTGTAAAAAGGTGTGCGACTAATTTCACTGGATTCATGACCTCAAGATTGTTCCCCCCCCCCGCCGACGACCACCACACATTGCCTTCAAACCTGTGGGAAACACTGATCTGCATTACCTTTGATGGCTGTCACAATATACAAATGGTCCTAACTGGAGGAGTTACGTTGGCAACATTCATAATGAGAGTCAAATAGCGAACAAAGTGTGGAAGCCGATGGACACTTGAACAGACCCCTAATGGTGCCATCAGGCAGATTATGGTGAAACGACAAAGAAAACACAAAGGTGCCACGGTGGGGCAGCTGCGGCTGTAATGTGCTACACAACCACATTGACGAAATGTTCTATGTAAATACACTACCATAAAAGCTGTGCATTAACGTGGTACTCTTAAATAGCAGGCCATTGGAGATTTGACCACGATTCCAAACCAACTTTTCGTCATATGCTTGAATATTCTTTAATATAAATGAGACTTTGCATTGTCAGGTGTAAATGACAGTCGTCAAGCACAAGCATTCCCCTCCTAAAATGGCGGCAGCCGTTGCTAGGGCAAGTGTCCCGGTTGCTCATGTCAGTGTGAGAAGGTGCATTAGAACGTTTCACTGTGCTCCCTCGTCTTCTCTCCTTGTATCACTCATCTCAGATATAGGGATAGTCTTAGCCCCACATAAGAGCCTTTAATTTGGACATTTACATGACTGACTTTTGTTTACAAATGAAACATTAGTTATTTCAGTTATTTCAGTTATAGACATTATAACGCGATCAAGAAAGATCATTAATGCTATTGATTTTTTATGTTTGACACCTGACTTTAGTTTACGGGTACAAATGATGAATGTTACAGCTGATAAAAATGTGTTATTGCACTTGAGTTTATTTCGGCAAATAACATAAATAACAATTGTGTAATGGTTTTCTTTATCTGATAATCTGGTTTTTCTTTTACACTCCAAAATAGACCAAGAAATACTTTTGACCTGCATCGTGCCCTCGTTTACAGGTAAACCAGCATTAAAGTGCCTTATAATCCGGTGCGCCTTATTCATAAAATAAACACAATCATCAATAATCCACTCTTTTAATGACTATGTCTGACTCAGACAAATCTTAGTCAGCAATAATAATAAAAAGGTTTTATGTATGTTTTCAGTGTATAAATTTAATAAACAAAAGAATACATTCTGAGACTAATAATGCACACTCAATGTGTTGATCGTGTTTTGAAAACATCACACATATTGATTACTTGAAGTATATTTCCTCACAGTTCTGACAGGGAAAACACACAGTTGTGATTTATCACATTTCGACAGTGGAGCATCAGTGAGTGTGTTTTACATGAAACAAATATTTTCTAAACCTTTATCTACCTCTTCGAAAAGAGATAATCATCCAAAAACCATAACAAGGCATATGTCGTTTTGCATGTAATTAATCTATCATGTATATTGTGTTTGCAATTTAGGTTGAATTACAGAAATGAATTCAGTTTTGAAGAATATTATAATTGTTTCACCTGTGATCTACCTGTAAAGCATTGATTTTTGTTTAATCCAACTGCTTCAAAATGTTTATCTAATAGCAGAACACTATTAATGAGCAGAGATTTTGCCTTAACACTCCTGCCCCTGCAAAAGCATTTAATAAAATGACACAACATCCTACATAAAAAGAAATCCCTCAAAGCTCTGTATGTACTCCTTACAATGTGTTTGTTCCAGTCATATGTAAGCCTGTGTGGGCTTTGTAGATGACCACCTTGCGTGTCTGTACCCGCAGAGTAAAGCATCTCTTGTTGGTGGAGCCATGGGGCTTTCCACCACGGCCTGAAAATCCTAATCCCAGCTCCATCCCTGTGTGGATCCGAGCCATGGGGGCCTTCATGAGCCCCTTCAACCCACTGGCAGCTCTCAGACTCGCTGGGCCCCTGGGTTCGTACATGTTTCTATGAAGTGTAGTCTTTTCATTCCTCTCAGGAGGTAACTCGACAATCTGTCTCCATTTAGTGCAGCCGTGATTTAATTATCCAAGATTCAGTTCAGAGTACCATTTCAATGCAGATTATTCAATTTTCATTCATATAACTATTGGTTTGATAGAATTGCTGACATTTACACAGATCTTTACGATCTCTGATAGGGCTGCACAATTAATCACAATTAAAGCAAAATCATAATCTTTTTTAACAATCCGGCAATCCCCATGTTTAGAACCTAGAGACAGGCTTAGAAATACAAGGATAACTGCAAATGTAAAAAATATGTTAATAAGAGCTTACGGTAGGTGAGTTACTGTTTTATCTGTTAATGGAAAGGTGAGTCCAGTCTTATCTCAGTAGTAAACTCCATGGGATTTTAAGTGAGAAGTTGTTGTGAAAATAGAGTAATTTTCAAACCATTTTTGCAGCTGATATGTACAGTAGTATCACACCTTTCATGCTGCTAACATGTACAGTAGAATCACACCCTCATGCTGCTAACATATACAGTAGAATCACACCCTCATGCTGCTAACATGTACAGTAGAATCACACCCTCATGCTGCTAACATGTACAGTAGTATCACACCCTCATGCTGCTAACATGTACAGTAGTATCACACCCTCATGCTGCTAACATGTACAGTAGAATCACACCCTCATACTGCTAACATGTACAGTAGCATCCCACCCTCATGCTGCTAACATGTACAGTAGTATCACACCCTCATGCTGCTAACATGTACAGTAGTATCACACCCTCATGCTGCTAACATATACAGTAGTATCACACCCTCATGCTGCTAACATATACAGTAGTATCACACCCTCATGCTGCTAACATGTACAGTAGAATCACACCCTCATGCTGCTAACATGTACAGTAGTATCACACCCTCATGCTGCTAACATATACAGTAGAATCACACCCTCATGCTGCTAACATGTACAGTAGTATCACACTCTCATGCTGCTAACATGTACAGTAGAATCACACCCTCATGCTGCTAACATATACAGTAGTATCACACTCTCATGCTGCTAACATATACAGTAGAATCACACCCTCATGCTGCTAACATGTACAGTAGTATCACACCCTCATGCTGCTAACATGTACAGTAGTATCACACTCTCATGCTGCTAACATGTACAGTAGAATCACACCCTCATGCTGCTAACATATACAGTAGAATCACACCCTCATTCTGCTAACATATACAGTAGTATCACACTCTCATGCGGCTAACATGTAAGGCAAGGCAAGGCAAGTTTATTTGTATTGCACAATTCATACACAAGATGACGGGGTGAGCCCGTCCCTGAGCACGCTGTCCCACGGAGCACATCTGAAGTTGCGCGCGCCCGGTGCCATGGTGGCTGCGCGCCGCGGCCAACCCATTCATTGACTACTGGCAGTAAGGATTGTGTTTGTGACATGTAGCGTGCGGTAACGCGTCTTCAGGGTGCACACTTGGGGCAGTTACATTTAGTTACATGTGTCATTCACTCGCCTGTGCTGGCGTGGTCGTGGCGTCTCCGTGGTGCGTTTTGGCAAACCCGGACACAAGGAGCCCTTGGATTAAATGCACCTGTCTGTGGGTCATGTGGACCACAGTTCATTTGCATGGACATTTGGACTCTTTGTAGTGTGTAGCTCATAATGTATTTTATGGTAAATGTTTCAATGTGGAACTGTAATATGAAATCATGAACCTAGGGAAATACTCATGTATTGTAGATATGATGTAATATTAGGATAATTGATTTGTAATGTGGGAGGGGCCAGCAGGGTACAAAAGGTGTGCTTGTCTGCCCCATTTCAGTCGTGACTCGGTTACAGTGAAGGTAACGTGGACTGCTGGAGCGAGTGTTAAAGTATAGGGAAAAGAGACTTATTGCAGAAGTCGTGTATATTTTTATTTGTAAATATCCTTTTCGCTTGAAGACTTTTCACTGTGCTCTGTAAATAAGTTTTTTGTAATTTCCCACAGTTTTTTCTACTGATAGTTTTTAATTAAAAACTTCTTAAAACGCCCTTTCCGACCCAGCCATGTGTTCTGTAAAAAGAACCCTCACAAAAGTGCTGAACAAAATAAGAAAGCATTGAAATCATAAATAATCACAGAACATTAAAAAGAAAGATACAAATACTGTATAAAATCCCTCAGTTGTATGCACAGCTAAACAGAACTGTCTTTACCCTGGTTTTAAACATTGTCAGAGAGGAGGCCTGTCTCACATCTTCAGGAAGACTGTTCCAGATTTTAGCAGCATGAATCTGAAAAGCAGCCTCCCCATGTTTAGTTCTGACTCTGGGCACTAACAGGAGTCCAGTCCCTGTGCTCCTCAGAGTCCGGGCTGGTTCATATGGGACTAACATGTCACTAATATATTTTGGTGCGAGGCCATGGAGAGATTTGTACACAAGCAGAGCTGTTTTAAAGTCTATTCTCTGAGCCACAGGAAGCCAGTGCAGAGACCTGAGGACTGGACTAATGTGGTCGTACTTCCTGGTTCTAGTCAGGACTCGAGCTGCTGCATTTTGAATGTACTGCAGCTGTTTTACAGCCTGTTTGGACAGACCTGTGAGCAGGCCATTGCAGTAGTCTAACCTACTGGAGACAAATGCATGAATATTGTTAATATTAAATGTTACTGATACTGTAACACTACTGTATAGTAGTATCACACTCTCATGCGGCTAACATGTACAGTAGTATCCCACCCTTATGCTGCTAACATGTACAGTTGTATCCCACCCTCATGCTGCTAACATGTACAGTAGTATCCCACCCTCATGCTGCTAACATGTACAGTTGTATCCCACCCTCATGCTGCTAACATGTACAGTAGTATCCCACCCTAGTGCTGCTAACATGTACAGTAGTATCCCACCCTCATGCTGCTAACATGTACAGTAGTATCACACCCTCATGCTGCTAACATGTACAGTAGTATCACACCCTCATGCTGCTAACATGTACAGTAGTATCACACCCTCATGCTGCTAACATGTACAGTAGTATAATCAGTAATTGTGCTATTCTTAATATTCACTTATCTTGTGTACTCCTCTATCATGAACTTGTAAGGCAGTAACTGACATTGCTCCACTGTGGGACAAATAAAGTAACAGACATTAGGACAAACAAAACTGCTTTTTCACCTGATTGTTGTTTTGATACAGGGCCAATGCTGGTCCAGACGATTAGGTCGGATTTTAAGCAGAAATACGCCTCTCTATTTGATGATAACACCGTGTCCGACTACATCTACCATCTCAATGCACAACATCCAAGGTACAATCGCTGCTTGAATTTATATATATTTTTATTTTTAACCTCTGTAGACACATGTCACGCGCAAACATAAAATATACAAGATTATAGTATACTCCATACACACTCAATTTGGCTCCAACCCCTCTCACTCATTCAAGACAACACAAAACACACACACACATGATTCCATTGTTTATGATGTGACAGTGTTCTGCCTTTTTCAGTGGAGAGGCCGCGTTTAAGAGCATGACTGTTCCGTATGGTTGGGCGCGGAGGCCGATGCTACAGAGAATTGAACAGGTCCAGGCTGACATTCCCATTTCCTTCATCTATGGTTCTCGCTCAAGCATCGACAGTGATTCTGGGTACGCTGTCAAGAGAACCAGGCCAGACGTGGAAATAAAAGTATGTACATATAGGCATTGGATTAGAATTAATATGTTACAAATACGACTATAATTTTGAATGCATGTATTTTTAGGTGATAAGAGGAGCTGGGCATTATGTCTTTGCAGACCAGCCAAATGACTTCAACCAGACTGTTCTTCAGATCCTTGCCAGAGCTGAGGACGAGCAATAAAACCATGTGGCTTACACATTTAGACAGTACCTCATATGCCCTGTATCAAAATGGACGTTTAACAATTGAATGCACTTTATTCTTTTGTCGTTTTTTATTTGAATGTAATTATTATTCATGATGTTATTGATGTAAATGTGAAAAAAGGAAGAATGAAAGGGAAAAAAATCCAGTGTTTATTATCACTTTTTTCATAGGGATAAATAAAACCTTTATATTATTTGAATTTGAAGTGCATATAGTTTAACTGCACTTTGCTGACCCAACTCAAAGTTTTATTAGATCTCAGAGAATTACCGACTACCTCATAGTCTCCAGGAGAGGGCAGCAGTGTCGCAGTCCAATGCTGATCCATTTTCAAGGGTTGGGGGAAAAAAACTGCTTTTAATAGTGCAAAGGCTAATCAAAAGAAAAGGTTTTCAGAGGTGGGAAGTTATTCCGTAATCTCTGTGCTTCATTTGAGCTGTTATTGTATTTTTATTTTATTTTATTGTAACGTTGTACATCTATGTGTCGTGACTCACAACATATTATTACAAGATTAGACACATTTGCAGGATTATCTTTGTCCAAATAGACAAATACAAGTTTAGTGGTTAATGTGTTGGTCATGCTTCTAAATAAATTACTTCTTTGTGGTTACTCATGCTTCTAAATTCAGTCCATACTAACAGCTTCCTTTTCTACAGGCTTTGTTTATTGTTATATTCTGTGCTAGTCTAAAACAAAACTCAAATAAATTAGTAGGCGGCCTACATTGTACATATAAACGTTCTGTTGTTATTTTGTACTTATATTTGAGCCAGAGGAGGATTTCAACGCTTTTACCATTACTGTTTCTTTTTCTATCTATTCTTTCACTTAAGTTCTGAACACTACTAGTTCCGAATACTTATAATAACATAGAAATGGTAATAATAATTGGTGAAAGCTTTTAGCTCTTTTTAGTGTCTTGTTTCCAAATGTTCACTAAATCTTTTCTCTATATGAATTATCAAGGTTAAGGTTTAGGTATACAATATTGTCCCCTTGTTGTCAATTTGAAGTGGCTGTGGTGAATGAGAAGCAAGTATTCAATTCAATTCCATTTATTTTTGTTTTATTTGTAGCTCTAAATTACAAAAGAAGTTGTCTTGGAAGACTATGCTAAGTTGTTGATTCACCGACAACAGTTCAGAATATCAAACAGTTTTAACACAGAAATGCAAAAATAACAAAAACACAGCCTATTAGTCCATAAGGAGTGAGATGACCAATGTCAAATAATGTTACTATATTCAGATTCAGATTCAGAAAACTTTATTGATCCCTTAAGGGCAATTGATTTGAGACTGTAGGTCTCTTTGTTTAACACCAATAATTTTAGAGCAGATTTTGATATATGTCCTTAAATGTCCCAGGTCATTATTATTCTTAAACCCTCCTGCATTGGCAAGGAACACATTTGGAAACCCCAAATAGGTTATGAAAGAGAAATGTATCATGCTTAAAGAAGGATAGTATGGAATGAATAGGTGAGCTGTGCAGAGCCCAGTATGATGGCGACTGCTGACTACCACAGGCTGCCTGCATGTTAAGTTGAGTGGCCCACTCTGGAGACCCGGGCAGGGCTGTTAAGAGCCGTACTACATTGAGCCGGGCGCTAAGTCACAACTGGGCTGACAGAATAAGGTCAAACTGTAGTGGACTATAAATATCTCTTCTGTTTGAAGCTGCATCCGTAAGTTATACCTTTACAGGAGTCTGGAATCTTTTGATAATAATGTTGTTTAAAAATGGTTTTTAAACTTGTTTTATTTGGTCTTTGAAATAATTATCCACCTTTCTACAGCTTAAATATAGTAATTAAAGTCTCACCATTGTACATAATGATGTTAATAATGTTCTCCAAAGTTGCTGCATCTGATAATTAAAGCTGCGGTACATTATTGTTTTTGTATTCATCCATATTTAATTTCATTTTCCCAACAGAAAGTAAAATCAGACTGCAACATTCTGTCTTCATCTTAATAGAAAGCGTGTTTTCTTTCGCTGATACTTTGCATTGAAAGCCCTGTAAAAGTCACCATTTGATGCTTTGAGCTGGGTGCTGATTGGCTGAGTGAGGGTGATCCACTCTTTTTCACTTTTCTGTCAGAAAAGGCTCTAGAGATATGACAGAGGCCAAAGACATGCATGTGAAAACTAAAACCAAACCGTTTTGAAAGCGAGGAAGCTATATTGTGTTAAAAAGTTATATCTTTTTGGATTTTATTTACATCAGAGGTGCCAAACCTTTTTACTCTGAGGACCTAAAATAATTCATATCAACGCATTATGTGTCAAACCTATCCATTTATTTTATGAGTATGTCTTAACATATTTTAGACAGAGGGAAATTACTAGTTTGGACTCTTGTCTCCAGTCCAGTCTTACAGTATATGCGTTCAAACTTCATTCATTCATTCAAATCAATTTTCAAACCCCCAGACACCATAGTAGTCTAAATTCAAACCTGCTTTAAATAGAAGTTTACACATTTTTCCAAAAGACCTGAATACAACTCATCAAAAACCTCCTGAAGCTTTGTTGCATACACTTGATTATTGCATATCAATGAATGTTCTCCCCCAAAACATGATTTATTTGTGTTTGCTGGGGGGACGTTGAGCTGCATTGCATAAGAAATGTACCACTTTTGTGACATTTCTTTTCATGTTTTTGCAAAAATAACCTTTAAAGAAAGAGATCAAGCTCTGCCTTCTGGGTGACATTTTCTCTTATTGTGTAACAACCTCAACCTTTGCATGCGCCTGCTGCTACTTCTGCCCATCACTTTGTACGAAATCAAACTGTTTCCTGGCAACAAGATGTCTTCTGGACCATGGCTCAGGAAGTGATGCTGGGGCTTGGACAGGGAAATTATTATGTGCTGCTTGTTTTTTTTTGTTTTTTTTCTGGAGACAGGCTGGCTGCTTGTCAAGTCAGCCACCATAACCTGCTGGGCTGCGAAACGTGTACAGGCCTCTGCCAGCCCATAATACCAGCAGGTCTGTTCTCCTGTCTGCGTTGCTTTCGCCCACACAGTCACATGGCTATATTTGATTAGGAATAGTGTTGTAGGGACAGCACAATGGGATGGGACGTTACTGAAAGCACAATAGGCCTGAAATAACTACATATGAGGTGAGCACGCAAAAGGACAGGAGTTCTTGGTTTGTCTTTGTGAGTGATTTTCAAAAAAGTTTTAATGAATCAACATAGGGGAATCTTGTTTTTATTTATATTATCTTTTGAAATATCTTTAAGCTGTTGTCTTGTCTAAGACCACAACACACTGTCTTATTAGAAAACAATAGAAAAACTGAAAAGCTTATCTAAAGATGGCCAAAAAATGCATCTAAGATCTATTGTCATGGATTTGTATTATAGTTCATGCTTTGTGGTATCACTAGGTATCTACTCAAGCTTAACCTTCTGGTATGTGTAGGTCGGAGCATGTTTTCGGTAGTAGGCTATTCAAAAGGGACATTTTCTATTCAGGCAAATAATAGGTGTCTGGTATTACGATTAAGGCCCACAAGTTGGTACAGGTTTACCACCACATATTTTCTGAGCCTAGTCACCGGTCCTGTTCTATTATTCCATTGCAGTCATTGAGATTTGAAAAATCCGTTTGAAACCTTCCAGAATAAAATGTAAAATTTTAAGTGTTGTTAATTGAAATGATGTCTCAACTGTGACGTTTTCAAAGAATGGGTGGTGGTGGGCATCATGACTGCATAGGGCTAAATTACAATATCTTGCCTTTACCGCCATTAATCATGCATTTGCCACGTCTGATTGCGATAAACTGTGCCAACTATGTCTGCCCTGGGGGTTGCACGAGTTCATTGCTGACCCAAAGCTTATCTGGTCTGATCTGATTTCCCCCCAGCCGTCTGATGTGGAACAGTAGGCCAGATGTGTCACAGATTACGAGCTCCACACTTGGCTCATTCAGGAAAAAAAGCAAACACTGTAGAATTTGTCTTGAACATAAGCTAAGCATGACACTTGTTTAAACAGAGAAGAAACACAGAAATGTCCCGGTATATTAAGAAAATATATAATCGTTTCCATACCAAACAGGGTGACATCCAATCAAGTTTGATGACTGTTTTATTGTGCACTATAAAAATACAGGCAAGAAAGACTACCTCAAAACATTTTTGGCATTGTAATAATTTAATAGATCATTTTCATGTACAAGTACAATATGCTAAGGACAGAATATGGCACATCCATGTTTTTGTACAGTTTACAGTTGCTGGTATTGCTGGGTGGTGGCTACAGTAAAGAGACTGTTTTACTGAGAAAGCAGGTGGTGGTGGAGAATAAGGATGCTACAGCAAACATGCACTGTCAGTATATATTCCACTAAGAGTACAGTCATACATAAAAGGAGCTGTGATGTGTGGTAGTTTTAAAGACAGAGGGGGATATTTATCAATCCAGATCCAAAACTGTGTGTACAGAGTAATATCTTTTGCAATGTTAGTGATTCAGCTCCATCTGCATGTGCATCATAAATCAGATGGCTTCAATGTTAAAGGGTACTAATATTTTCTGCACACGCAAAAACCCATGGTAAATATACCCCTCGTACTGGAATATTCTACTGTGCTACAATGGCTGTCATCATCCAGAAATGGTGTTTCGGAGCCACAAGGACGTACAGATGACAGAGCTGTGTGAAATACACACAAATGTGAATCAACTTAATAAAACATATTCTCAGAATATTTCATAGTGGCATATGGATCTAAAAGGGTTCTACTTCAATATAACTTTACCGTCATTAAGTACAGCTTTACCAAGACTTGAGATATTCACATCAGAACAAACCCATGGTGTGTGTTTTGTTCCAAACATACAATATATGACATAGAAAAATAAAACTGTGATAGAGCACCATATAAAGTGCGTCTCTTCATGATATTTTGACATCTAATTAAATTTTACAATCAATCTGTAAACAAAACAAAAATACACACACGCACGCGCGCGCACACACACACATACACACACACACACACACACACTCAAATATCTAAAAAAAATAATTGTATTAAAAATATAATAATATAACACCGTTACGATGTAACATGAGAGTGATACGCCTCAATATTGTACATAATGTGAGGACATGATTGTGTAAGTGCTGAGAGCACTGTTGTGAGCTGAAAGTGTCTATTTACCCATTTCACCAATGGGACCATAAATACAGCACTTCTGTCATAAAGATCTGAGGCAAAGGCCTGTTTCATATAGTAATTTTGTCTCTAAATATGCAACACATGCAATGGCGTGCAGCTCCTTCTGAAGCAGCCTGTGGTAAGAAGTACTGGAATACTGTACCTAACCCAACAATGACATAATTAAGTAGACATCCAAGAATACAGTTTACATATTTACTTGCATGTGATACCTCCATGTATAAGAGTGTTCTCTTCATTGCTGTGTAAATGGTGTACTTATACCTGGCCATACAATCTGCTAGATCTCACAGCTGAGCAGAGCATGGCCTGGTTAATACTGTGATGGAAAGACACTTCACTGACTGCCTATTGTTAATCTGTTTTGTGAGAGATGGTAGCTGTTGCTACAGAAGTAGTTTGCCACCTCCAAGCGTAGGGTAAATGAATAATGCGGAAAATGGTTTAAGATTGCTGCCCCTTTTTGTTTAGTGAAAAGTGCTTTATGAATAAAGATTGCTTACTAACGTTATGCTTGCATGCATTTCAACATGTCTGAAGTCATGTCATGTTCAATTGCATCGCATATGTATTCTATGAGAAATATTGCATCTTAAGAGCAAGTCACTGAGGAATATCGAGTGTAGGTAATCACGTGCAATGGCTGTTCATGTGCAGGAGGAGAAAATAGTGGAGGCATGTAACTGTACAGTAGGTCACATGTAAGCCTAGATGACTTGACAGCAGCTGTGAGGGGTGGGGGTGCACAGCAGACCCTCTTTAGGGCTGTGGTGGATATTGACAGATAATGTCTTGTCACTGAGGGGCATCTGAAGCACACGATTTTTAATGTTCCTGTGGTTTTCTCTAGCTAAATCCAGCTCTCCCAACCTCAGTGTCCCGGAGCACTGGCCATCAAGCAGTGGGTCTGCAAAGTTGTCACCCATCGTGCGCTGGTGCGGGTGACAAGGGTTCCCCCTTGGTGAAGGACCCCCCAGGAGTGAAACCTTATCCAGACTGCCAGTGGAGCCACCCATGCACATTCTCCATACAGGTCGGTCCTGAGAGTCACTGCTGACACCCCCTGTGCCTGTGCCTGTGCCGGTGCCTGTGCCGGCTCCTCCTCCTCCTCCACCTCCTCCCGCCAGATTATGGAACTGGGAGCTGAGGCAAAGGCTCATCAGTTTCAGGCTCTCCACCAGACCACTCGCTGCTTTCACTTTATTCTGCCCCAGCCCTGATCCAGGACTACAAGGACTGCTTTGGCTGGTCTCCCTTCTTTCCCGATCTGCTGTCCTCACATTTGTAACACCTAAATTGTCTCGTGTTGTCTGTTTGTGGAGGCCTCCTGAGTCGTCATCACTTGTATCTGAGCCGGGACTCACTGAAACAACACTTTTAGGTGATAGCATCATTTGCGAGGCCGACGGTATCCGGGAGCTTAAGTTAAGGCTCAAGCTAGGTTTAGGTGGCCCAAGTCCAAGCAGCTCTTTACTGTCCTCATCACCTTCTTCCTCCTTTTCCTCTTCATGAATCTGGTTGAGTACAGGTGCACTCAATCTGGAAGTCAGGCGATTAGCAGAGGAGGAGGATTTACAGCGAAGCACAACTTGAGTTGGAAATGAAGCCGGTGGCAGACATTTTCCTTCACCTCCTTCTTCCTCCTCATCCTCCTCCACACTGAAGAGACTGGGACTGCGGGTTTTACAAGGACCCCCCACAGCCAAGGGACCCAGACGGTGTGGGATGGACTGGTGTTTGTTTAGCGGCCGAGGTCCTCTTATAGGTTCCTGGTTTGACATTGGTGCATTGTTGTCGTAGTGTTGGCTGACGTCCAGTAGAGCGGTTTTGGGTCTAGGTCCTTTGAGAAGGCTCTCTGCACTTCGCGCTGGGGACTGCGGTCCCCCAGGGTGTGAGATGGCTGGCCCTCCTAACCCATCACCAACATCCTGGTGAACATCCACTCGGGTGGGCCATGATTGTCTGTAAGTAGATTTGAAAGATAAGTTATACTTTCTATTTAAATAATGTCTTTAATATTAACTTATTTAATATATTGATAGTAACACAGCTTTATTAGGTGAGAGGTTCATAACAGTTTATGAGTATGTTTATTACATACATTTATTTATTACATTGTTAGATTAAGATGAGACCAAGTACCTGAACTGAGCTTTACTGGGGCTGGGTGATCGTGTTTGACTGGACAACTCCTTCTCCTGCCTCTCTCGGAGCATCCTCTCCGCCAGAAGGAAATACGTGGCTGTTATATGGTTGTATTGATTTGATTCCAAAGCCCTATGAATTGAGATGTAGACATTTATACAATGGCCTAGACACAATTGCACAACACAATAGTAAAATAGAGAACAAAAACTTTTGTTAGATCGACAGAATAGGAAATGACAGGTGTAAAAACTGGATTTTACATGGTACAGCAAGCTGATTATAGACAAAAGGTTGATTACTCAAGACCATTCAGAAAAATTTAAATGTTTTTTCCCCCTGTGTTGAGTTGTAAGCCATGACCAATTTGAAGAGACAATAAGTAACATACTCAGTGACGCTGTCGCGGTCTGCGATCCCCCCAAGTACAATTCGTTGAATAATGGAACTATGTTCTTCTTCTGATACGTTGCGATGGGACACGAGGGGGGTGGACAGCTTAGTGGCAGGGGAGGGGTCAACACCTTTCAACCAATCATGGCTTTCAATTTGTGCTAGGGTTGCTCTCTTCGTTGGCTCCCTCTGCAGCATGCGACCAATGAGGCTACAGGGTAAAGACACAGGATTAGTATTCTGGGAAAAAACATTTACAAACAGTGACTACATTTCTTGACTGGTGTGTTTAAAATCATTATAAGATAAGCAAGTGTTTAAGTATAATAACTTTAATAGCCTGACAAAACCAGAACATGAAGTCAATCATGGAAGAAGCTTCATAGTGTAGCTCTCATGGACAGCAGTGTTTCTGCCTGCTCCCTCCTCTGTGATGCATGGTTAAACTCTCAGCGTGTTAAAAATAGAGGGACAGTTTTAAAGGCGCATTAGATACACTTAACGCTGCAGTGCATCTCAGGAAGAGCGGCCAAAAGGCCCTTCTCTCTCTGCTGCTTTTCCCTTCCTTTCCTTTCCGATCTCGACACATGAAATATGCAGCATGTGTGTGTATGTTACTCACTCTCTGCAGGCTGTGGTGACATGTTCCGGAACGTTGTATTTGCAGTCCATGATCATTGTTAACGTCTCGCTGTCGTTGGTTTCTTGAAAGGGGGGTTGACCGCAAACCAGCATATAAAGGATTACCCCCAGACTCCAGATATCTGCAAATAAAATAAAACAAGATGTAATAGGACATCCATGTAAGAGTCAATGTAAACACTGTTTCTCAATGACCTGAACATAAAAGTGGTCCCTCACTAATAAGTGTGAAAGAATATCATTTGATCAAACATTTACATGTTACATGTTAGCATGTATAAACAAAGTAACTAACAAATACAATTTTGCATTAGGTCTTTTTGCTCATAAACCTTAACGCTGGTCACCGACGTGGTCCACTGACACACATCCAGCTGCTGTCTGATAGAAGCAGTGGCCCTGTCACTGCACTGACCTGCTTTCAGTGAGTGAGAGAGCTGCCACTGCAAACACGTGAAGTGCTCTCATGTACGACTTTAAACTCTGGGCTCGCACATAAGCCAGTAATTCTGTACACAGTAATCTGTTTCAGAGAGACTATACGAATATATTGGTGTCATACAACAAACGTTTTATTACAACTCTATTGTGCCAATGTTTATCAGCCAACAGACCAGTTCTTGTTCTCAAATTTCATTGCATGAGACGTTTTTGTTTGTCAATTCTAATTGTATTTATCAATTGAGCTGAAAATCTGACCTTGAGCTGCTCAGTCAAAGAATACACTTTTAACATTGCACTATCGCACACTTTTTTCATTGTGAATTGCAGCAAGTTTTTCCCATTGATGTAAAAGAGCAGAATGGCTGTCACTACATGTGGTACCACCTGCATGTGAGAGGGTTTGGTTAGCGCTTCACTGTTTCTACCCCATGGTAGCTGTTGCTACAGTGGTAGTTTATCTCCACTGCTGTGTATGGAGTGAATGAATACTGCCATGTGAGGAATCTTTCTGCGTCCAAAAAAGCACCATGGAAAACTAATGCATTATTATCATATTGCCATAGCCATCTCACCCCTGGATGTTTCCTAGCAACCACAACCCTGCTCCCTCATCACATGCGTCATAGAGCAGCAAACTTCCTTCCAAGATAACTATTTATAAACCGGATGGCTGACACATCACTGGATGTGTTCACATCAATGTCCAATAGCATGGATCACTTGGTTACTAGGGGACTGCTAGGTTCTTTAACAGCTCTTTTGTCCTGCCATGCAAACTTCTTGCAGACTTCTACATTCTTTGTGAGGATCAAGTTTCGGCTTCATGTTTCTTGGCCACTGAACCCAAGGCATCTGATTCACTTTATTGTCAGGCTGTAATTGATGCTCAAAAGTTATTGAGCCAACAGTAGTGGTGGTATACCCATCAACAGACTCCGTTCATGTTAGAGAATTCCTTTTAAGTTGGAGGGAAGGAGCCAATACAACACGGGTAAAGAAGACTATTTTACAATAAATGTTTGTTCAAATAGTGGTGAGAAGCCTTCATATTATTCCTATTTCTGAAGGTTCTTTAAAGATTTTGTGATTTCACATGAACACAACCTATACTGTCGCCAATGCATGCTTCTTCATGATCCAATATCTTTGCTGTATTTTACACAGACTGTATATAAAATGGACAATTCTAACTTGCTAGCTCAATGAAGCCCAACAGGGAAGTGTTCAAGGGCTCCTATTGATCCAGGTGTTTATATTTTTGTAGATTTTGTAAGGTTTGGACCTTCATTCGTGGGGGAAACTTCAGCTTGCCTTCGCAACACATCTGCCCCTTTTTGGCGCAAAGCAAACGCCATCTGAATAAATGCCCGTATAAGGAAATTGGTTGTGGATAGCATAGGTTCAAATCGACACCTTCTGCATTCTGCAAACACTGCAGTGATGTCAGAACTCAGTCAATCCACTCAAAATCTAGTCTAAAGTTTTAAATTTTTCAAAAATGAATGCAAAAGCCATATATTCCTGGCTTTATTGAGTAGTATATGTACATTTAATCAGAATCAATTGCATTCATTAGCTTTCAACATCCTTATAACTAGGTCCAGTGCAGAACAGCTTTGACACAGAAAACAGGGCATCGGGCAAGCTCAAGCCCAGAACACTCTTCCTTCTGTGTGAGCAGCTCCTACAGCCGAGTGGTCAGTAATGTTGAGGAGTGAACAGAAGACACACACATGACCTGAGCATCTGGGTCAAGGGCTTTTCTCAGGACAGCCAACACTGATAAGAAACACGGATGTACAAAAAGGTGGTAAGTGGTAGAGAACAAGACAACTGCTGTGTTCAGTAATTAAAATCACTGTTTGGGGAAAACTTAATGCGTTCAAGTACCTGGGTGTTCACATTAACAATAAACTGGACTGGTCTCATAATACAAACGCCCTGCACAAGAAGGGCCAAAGTCGCCTCTTCCTTCTGAGGAGGCTGAGGTCCTTTGGAGTGAGCAGGCCTCTGCTCAGGACTTTTTATGACTCTGTGGTAGCCTCTACCATATACTACGCTGCCGTGTGCTGGGCCCCGGGCAGCACAGAGCGGGACAGAAACAGACTGAACAAGCTGGTCAGGAGGGCCAGCTCCACTCTGGGCTGCTCCCTGGACTCTGTGGAGGAGGTGAGGGACAGGAGGGTGCTAGCCAAAGCCACCTCCATCATGAACAATACCTCCCACCCACTGCACAGGACTGTAGAGGAGCTGAGGAGCTCCTTCAGTGGAAGACTGAGACACCCTCAGTGTAGGAAGGAGCGCTACCGCAGGGCCTTTATCCCCACCGCTGTCAGACTGTACAATAAGTCACTTTAAATGGTCACTGTGTGAAAACCTGCACTACTATTGACACTGTTTCCAATTGACATTTGACACTTTTGTTGCACATAATTATCCTATGTAACATGTTTGCACATTACTTTCTTTTGCACAATCTGAGTGTCTCTATCCTTGTCAATGTGACATGTAAATTTCTCCTTTGTGAGATAAATAAAGCACATCTTATCTTATTTCATTGGGATCACATTTTATGGCAAAAAAATCATAATCCTTCTCATCCTTTTTATAGATATTTATTTTATCTGTTAAAGAGCTGATATGTTTTAAAGAAATGGTAATAGTTTTAAATATGCAATGTATAAATACATTTGATTTTTATGAATGCTCGATATTCAAATAGAGGAGATCAGAATGACGTCAAAGACAGTATCAGGTAACAATTCTTGGATGTATTGATGCAGGCAGTAAAGATTAGACCAGGACTGTGGACTCTAACCCGTAACCTCCATGTTCTGCAGGAGATGGCATGGATGACAAGAGGGCGTTGAATAACTTTGATCTGGAAATGACTTACCGACAGCAGGGGCATCGTACTCGTCTCCCAGTAGAATTTCTGGCGCGGAGTAAGCCAGCGATCCGCAAGAGGTGTGGAGTGTGGTGCCTGGCTGAAATCGATTACTGAAGCCAAAGTCTGTGAGCTTTACTACGCCTTGTTTTTCAAAGAAGACCACGTTCTCTGGCTTTAGGTCCCGGTGCACCACGTGGAGTTTGTGACAGTAGGAGATGGCGTGGACGATCTGAGCAAAGTAACATTTAGCCACCTAAAGAAGAAGAAAAGAAAGAAAATAACACATGCTGCTTGCCTTGATGTGTATGTGTATGTATCAAACTGAAATGTCCCCATTGTTGGACGAATAAAGGACCTTCTTCTTCATCATCAATAGGTTAATAGGAAATACACATCAGGCTGCTTTTCAGATTCATGCGGCTAAAATCTGAAACAATCTTCCTGAATATGTGAGACAGGCCTCTTCTCTGACAATGTTTAAATCCAGGTTTAAAACAGTTCTGTATAGCTGTGCATACAACTGAGGAATTTTATATTTGTAGCTTTCTTTTCAGTGTAGTATGATTATTCATGATTTGAATGCCTTGTGTGACTGCTTAGATCTTGTTTTGTTCAGCACTTTCAGTTGCCTTGTGTATGAATTGCATTGCGGTCACGTGACATCACAACATTTAACATTTCAAAGAGTTATTTGCTTTTTGGGTCCTGGGAGTTCCCTTCTACAAGAGTCCTCACAAATCATAGGAAATAGTAACGTGTGGACTTTGATAAATGTTTTGTAAATAAAGAGAATTGAATTGGGAGAAGAAATAGTAAATATTAGTTTAAAGCCAATTTCTCTTATTCCTGGGGCTTCCTGACATGTTCTTTGTCAGTACATATCAACTATTTCTAATTATATTTTATCATAAAGGCGTCCAGACGTAGTGGCAATATTCAAAAACATGATTTAGAAGGATCATTCAGATGTAAAAAAAAAAAAAAAAAAGGATTCCAGCTTTTTTGCCCTCAATACATTATTTTATGCTTAATTGGCAGTGAGAGAATTCTAATTGAGTTGTAATTAGTGCACACCTCTTCGCCAAGTCCCCCCTCGTGCTTCATGATGCAGTCGTACATGTCCCCTCCGTCGCCCAGCTCCAGAATGAGGTAGAGTTTGGTTGCCGTGTCGATGACTTCATAGAGACGAACTACATTGGGATGTTGAACCAGCTTCATGCAGCGGACTTCCTGGAAAAGGTGACCCCGTGCTACTGGGTCAAGCTTGGTCTTGTCTATTACTTTCACAGCAACCTGAAAAAAAAAAAACAGTCCAAATGAAAATGTAACTACAACCTATTATTAGGGTATGATATATGCAAGAAATAATACAAACAAAAGCCTATACCTTTTCTCCTGTAAACACATGTCGCGCTAATTTGACCACAGCGAAATGGCCACGTCCCAAGGTCTTGTCCAAATCGTAGAGGCCGGCTATCTTCCCGTCGCGGTGGCGTTTGAGTCCCGCCATGGCTCCTCTGCTGGACATTGCTGTTGTGTTGTCAGTCTGTGTGCGGTCAGGGGCCCATCTTCAGTGTGAGGTTTTGGGGCTGTTGGTCACTTCGGTCTCATTTTACAGCTATAATCTGTGGGTAAGATTGGAAATAATATATCAATAAGTCTAGCAGCGGAGACACAGGTTTAAACTTTGGACAAAAGCGCATTGTACTGTAGGTTTACTGCTTTCAATAGACGTCAGACAGACAGGGTTGTAGCAGATGCTTTAGTTAATCAGTAAATCAAGTATAAATAACTGCCGGATTAGATACAGTAGATCTTTATGTGCAGGAAATGACTCTGTTGCCACATCTCAGTATGCTGGTGACATTTGAGCCCAGTATTATGTTTTTTCTCATAGTAAGACCAAATTTTTGTACTGATAAACATCTGCATTTTTTCTAAAGTTGGAATACCTATCTTCGAAACCACAAAACATAACAATGCAATAAAATCTTTGTAACTTGTTTTCAAACACATGTATTGTCGGCCTCGCGGCTGAGTTGATCAATACTCTTTTGGTTGGGACAGACAGAATCAAACAAAAAGGTTAGGTAGCGTAGATACTGCATGCAGGTGAGCATAATATACTTTTAAGTGTACAAATTTCCACACTTAAAATGTCACCTCAACATTACTCAGTCATTAACACTTTATAAAATCTTTCACAACAAAATCGACAGTTGCTATGCTGTCTTTCAGAATAGTGCTTTTGGCACAGGTTCTCGGAAAAAGGAAAGTACAACTATTCACATTCCAGGGAGGTGAATGTGGACAAGGTGCGCCCCATTCACCTGGAATCAAAAGACAACATGCAAACTAAATACCGCAGCTGTTGCCAGGGAATACGCCTACAACCACAGTATACACCAATATGAACAAATGTTTTTAAAGGACTGTTTGAAGAAATGTTTTGTTGAATTTTGCAATATAAATGTAGAGTTTACATGTATACAAGCAATCTATAGAAGTAAATTAAATAGAATTTGTGAATTTAAAATTTATCATCTCACAGTTTTCAAGTTTCCAAGTTGGCATACACAGCATTGAGGTTCTGTATCAATCCCAAATGCTAAATAAACAAATAGTAACTGTGAATATAAGTGGATAATGTATTTTCATTTGGAAAACCGTGAGAGGCTCCTTAAAAAACACCTAGGAATGCAACAAATATCCACCACTTATTTCACACTCATGGACATTCTGTAGCAAGAACATGTATCTTTTCACTGATTTTGTTGGAGAGCATTAGTGCATGTGTTTATGTAATGCCAGTAGTTTACTGGTGTAATACATAGAAATGAAGATGCAAATATTTTGTGAAAAAAGAAAAATCTTACAAATCTTGGAATGGTGTGGTTGTTGTTTCTTAACTTAGTCCTGGAATCTACAGCCTCAGTCCTGCATCTACAGCCTGTTTGTTATTGGAAGAGGATCCTTCTCTCCATATGAACCTTCCCAAACAGTCATATTTGTTCGTTTTTTGCTGATGCAGGAGAGTCTAAGAACAGTAATGATCCGGGACATTTAAGGACATTTAACGGCTTTTAGGAACATTTACAGAGATTGGTCATCCCACTACAACCCAGCTGTAATCTCAGAGGCCTTTGTAAAGTCCTTTAAGATGACTCCTGCTGTGATTTAGGGGTATACAAAGTAAATTGAATTGACTTGCATTAAAACACTTTTTGTGTAAACAAGTGAAAATACACAGCTGTAGGCTGATAATTATCCAATAAGAAGTGACAATGTTTCATCTTTCATTATTATTTGAGAACTTAAGTGAAAGTAAACAAATTGCCCAAAACGAGTAGGCAGAAGTAAATAGCCTGAGCAGGGATACCCTCTTTCACATTAGTGAAAATGTGGGTAGCAGATATGACTTAACTTTACAAGCCTGACATTGACCCAGTCAGGTTATGTCATGCCAGTACCAGTCAAACATGCTTTTGAGAATGGTTGTGTAACTGTTCAAGTTGCTGCTGGTGTATTGATTTACAAGGTAATAGTACAATGTGTCTACGTCAGTCCTATGAACACCACAACTGTTTTAAAGGTGATGGTGGATGAGAATTCCTTGCCTTCCCTCGGAATTTTATACCACAAGATTATATATATAACAGCCTATATAAATATATTTGCACACAACTATTCCAAGTAATCAAATCATTCTAAAGGTTTAATAGCCTAATTGGTCTAATATATGTGTGTGAAGTCTTTGTAATTACATGTATGAGTATACATACTACAGCCTTTATACAGATCTATAGCATCACCAATAGCACTCCTTATCTAGACAGAAAAAATATGCATGCCATTTGTTTGTAAAATTAAAGCATGCAGCATGGCCTACACCTTTCACTGCAAACGTGCCGATGGTCCAATGAAGCGGCTGTTGTATTATCAAAAACAACATACGAGCATGACGCAGAATGAACAGTACTTTAAGCAGCAGACCACCACTAAATGGACTCAAATGTTGTTTAGAGCAGCTGATACACTAACTCATAATATTGCTGCAGGGCCCACAGCGCGAGTCCGAAACGCACCATCAGCGGCACTTACCAGGGCTCGGGGAGGACGTCTGGACCGAGAGTGCAGAGCTTCACTTGACACGGATCCACAGACTGTCTTTCTCCGCTGACAGAACACACGCCAGGGCCACTTAAATCCGAGACCCCGTGGTGAATGTGACAAGTCAACATGTCCCTCCCCTCAGCCGCGCTCCCACGCGTCAAGCGCAAAGACTTGAACCAGGCGCACGGCGGAAACTGCTTTCCCAAATAAAAGCAGCGCAGATTGGAAAAAAAAAAAAAACACTTATCTTTCAACGTATGTGTCAACTAAGATAAAAGCCAAGATAATACAGGACTTTTAATACAGTCCCAGATGTACGTTTATTTCAAGGGAAGTTTGGGCATGAGGAAAAGGTTCGAATAAGGCCCTCAAACACGCTTCAAATAGTGCCGTTTAGTATAAACATAAGCATGTTTATGAGCTTCAAAGACAGCAGACATTACACAGTAACGGTCATGTACCCAACATTTTCAAATTAAATAGTAAATGGCAATGTTATATACACTGCGATTTATCAATAATATAGTGGCAAAATATGATCAAATCTCAATAGCGTAAATCAACACCCACTAATGTTAGTGTAAAAAACATTGATTTAAAAACATGATTAAAATCGAATGAAACAGAATTTATGCAGAAAATCTTAAACGCACTCGAGTTTTCAAATACAGCGAATTATGTCAGTCGTTCAGCAGATTTAAGACCAACTTCTCCAGCCAATCTGGCGCCACCTAGCGTTTCCGCTGTTTCACTTCTATCCAAATACGTGCATAATATGGCTTAACTTCATGGGTCTAATACATTCACCTCAACCTGTGCCAACGGGTCGAATGGACCCACTCAACCATTAAACAATGTCTTAAGTTTTCGAGCTGAATTTTGATGATTTCTTAACTACATCAGCCCTGGATCATTTACAGTCTTTAAAACCCTAATTGATGGTACTTTGCTTCTCCTTTTAAATCATTTATGACTCCAAGTACTTAGGACTGCAATCTTATGGCCAGTGTTCAACAGAACCACTCACACACCGAAAACCAACAGCCCCAGTTTAGCTCTGGTCAATAAATTCAATACATTTCTAAAAGTGTGAGGACTAGACTGTTTGGTAGAAAGATGATCCATAGTCTTGGTGCTGTGTGCGCACATACCAATATGAAAACAAGCAGATTAAGAATTTAACAGACTTTATTTTTGGAAAATCATTTCTTTGCAGCCTCCTTTTGAAGCTTCTTCACTTCATGCTTGATGATCTTGTTCCTCTGTAGAAAAACAATTAAGTTAGACATTGGTCTTCATAAAAGCCATGGCTGGTAAAACTAAAACTTTAATTTTATTCCCCACTCTCATGCCAATGTGTATCAACTATTATAAGAAACCACTGGTTTGACCTTCATAGTAGTGAAGAATGACGCCCCTCAGCTGTCACTTATTAAAATGCACGTCTTTATATCAGAGCAGAGATCGACCAATCTTTGGTCGTGCCCACAGTACAGCAATCTAACAAACTTGGCAGTATCAGATTGAAGATAAGGTAATGACAAAAAGCACATGCAAGACAATATTCAAATTTTTTTGCATAGGTGTAATCAATTCAATAGTTTAATTATAGCCCAGGATTGAGATTCCCACACTTCCTTTGCAAATATATCCTGTTTAATGTAAGCCAAAAACTACTTGGCTGAGCTCAAGATTTGGCGTGATTCTAGATGACTGGGAATTACACAAACTTAATGCCTTAATGTTTAAAGATTGGTCATCGTAAGAAATGTATCTCACCATTCTCTTTGCCTTCATGACCTTGTAGCGATCGAAGTCCGTCATTTTGGCCCTCTGCATAAAAAAAAAAAAGATTTAATGTGAAGACTCATGTCTAACAAGTCTTGGCACCTTAAAAACACCATTTAAAAAATAGTTTAAGAGGCAAACATTTGAGTATGATCAAAACTCGAAACTAAAATGCAGTTGGTTTACATTTATTTGGTTTAGCTCAAATAAATGTAAACCCTTCAATAAACTACAAACGAAGTGCATCCACTGCACAATTTTGGCTGACTGCAATGAAAGATTATTGGTCATGAAAATTAGGTTTCTAGGATTGCTTTTATTTCTCAAGAGAATCAAATATATGGAAGTTAAATGTATCAAATTTAACATCTGTGCTACCCTCAGGTCAATATTACCCCCCGCAATGGTTAAAAAGTAGGAGAAATACCCTAAATTAGGGTCAAAATCCCCCAGGGCTGGTAAAGTTAGGGGAAAAAACAATTGAAAATTTAGTTCAAAAATATATATTTAAGATTAGAGACTTTATTGATCTCACAGGAGAAATTTATATGTAGGGTATTCTTTAAATCACTGTTGCAGGATAGCACAGGGGTTAAAAGAGGCCAAAGCCATATTGTACATAAAACACCATCAACATCAAAACCTCACCTTCTGCCTGGCCTCAATCTTCTTGGCCCAACTGGTTTCTGACCATTTCTCATTGATCTGGGCCTTCTCCCAAGCTCGCTTGACAAACTTCTGGCGGGCACTGAAGAAAGAAAGAATAAATAAATAAAAATAATTAAGGTACTTTCCTACTGATGCTGGTAAAAATAACACTTTCCTTTGGGAGAGCACAGATTAAAATATGTTTTTAGACCAATACATTTCTATACAATACAAAAACTATTCTGATACAGCCTCTTTAAAATATTGATATCGGGTCAGATACAGCTCCAACACAAGATGTAAATTCAATAAATGTATACACAATATATACATTTATGCCCATTTTCATCATGTAATTGTAAACCATTAGTTCTCCATTATACCCTTCTTTTTCACTCCATGTGTGTGGTTCCTTTAGCTTGTGATTTCTCAGTGTACAGTAAGGTTTAGAGTGTCCCGCTTGTATATTTGTACGTGCTTTATTGAGCCCAAGTGACTTAAATCAGTCCTGCCTGCGCAAGTTATGCAGCCTGCTCTTTTGGGAGAGGGGACATGGAAGTGCCAAAGCTGCCAAAAGTGACATTGTTCCACCACATTAATTTACCCATATTCAAAACGTACCTGTGTGGGACTTTAATCACATAGTCTGTAAGCTGCATGCATTTGAAGGGCATGGACTGCCTCTTCACACCTGTGCATGGTCCATCAACAAGAGCCTTGAACGCAGAAATTAAGTCTTAAAATGTGTCATTAGTCAAATCAACATTGAACATAAAAACCTACCCGGTTCTGGTCGATGACATCAACGATTGCCACCAATTTCCCAGCGTGGGGTCCAAAGGAGAGGTAGGCAACGCGGCCGATCTCTACAAAACGGGTGAACACCTGTGACAAAAAAAAAAAATGTATAACTTGTTCTTTCTCACGGCGAATGTGCCATTAGATGTAATTAGCAGGCCGACAATGTTTCTACCCCAACCATATTACGTTTTGGAAACCAAAAGGTATTAAGCACAGTACATAGATTGTCAGTTCACGATTTGAACGTCTGTTTTGTAATGGACTTGACGTGTATAAATTGTTATACAAATAATTGCTTTACCCATAACACAAAAGGAGACTAACTTTTTACACTGGCATGTAAAAGATGTTCTTAAAAATGTACTTCATAAGTTCAATACGTCAAATGTTAGCATAGAAGTCCCAATAAGACTTATTTGAAATAATCTTTTACATACTGAGAGCCAACAGGAATTGAAAGTTTATATTTTGTAGGCACCGCAGCTTTACCGACACATCCCACAAGGTAAAGAGCCTATACTTGCAGGGCGAATGTTTGAGCTACTTTGAGCAACAAAAGGGGACCAAGTCGCGGAACTTTGAAGGCACTAGTGGATAATGGATATAGATTTTGGCACTGGTCTGGCAGCAATGCATCGGCTGCTCACACGTAGCTAGACCACGTTGTAGGAAGAAGCGACCCAAGCTTAATACTAAAAACACAAACAGACCGACACAAACGCTTTACTGACGTATCTGGTGTGCTCATAAGTCTTTTTAGAACCCGATCATACAAAGACCAGGGAGTAAACGAGCCATTTTATAGTATAATTTGTACAAATCAAAGTGAAGACTCTGATGGCGGACTCACCATGATGGCTGTTCGGGAGCAGAAAGGACTTTTCAGTTTCCGGTGGGCGCAGATACCACTTCCGCTGTGAAGTACGCACGCGCAGTGTGTCACTTTTATTTAACGCCGAATAATATTCTTTGAAAAACTACTAACAACACATGTTTGCGTATTCTTCATCTTCAAGGTGCACATGTCGTTTGTTACGGGGTAAGCATACGTTGATATGTGTTGTATTCATGTTCGTATGGAGAGCTTTTGCCAAACACTAACTGTACAGTTACCGTCGTGTGAATTTATATCACAGGTTTGTCAAGCGATGTTAGTCTGCGCGTATGGGAATACGTGTATTGCTTTATAATGAAATAACGTGATCTACTTGATCTATTTTGATCAAGTTGATCAACATATAAACAATTCAACTAAGCGCCACCAGAGGGCAGTACGGTAGTGTTGGAGACACAGTAAAGTTGAAGAGCGCAAACCTATGGGAATCCTTCTGTCAGTCTGCCCCAAGGCATCTGTGGCTACAGCAGTTATTTACAACTATTGTGTACGGAATCAATGAAGAATGTGATACCAACAGAGTAACCAGAAATCAAGTAATTATAAAATAATAAAATAAATACGCACTTACACACATAATACTGACTTTTAGCTCTTACTAGACTACTGCTGGAATAACTAAACAATGTTAAGCACAAGTTATAATCTGTAACTCAGGGGTCCTCAAACTTTATGTCAGAACATTCTAGATCTATTTAGTGTTGTTTATTATACTACCGGTATTACATGTATACAATTAGTGTATGTTGTGTCAAATAATTTGTGAAGTTAAAGTATCATGCTGAGCCCTCCAAAAGAATTGTTTGATGACTCATTTGAGAACCGCTGTTGTAACCCACTATTCTTCTTCAAAGTTGCTATGAAAATAATTAGAAAAAGTGGTCAGTGAAGTCAGTGGTATACTTACAATAAGTAATGGAACTGTGAGTTTATTTTGAGTTTCTACGTCATAGCCCCATTGTCTCAGTTTCCTGAGATCCTTTCTGTAAAAAACATGTTTGTTTGCACCACTATATTTGACTTCCTACTTTCTATTGCTGAAGGATATCCTGTTTAATCATTTTTCATTTTACTTATGTAATGTGCATTGTTTTACATCTCCCTTTTCATGACTGAAAAATGTCTTCCTATTTTGTACTCCCCAAATATGTAGATATTTGTAGATAAACAGTGCCCTTTATAAATCTGTAGTTGTTAAACTTTGCCTGACACAAAGTATGTTGTTGAGGTACTAAAACACAAAACATCAAGATTTAGTCTACAGTGTCAGGTTTTAGTTTTTAGTTTAGTAGTAGGTTTGTAGGATCATGTCAGATTTATTACAAATGGAATCCACGTCAATTGCAAAATCTCCTTTGCAGGATTGTAGGCTTGATTGGATGTACACACTAATAGTAAGGTGAAAACATTCCTACAATTGTGTTTGTTAGAACACACTGAAATAGGGCCATGTGGTTCCTTACACTCCCACAGTTATTAACAATAGTGTTTGTCAATGAATGTCTAAATTTGATGTTGTTGTTTTGTCTGTGTACTATCACACTCCTAGTTTCCAGACAGTGTCATGCTGAGCAGCCAGTGTCAGAGGGATGTTGGCCAGACAGTGCCATTGGACGACTGCTTCACAATGAGCTGCACGGTTCTTCATCATTGACTCTGCAAGACCACTGAACGGGACCCACAGAAGATGGAAACACACTCAGTACTTCAGGTTAGACAACATCACATTTCATGTTTTGTCACTAGGGGCAACAGCAAATTCAAATTAATTTCTGTTGAATTAAGATAAAATTCTTCCCACAGTGGAGAAATTTCAATGTTGCAGCGTACATGCAGGACAGTAGTAAGACAAAACAAAATATATAATATAAGTAGCAGCTATGTTTCTTAGCTAGTAAATTCTTCAATATCAATCTTTGGAAATATCTCTATGTATATAGTGCAAAGTTATATACATATAGGGCTTTGCAAATGATTACAGTATTTACTTATTTACAGATGAATGACATGTACAGGCTCATCAGTTCTCATTGTACAGTCTGCAGCAGCAGCAGGAAGGACCTGCAAAACCATCTGTGTCGTGTCTGAAGTTTGCAGTGTAGAGGGTGAAGAGGAACGGTGCGAGGACGGTCCCTTGGGGGGCCCCCACACTGCAGGTCATGACCTCAGACACAAAGTCCCTGGTTCTCACAAACTGGGGTCTGCCTGTTAGGTAGTCCAAACTGCAGCGGGTCCATCACTGGGCTCAGAGTGAAGCGGAGGTGTCCCAGGACCAGTCTCTCCAGTGTCTCCATGAGGTGGGATGTCAGAGCCACTGGCCTGAAGTTGCTGAGGTCTTTAGCCCGTGGTGTCTTGGGAACTGGTACCACACAGGTCGTCTTCCAGAGCTGTGGTACTGACCTCAGCCTGAGGCTGAGGTTGAAGACATGCTCCATCACTCCACACAGTTCATCTGCGCAGGAGGGAAGAAGCCTTAAGCTGATGTGGTCTGGTCCAGGTTCCTTCCTGGTCTTTATCCTCATCATCTCTGTCCTCAGCTGGGCAGCAGTTAACAACAAAGGAGTGCAGGGGGGGCTGGGTGCTGAGTAGAGAGGAGGGGGCTCCGTGATGGGAGGGTAAGTGTCTCTGGGGAGGCCGTGGGAGGAGGACCGTGAGTGTAGTGCCATGACAGAGGTGTAAACAACAGGACTGTTTGTGGGGAGACAGTTGGTAGAGCATTGGTCTTCGGGCCTAACTTCGGGCTTTGATACGCTTTGTGTGTTCGGCGCCTCGCTACCGTCCTCACCGGATGTGGAGTGATTGGAACAATATCTTAACTCGCAACAATTGTAACGCGCTTTGGGTGACCTTGGTCTGTAAAATGTGCTATTTAAATAAACACTTACTGACATACTGACACACTTACTGATATACTCAGGCAAGAAACTTAACTCCACTTTGCTTGAAGTTCCCGCTGAAAAGCTATTTGGATGGCAGCTCTAATTGCCACGCCCTGACTAAGGGGGTTGAAAATGAATGAATGTTTGTGGATTGGTGTGTGTCTGCAAAAATTCTGTATAACTGTAATTCTGTATTCTCTATAAGACGCATGTAGATTGAACCATCATCCATCTTCTTCCCCTTAATCCATTTCCTAGAGGGGGGGTGGCAGTTCAGAGCTGCACCCAATTCACAGAGCACCAGCTCCTCCTGCAGGTGGTGAGTCCACAGGAGGATGGCTTCTCTGTCAGTTACAGAGTGGAAAAGTGAGTGTCTTGCCTAAGGACACAACGACAGCAGACATCAGTGGGAGTTGGTGGAGAAGGTCTGGTGGTTGGTTTGATCCCACCTTTGGCCAGTTTGGCCTTTGGCAATTTTGGTAAATAAATCCTGGGTTGGTCAGTGTGAAAATGCCTACATAGATATTTAAGAAATTTTTTAACACTAACACATACTCATACTTGGCTTAAGATGTGATGCTATTACATTGCCTTATTCTCTGGCCTAATACTCCACTTATTAAACCACCACTGGAGCACCACTTCTAATAAAAAGCAGCTCAGAGCCCAAGCAACCCGGTTTAATATTTGATTCTGATTTGGCTTTCTTTAGTGTTTCAAATAAATTGTGCATTTGCAGATAGTTCATAGGATGTTTGTTGTTTTTAATTATTTTATTATTATAATGACGAGCACATTAACGTGGAATAATTGATGATGACATTAATGTTCAGTGGAGTGTAGTTTTATGCAGATATACTCAAGGTTGTGAACGAGTCATTTCCATTGCACTTGAAGAAAAAGGAATTATGTTTTTTAATTTTGAAGGTTTTTAAAAGTCGTTCTAGTTATTCCCTCCTCCCTTTTCATTGTTATGTTTATTGATCACTGAGCTCTGCCTTGGCCTAAACAAATGTGGTTTAGATTCGAGGAGTGTTGCTATTAATATCCTGTCAGTCTTTTGGCAAGCATAGCTGGTACTTGAAGAGAGAGAGACATGACATGATGTGAGGGAACTAAGCCTCGAGCATAAGGGACAACTTTAGTCAAGTCTCAAGCTTGGACTTGTATCTCAAAAGAGATCATTGTTATCGTTTTTTTTTTTTTTTTAAGTGTTGTACTTACAAGTATATTGTAAGTAAAAGTCACTAGGATTATACATAAAAATGATGAAATTGCAACTGGCGAGTTCATTTGATATTTAATGTTAATAATCCACGTCCTCATGCTCCACAGGTGATATTTATCACCTGTGGAGCTCCGGTCCTGTACCAGAGGCCTGGGATCTTTTGGACTGCACTTTTTTGCACTGTGATGATGAATGTTTTTCCTGGGATATGGAAATCTATGGATTTTGTATATTTCATCCTAGATAGTGGATGCACAATCTTCTCTAGTCCGAAATACAGTATGATGTCATGGCTGTAGATCCTTGCTCTTCGCATACAGCTTAATGTCATCCTTGTAGAGAAGGAGACAGAAAGTGACCACTTTTCTGAGTCAAAGCTCGTCTAAGGGGGTTCAGACTTATGCAGAACAACAGGGGTGACAGGACATCACCTTGTTGTATTCCACATTTGATAAAACACTTATTAAGGCTCTTAAATTAAGGCTTTGTGACTCGTCCTGCTCCACCCAGAGGCTACTCCATCTCTGCTGCTGTGACCCGCACTGCTACACCCAGAGACTACTCCATCTCTGCTACTGTGACCCGCACTGCTACACCCAGAGACTACTCCATCTCTGCTACTGTGACCTGCACTGCTCCACCCAGAGACTACTCCATCTCTGCTGCTGTGACCCGCACTGCTCCACCCAGAGACTACTCCATCTTTGCTGCTGTGACCTGCACTGCTACACCCAGAGACTACTCCATCTCTGCTACTGTGACCTGCACTGCTACACCCAGAGACTACTCCATCTCTGCTACTGTGACCTGCACTGCTCCACCCAGAGACTACTCCATCTCTGCTACTGTGACCTGCACTGCTCCACCCAGAGACTACTCCATCTCTGCTGCTGTGACCCGCACTGCTCCACCCAGAGACTACTCCATCTTTGCTGCTGTGACCTGCACTGCTCCACCCAGAGACTACTCCATCTCTGCTGCTGTGACCTGATTCTGATTATTACTATTGTTAGTTTTTTAGAGATACATTTTATTTATTTGCTGCTACTGGACACCTGAATTTCTCCTACGGGATCAATAAAGTATCTATCTAATCTGGCAACGCTTTTGTTTATGGCTGAGGGCTGCTGTTTGGTGTACCAGAAGCTGCTGTTTGGCCCTTCTGATATTTTGCCGATGCCTTATTCTGAGCTGTGCCCTCTGATATCTGATGGAGAGGACAGCTAAGATTGAGATTGTGCCCTTTGGGGGATCGTTTGGTTAGATCGTACGTTTACACCGTTCAGCCACTCAGGATAGATCTTTTACATATACAAACATACATACAATACCTAATTATGTCATTTGTTAAAAAAAAATAGTAATCCTTCTTCTGCTTCCTTTATTACTAAAACCTTGTTGTCAGTATTGGCAAGAGCTGTGTCTTGGGGTAGAACACTGTGGAATGCATGTGCTGGTGTGGCTGTCGTACCAGTCAGCAAGAGGTCTGGGCAGGACTTGGTGTTATTAGTCAAAATTCCACTATTATAAGGATTAATCTTCTACTTTGATCTTCTGACTCATGTTAAGCCACTTCAGACTTTAGAGGGAAGCATATGCACCAGCACACATTTTAGACTGAAAGCACATAATCCTCAGCGAAAAGTAGTCAAAATATAAGGAGTCCTGAGGGTCAAATTCATGTTAACGTTTACTTAGTTTGGCCAGTGCATTTTGTCCCCCCCATAAATGGCTTTGTAGATTTGGTTTACTGTTCAGAGGAAATTGTAATGCACATCTTATCCAATGAAGTATATAACTGATCTCAGCTTACTGAAAACTTCTGAATTATAGTACCAATCTCTTAATGCGATTTATGTTGTAATTTAGATGTCTAAAAGAGCAGCATCAAAGACAATTTCTAACAATTGACAATTTGACTTTATATATTTAACTTGAGATCTGGGAGACTTGTATTGTATGTATGATTGCAGTTAGCTGGTTAAATATGTTGTGGGGAGTATAGTTGCAGGTGAAAAACAATTGTTGCTTCTACAGACCAGGGTCACATAAATCATATAAATAATATATTTTCCATTTTCTATTCTTTTGGCTATACCCACATGTACTCTTTCAGGAGTCAAATGCAAGAATTATTATAGATGAATACTGGATAGGACATAAACACGGAGAGATCATGCTAACTTTACACAGAAAGGACCCTACGTATAGGGCAAGACAAGGCAAGTTTATTTGTATAGACCAATTCATACACAGGCCAACTCAAAGTGCTTTACAAAATCAGAAACAAAATATAACATCATAAAACAATTAAATAATCAAAGAATAGATTTTATAATCTTTCCGTTAAATGCACAGCTAGAAATAACTGTTTTAACCTGGATTTGAATGATATCAGCTGATAAATAAAAGCTTGTCGGGCCAATCTTACAAGCAATTGATCGAAGCGTTTAGTATTATTGAAATGATTATTTTATTCAGAAATGATTATATGATTGAAATTTGTTTTGTCTTTTATGATGCAAGAAATATAGTTTTTCCAACCAGTAAGCAGAGTTAGCATCACATGAGTCTCACATTTGGGTTGCTGGTTTTTTCACAACATTTGTAATCATAGTTGGAGGAGCACTTGTATGTAAATTTCTACATACTGTAGTATGAGGAAAAAAAACCTCTTTATGTTAAGTTCACATGTTTATGAATAGCTACAATGTTTTATATTGTTTAGGTCTTTTGCATGAAGTTTAAATCTAGTAATTGGTTCAGACATAACTTTGACAGGTTTTGTCAGGTCGACCATGTCTTTAGCCGTCCGGACATTTCTTTGGTCGACGACAGCCCTAAAAATAAAGATGTCAGGATGACCCAGTGCACAGAATGGAATCAGGTTTTTATCTATGGCATTTCAGTTGTTCTGCAAAGAGTATACTGAGGCGTTGTTCTTGTTGTTTTTGTTGCTGCTCTGTTGTGAAAATAATTCTCATGTGTATAAACCGTCAGTGACTCTAAGCTTTGGAGATGAAGCGAACCAATTTACTAGATGGGTTATTGTGTGAACAGTGAATTCGGTCGATCAAAAATATTTTCTAATATTTCAGCTTTTGTCATAACCGAATTTGGGAAAAAGTTGTCATAATCTCAGCCTTGTCGTATTTCCTAAACTCAGTTTCTATTTCTTATTTCTGTAGAAAGGTCATTTTGAGGTTTACATACCATCTTTTGTTTTGAATATATTTCCTGGCCTATGTGCTGACCTACTTTAGTGTTGAAGTTCATGTTCATGTTCATGTTGTTTTTCTATATCTGCATTTTTATTGTTTTCCTATGCGTACCATATACTGTACGTAAGTACATTGTGAGAAGCACCAACTATGAGAAACTATTCAGACACGGACCCTCAAAATATGCTTGAATTGGACTGACGCTAACTGCTGAGGAGGCTCAGGTCTTCTGGACACTCTGTTTTCTCTGGAGAGCAGCTTCAGTGACAGACGTGTTCACCCTTGCTCTGTGAATGAGAGGTTCCGCAGTCTTTCCTTCCTGCTGCTATCAGACTGTACAACAAACAATGAGGACTAACAAACACTGCCGACCTGACCTCACATGTCATGCATCGGTGCAATATCTTGAACTAATGTAAGAATGTGCAATATAGAACCACATGTGTCCACTGTTGCTCTACTTTGTCACTTTGTGACTTAACTGCTGAAAATGGGCAAACATCTCAGTCTCATAAATATGTTATGCAGAAAATGTACCCACCAAAAAATTTGAGCACATATGCTGAAGGCTATTCTCAGGGAGTACATACTGTTATGTCAGTACAGTGACACAAGGATACAGTTCTTGCTTTAGGCTACATGAAGGTGAATGACTAAAAATGTACATGGCACCTGTACATCTGTCAGGTCCGTGTGTTTATTTTGTACTCTTCTCTACAAGCAGCTGCGTGCGCCTACACGTTTACAATTTGCATCTTTTGGTCAATGCTCCTACTTAGTGCAGTTCTCACTGAAATAATAGAATAATAAAATCTAAATTTTCAGCTGACCTTGAGTTGGCTGGTTTGATCACCCATCCATTCATCCATCCATTCATCCATCCACCACCCTCTGCAGGTGGTGAGTCCACAGGAGGACGGCTGCTCTCTGAGTGTGAGCATAGCCTTGATCTTTCAGTGGGGGCTTTGGGCAAAGTGGGGACAGCAGTCATCAGTGGGAGTCGGTGGAGAAGGTGCAGTGGTGGGAAATGAACCCACGACCTTCTGGGCTTAAGGCCAATGCTCTACCAACTGAGCTACTGTCGCCCCTTGGTTTGATCACATTTCACTAAATTAAGTCCATAGCTATATTTCCACTTCCAACACTCATTATTGGGACAGGCTTCTCAGAGCCGTCTCTGTGAAAGGTAAACATCCTCCACAATGCAGTAGAAGAGTGGCTCTCTTTCTCAACTTTAAATTGTACTACTGGGCTTTCAATGAAGAAATAGTGAATCCATTGGATTTAACTGGAGAATTATTTGCACCGCAAGTAAATGCCACGTTCAGTTTTGTTCCAATTCTGTCACATTGCATTGGTATGTTGTGAAGACATGTGGTAACACAATTAAATGTAATGTATTCTTATAATGATGGTATTCTGTGTCCTATCTCCTGTTATACAATGGGCAGTTGGAGACATGTTTTGTGACAGGAGCCTTTAAACAGTTGGAATACTGTAATCGTGTTTCTTCTTTTGCTCACAATTAAGGCCTTGGCAGTCCCCTTTCCAGCCACATTCGTTCAATTTCTAAATAACCGTATATTCTCATGTTTGGACAGATATATTGCATTCCATTGCACTTGGAGGGATATCCCAAATATACCTGTTGATTTTAACTGTGATGCAAAGGGCTATTGCAAGTGGAAATTGCTTCATGGATCTGTGTGAAATTACTTTACTGAAGCCTTCAGTGACTGACTTTATGTGTTGTTACAAAGCAGATTACTGTATATTACTGTGCAACTGTGAGGGCCTGTTCTTTTGGCTACATCAAGGGTTAACAATAGTTACTGTCATACACTGCAAAACATGTCAGCTCTGACTGAGTCGCAGATTTTGCGTGCCTGGTGTGGCTCTCGATCATCGGTCAAAACTAAAAACGATATCAAACACTTGGTTAAATAGATGATCGTTGGTTTGTAGCGCTGTTTGTGTCTGCTGGCTGGAAGTGGACGTGTCCTGGCCACAGTCCTGGCCACAGTCCTGGGTGTGCTTTTGGAGTGCGCAGCCTTGTCAGGGCGGGGCAGGGCGCACAGGAGGCTGAGAGGGAGAGTGGTGTGGAGCGTGTACGGACACGGTGCGAGAGGAGTCAGCTGGTGGAAAAGTGCAGGCAAAGTGCGCGGTGACAGTGAATGTGGAGGCTCTCGGAGGGGACACCTTGAGGACAGCGGAAGAACGAGTTTTGGACCAGGAGATCCAGAGGAACGCCTTCAGCTGCGGCCACAACTGGACCTGTGTCTTGTGCCTTTTATTCCCCGCTCCTATACCGTAAGATGCCTTCCCAAGTGTGCTTGTCTTCATGTACTCTTTCAGGAGTCAAATGCAAAGTTAAACAAAGTTGAATCAATCCTCTCAGTGCTTAGATCCGTGCACAGTGATGCAGATGAGATTCCCTGTTTAGTTTGAATCATTTTTTTCTCATGTGCTCCAACTCAAAGTGGTCACTGGTCAAAGAAACGCTGCAGATCTGACAAAGCATGACTCTGTACAAAGCAGGAGGGCGTTGTTTACATTAGAGCCAAAGTCACTGTACACTAAAATCTGCTGACTCAGACCTACTGTTTTTTATGCACAACAATTAGCTGAGAAGATACATATACATAAAGTAACAGACTGTAGGCAATGGCTTGTTCTCAGCAGGAAGACCCCCACCCCCTCTCAACGTTTGTGTTGTTTCCTCAGTGATTAGATCTTAGCACTACTTCTCCTCTGCACATGTAGGCTAATCTCAGTCACTGCTCCGTCCTGTTAGTGCCAGTGCAAGCCTCAGCTGGTGAGGATCAGGTGTCACTCAGCCACTGTGTGCTCCAGACTTTTTATCTATAAACACATGTGCACAGTGACATTATTAACTTGATCTTTCCTCCATTTGTTAACCTCCATGTCCCAGTAAAACCTGTAGAGCTGAACAATGCCTTTCTCTGTTGGAGAAACCACAAATGTCAGTAAATGCCAAGCTCTTTGGAGATCGAGTTTTGTTTGCAGGCTTATTAGTTGCAATTCAAGATGACCCGGATTGCCCTTTCTGACCAGAAGTTTAATCAAATTGGTTGTGGGATAAGCTGGAAAATATGACACTTGAAGTACATTTCCCCTCAGCAGAAATGTTTTCTCTACACAAACCAAGGCTGTCAGCAGAGCAACCTAAAGATAGCATTGTGCCCCAGTGGAAACACTAATTAGTGGGGTGCAGAAAGCGAGAGGAGGCGGAGGAGGAGCATGAACAGATATTGTTTGAACCTTCTAATATCTGTTATATCCCATGTCTGTGCAAAGGGACCAAAACATATAATAAGTGAACCACAGTTCATATACATTTTTTATTTGTAATTCTTTAAAATTACGATTTATTATATTTATTCAATCATTATTAATCAGGAAAAAAAACATTGGATTATATAAGATTTTTTTGTATATAACCCCAAGCTCTGCTCATGCTCAGGGCTGTGTTCTACTCTTTGTGTTTATTGTTCAGTTTTGAATCTAAAGGATGGCTGTCGATGCACTTGGTACGTGCAGTCGAGTTCATCATTACTTCATGAGCAAACGCTCATGCATGTTTGAAATACAGTGGTTTTGGAAGCGATTACAACATGCTACTTGTCCTGGAAGATGCAAACTTGGTGTGTAATCATAAGTCCATATAAAAAAATTAGATCAAATTAATTTCACATCTTAGAAGCTCAGCAGGGCAGGGCCTGGTTAGTACTGTGATGGGAGACCTTTTGAAACACCAGGTGCTTGTGTGTGTGTGTGTGCGCGTGCTTGGTGGTGGTCTCATGGGCTGATAGCACAGATGGGCAGCCTTCCCCAGTGAGCATCTGTGGCTACATTAGATCACCACCATTGTATCCAGAGTGAATGAATAATGCCATGTGAAGCATCTTTGAGTGAAAAAAACAGTATATATGATGCATTATAACAATGCTGTATTTCTGTTTCTGTTTCTGGATTGCAGGAGTCTCCCCCCGCAGTCATCTATTTTAATATTAAATTTGCACCATGGCCTTAGCTGGATGTCCAGATTACTTCCTGCATCACTCTAACTACCAGGTAAACTATTTAAATACATTTCAATTTTTTTTTACTACATTGTCATTTTCCTATACTGTCTGTTATACGTCTAAAGATAATCTAGAGCTGTAACTAATAATTATTTTGATAATTTCATCCACACAAATTAAGCAGATTGAGCAGCCATGCTGGGTCTTGCCAGGTCAGTTTGTAGAGAGAAGCCCACAGGACAAAAGTGTTCCTCCCAAATCTCAGCCTGGCTATCAGTCGGCATCCAAGGTCAAGCCAGGTGAACTCTGGAGACACAAAATAAATCCCCTCTCTCACCGGTAATTACTATTGCTAAGACAGAACTTTCAACCCCTACTGGTAAATTGCTGCTTCAAGTGTCATTTATTGTGTTTGTTTATTTAATCTTACTCAAATTGATGTACAGCGGCAGCTCAAGGGAACCTGCTTTATCTTGCTTGGGAGGCACACGGAGAACTGGGACCTAACAGGACCAGAGTGTGCACAGACCCCCCCCAGACCAGGGACGAGACCAGACCTGACGATGTGGAAAGGTCTGGGTCTGCCATTTGGAGGGCTGACAAACGTCTGTGAGAAGGCCTGTTTCCTACCTGTCAGACAAATAAATCTACATGCCTTTTCTTTCACCCCCCACTTTGAGAATCACTGGTTAAAGATATCTTCTAATATCTTTTCTGGAAGGATATTCTGTGTACAAATAAAATCTAGATTTACAGCTGCCCATTGCACCATGCAGTCCATGGGTGCAGTCAAATAATTTTGATTTATTATTTACTTTCATTTTTATAGAAAAAATATATGCAACAGGTCATATCATCCCAAAAAGGTCAAATATTATATATTTCATCCATCCATCCATCTTCTTCCCCTTAATCCATTTCTGGGTCAGGGGGTGGCAATCAGAGCTCCACCCAATTCACATATATTTCATATTGAGCAAATGATTTTATCATAATGAGTTCTAATGTGTTTCATATAATCTGGAACATGATCTTTTAAGGGACTGTTGAGGTGAGTTTTGCTATCAGCAGCTCTCAGCAGCCTCATTCTAACTATCCAAGTCTTGCTGAATGGGCTCTTTGTCTCCAAGCTCAGATTTTCTCCTCTCGAACCCCCTGGTAACCCTAAAGAATTTAGCTAAAGAGAAACATGCTAATCTATTTATAGAATTCTAAACCTCTGGCAATATTGTGTCCTATGTTCAGGACATCTCGTATTTCTGAATTTTCTCATTATCGTCATTTTGTCATTATGTGTGATGCAGTCATGTTGCTTGTTGACCAATCATGAATCTGCTGAACCTGTTGATCTGATGCTAAGTTGGATTGGTTCATGTTAGTTTCCAGGAAAGAGATTTTGCTTTAGTAAGACTTAAGTGACTAGTTAAGGAAATCCCCATACAAAATAGCATTCCTTTGCATCGCTCCTAGTTGGATTTGATTTAACATTTAATTGAGCAAAAATAGGAGGTGGGGGCACAAGTAGTTCCTCTTTATTGGGCACTTAAGATTGAATTGTAGTTTTAGTGAGAACTGATAAGCAGCAAATGAGCCCTCTTTTCTGCTCACTTACATAACTGTATAAATAACGCTAGGCATCTTTGAGAATCTGGGCAGCCTTCCAGGACTGTCTCGAGGAGGGTAAATGTGTCTGTGTGTGTGAGCGTGTCCTTCTTAGCAAGAAATTTGGACCTGTGCCAAAGGTGTCCCAGAGGAAGCCAGCAATTCTCACTTTCACTCTCTCTTCCCTGCTCCATTTGTTCCTGTATGAGGCTGGTGAGTGTGTACAGTGAAACCACAGCACTCTCAGCTGAGTTATGACCTGAACCCCTCAGAGAGAAATACTTTAACAGACTCTCTTCCGGTTTGTCTTAAACAACAACAAACATGTTCTAGGATATGTTGTATATGATGTACCGCCGCCAAATTGTTACAGTGTTGATTTAAGGAACTGAATTTCCACTGTATCCACTAAGCCAATTTAAAGACTGAGGCCTAATTTATAGTAATGTATTGTTTCCTTTGAATATAATGCTCCAGTTTATGGAGATGCATACTGTACATGCAGTACAAAATGTATTATTAATATTATTTAATGGCTGCATTGACATTGGCTTATCTGCTATATTGTTTTGCAGGCCTTCTCTGTCAGCCTCACTGGGTCTGCGGCCTTCCTTGGAAAGATTTTGGCTTCTGCTTCTCAGAGCTATAAATCTTGCTCAAGGCATTTATGGATGTTTTCAAAGCACTGAGGGGAGAAAAGAGGGTGTATGTGCATACATGCACACCCGGACTTCAGGCCACGAGCAGTTCCTGGAAGCATTGCTTCCTCGTTTCTCTCTTTCCAGGAAAAGGGAAGAACCAAAATTTGTTTGGCTTTTGCTCCCACTTTCTCTTCTGCTACATGTTTGCCTTAAGGTTGCTTAAAAATATGTTTTGATTTGAAGCTGGATTTCAAGTTAGATTTGAACATTTGAAGTTGTTTTGGATGTGTGTGCCCCAGCATGTACAGTATGCCTAGGGACACAATGGTTCCCTGCTGTGACTCTGCTTGGTGTATCTGCTGGTGTCTCAGGGAGAGGTAGGGCGGTCAGGGGTCACACTGCCTAGAGACACTGGGTCAAAGCAGGGTGTTCATAGAGAACAGGGGTTTCCGTCTGATCTGGTGAACTCTGAAAATGACACGTTGACTGTCTCCTCACTTTTATGTTTTTCTGCATGATTTTCTCCTTTTGCCTTTTCATTCGACAGGAAAACATGGATTGCACTTCTTCTCACAGGCCTGAGGAGCTGATTGTTCCTGGCTTACGGCTTACAGCTCACAGCCAATAAAAACATGCCACATCACCATGGTAACTCTGGTTCTGCTCTCTTGTAGATCTAGAAAAAAAAAACATTAACCATCTTTTATTGTCTTCAAATAGATTGAATTAGATTATATAGACATATTTCACTGTCTTTTCCTGCTTCAACTAAAACCAATCCTCTTGAAGCCGATACCTTTTATCTTCTTTAAAATCCATTCCGATTTCTGAGTTTTCACTCACACATCTATCATCTATCCATGTCCTTTTCCATGTCCTGCCTTGCTATGAATCAATTATTTTGGTTGTCAAACAGGTTTCTCTACCCATACAAATGCAGTCTATGCAGCCAATGCAAACATCCATGGGAGCGCAAAAGCATGAAAACTGTACATAAAGCAATGAACTATAAATTAAGAGTGAATATTCAATCCTTTCCTGTTGTTTTATTTGATAATGTATTTTCAATTTTCTGTTATTGGTTACACACACACAGCATCCTTATTGGTTGGAAATACCAATATTGTGCATCACTAGTTTCTACTAGTTTCTATTATAAAAATTCTATTTGCATTACTCAAAGAGTAATAAAGTTCACTTAAAGTGTAGAGTACCGCAGGGTTCCATTCTCGGTCCACTTGTCAATTTGTATTTACATCCTCTTATATACAATATCATAAATATGCTAATGGTACACATGTTATACCCGTTGATGACTCAAGACCAAATAAATTACCTTTTTACTGTATTAACAATAATAGGATGAGAGTGGAATCCCTCTGTTCGTATATCCAATTTAGCTGCAGAAGGTAAAAGTAAAAATATGCAACAAATACATATTTTAACTTTTTTCACTTACAAATCTTCATAGACTCCTGTTGTTGATAAAGCCCATCACATTATTCTGATTTACCTGTGCTTTATGAACCTGCACACAATCTCAGATCCGTGGACCTCAACCTTCTTGATCAGGTAAAAATTAAAGATGGGGAAGTTCCTTTCACCCACTATGTGTCTTGTAAATGGATCACTGTCTAATAACATCAGAGGGGCTGCAATACTGAGTAATTTCAAAAGCAAACTCAAGGCTCCTGGGTTTTGACTTTCTTTTCCAGGTTTTATTTGATTTGTCCTATATTAAGCCATTTGGGTTGATTTATACTGTACATGTTTATGAAAGACACAGCCACATGAAAAAACCCCACAAAGTAGCACACAAGTTGATTCATATTCATATTGATTGATATTTTTTGCTAGGTCTCACTTTTTTCATGTCCATATGTTACATAAACTATCACTCCAGCTCTTTGTATTCGTGTAGGTTTGCAGGAAAAGCCAGTGGTCAACCAGTTCTAATTTCAGATAACGCTTTTGGTAAGGGAACATCAAATCAACCAGCCACTTATGAAAGCCCTTAAAAAAATATTTTGTTCCAGAACTAACCTAATGAGTGGATTGCAAAAGAGAAGGTTAGACCGCCATTTATTTTTTGAGTTCATCATAATTATCCAAAACTTTGCTCTCAATGTTGGCTGTCAAATTGCATTATAAATTGCACATTATTCACACAGAAGGAGGACCTTCTAGTTGTAATAAATGTCAAATCCACTAAATTACCATCTGGTTCTTTGGACACTGAGTGTGGCTGTCCTCATCTGCCCTCTGTGCTTGAGTTGTGTACCCCTGCCCCACTGATGAACCCCTCATCACATGACCACGTCCCCCGCCTGTGTGGATGTGTGTGTCATGCCTGCATACCTCACTGTGATCCAAGAACATAGGGTTCGCCTCCTGCCGTTTCTGGTACATTGACTTCTTTTCCACTTGGCCTGTGCTGAATGTACAGAATGTACACGTATTCTACTCATTTCTCTATAGAAAGACAAGCTCACACACGTCAGCAGCTCTGTTTGGACACAGTGTCCTTGGCCTTCCTCTGCAATGAGTCTTTTGGTGACCTACTTTAGTATGATCATTTGTCCGCTATATGTCATGTGCTGGCTGCCCTCCTGTAATTTCTCTTTTTAGGAATACAAAAAAGTCTGCGGTGTTGGGCTGAAAAAACAAGTTTTGGAAAGTTTGAACCGTTCAGTAAAACCCTGTTCTTAAATGTAGAAGACGTCCTTTGTCTTTGTGATCATAATCCTCGTTCATGAATAGCTTCTCAAATGAAGAACATAGTAAGGCACAGCTTGGAGAGTGAGACTGTCAGTAATGATCACTTTAATAGTCGACTTGTCAAAGATTTATTTATATTGTTCTAAACAATATATGTTTTTATAGTTTTAAAAGCGACACGTTCTTTGAAACAACAATATTTTTCACTTAATTTTAAGGAACAGTTTCTGGGAACACAGATAAAATATCTAGATTCATTTTGAAGTAAATTGTTGCACACTGACTCTTTTGAAATATTACAGGGACTCCGTACAACATATACTTTAGGATTCATTTTATTTGCCATTTGCAGTAAAACAACATTGGAATACATGTGCAAAAGTCCCCAGTGTGCACCAGACAAGTAGAAAAATAAAACAAGCTAAGTACTTGCTTGAATGCTGGACAACACTCCTTTATCTTTTCGATATTTCTGTGTATTTACTATTGAACTAAAGTAATCAATGATTACTTGTATTGAACATGTGCCTGGATATACATTTTTTTAATATACATTTTAAACAAAAATAGCAGTTATGCTAGGATTTAAGTATAACTGGATTACTAGTAGTTACTAATTTTCGCCTGAATTTTCACTTTTCTTTTGCTTTAAAAAGAATGAACATATACATCTAGTGAGTAAACAGCACTTTTCACTGACCATTAAAAAGATGCAATAAAAAGGCAAATTGACAGATTTACATTTACAAAATGTTGGATAATCATCAGTTAAGGCTAGCTGGTTTAATTATGACAATTAGATTGGCATCGATTGCTTTTCCTCCAACGAACAAAAGTAATAGATACTTTTATTCTTCCCGGCAACACAATATAAAATATTATGAAGCCAAATTTAATCATTAAGCATCATTAATCTGGCTTCAGATAGCTTAACTTTGCACAGGTGGACACAGTATTGTTGTTTTTACTAAACTAGTAATATCCTTTCTTCTTCAATTGAGTTATTAAATGTGAATTTTGTAATCAGCAACTTTATTTCTTCACCATCTTGTGTTTATGTTTTGCACAGACGATGATGTTGACCTGGAGAAGTTGGTGAATGAGATGAACTCTTCCATGGAAAGCGTGTACTCACAGGCAGACACTGCACTGCTCCTGAATAACGGGCATCATGTGCACCCTTCATACCAGGCCCATGGCCCACCACGGAGGCGCCACACCCCTCCACAATCCTCCCAGCCCATGCACATCCAAGCAGTCAGGTGAGAACTGCAAACTCCTTTCCTCTAACTCTATTTACACTCTTCAGGAAACTGCCTTTTTTCTTTAAAACGTTCCGAACCAGAACATCCACGTCCATCGGGCATCTCAAAATTGCTCCCACATACACCAATTTTCTACGGGTATGATTTCAATCCCTCCTGTAGTTTTTTGCACTATCCTGCTTACAGACAAATGCACACATGGAGACTATTACAATACCCCCTGTTGGCGGGATAATAACATACAGTATCTACATTAATTTTCCCACTCAAGTGGTGTATGTCTCCCTCTGCAGGTGCATTCAAGAAGAGCAGCACTCGCGGCCTGCTTCTCTGCCTGCAATCCCCAACCCTTTCCCAGAGCTTTGTAGTCCTGCTAGTTCTCCTGGACTCAGCCCCATCCAGATGTCCGACAACCATGTGAGTAGTGGCTATGGACTCGCACACTCTCCAGAGCAAGTTACATTATATATACTTATGTATATGAATGCTGATAACAATAAATATCAACATTGTAAGCCTACGCAGACACTGAGAGAACATGCAAACTCCACACAGAAGGGCCTGGAAGTGGAATTGAACCCAGGACCTTCTTGCTGTGAAACACAAGCTCTAACCGCTGCACCACTGTGCCGCCCAAGTGTACTTTACTAATTACTTTAAGCATGAATCTAAACATACCAGATTACCAAATCCATTCCTTGTCCTAAGTGCTGGGTTCACAAACATAGTGAATTCAAGTAGAATCAAAGTCCTTTTTGTTGCCATTGTAAGTAACAGGTGGTCACAAACTGTGAATTTGCTTTGCCCCTGGTGCAGACAAGTTATAAAACAAGTAAAAAATATTCATAAAGGAATGCCTAAAACATCTTAATAAAGTTCTAATGTATAAATACACACAATAGATATTTAATGTGTCCAGAGGTATAATATTATAACGTGATGATTGTAATGAGTTGGGATCTGGTGATGAGTTATGAAGTGTTCATGAGTCCAACTGCAGTGGGGAAGAAACAGTTCTTATGGCAGGAGGTAGCCTTCTGCCTGAGGGGAGGGGTTTGAATAGTCCATGTGCAGCTCAGGGGAAGTACAAGTCCATGGTGGCAGCCAATCTTCTTCTCATCAAAAGAGAAGCACACGATGCGCTGTGGTCTCTGCTTGTTGCCGCCAATGGCTCCAGTGTCCCACGCGGTGATGGAGGAGGTGCAGATCTGTGCATTTAGCTCTGCAGGCGCTCAAATGCCTTGATGACTACAATTGTGAGCGCCACAGGTTTGTCGTCATTAAGTCGAGTGATCTAGGTCTTCTTGGGGACTGTTACAATAATAGAGAACTTGAGGCAGGCCGGGATTTGGCAGAGGTTTGAAATGACTAAAAGGTGTGGAGTCAGCTCACTGGCAGATCATAAGTAATAATTACAGCAAATACCTGTTTAATCCAAAACTACAAATACTTATAATAATAAAAATGTTGTTGTAAAATGTGGATGTGGGTTGTAGATCTCCCAATGACAACACAAACTTGTACTACAGTTGTGATCAGGTTGTATGACATGCTTTACCTTAGTTATGCTACAATGTACTCTCTTCAACATCACAGCACTGATCTGCACTGGGGCCATAGTGGAACCGCGGTCGCAAGTCCATGATGTCCTCACACTTCAATCAAAGATTAAAAGTTGCAACTAACAGTAGCTGTAGTCTCAACTCCTACATCAAGACTCTCTGTGTGAGTGCCTGATTGAATACTGTATTCCCCACGTCTGGCAGTGTCCCAAAATTGTAGAAAAAAAATTAATGGATGAAGCGTTTGCGTGTGTGTGCGTGCGCGTCTATGAAACTAATTTATGATTGTTTTTTTTGTTTAATTGCTTGATGTTTTGGTTGAAGCACTTTTTTAAATCAATCACTTAAATGCTGATGAGTCAGGTTTGTTTTGCAGGAACAAAGTGAATAGTGTGTCCAGGATGCTACAGACATTGAGCAGACTTCCTTAGCAGTGCTGGGAATATTGTTGTTCTCCGGCCTTTTCTGGCTCTTCGTTTGGCTTTGACTGCTGTTGCTTCAGGAAGATAGGCGCCTGTTTCCCGTTCACACGCTGCCGTATCGCCCCTTGGTGTCTGTGGGTGCCTGCATGTGTCAAGGCTGTATCCTTCCTCCACTCGACCCACATGTCCCTGGACTACAGTAGCCCTCTACAAGGCACTTCTAGGAGGCCGAGTCTGACCCCATTCTAATCTGTAGAATTAATACATTATTGAAAGAAAGGCATATTACTTGTGCCTTGGAAAACAATTGAATCCGGACATTATCTCACACGGTTTGAAGATGTTATGCTCGTTGGCAGTTCAAACTAATGTATAAGCTGTGGTCAGAGTTAACTTGATGTCTTCCAGTTAAGATTAAATCTGAGCCCACATGAATCACCTTCAGTCACACAAGAGTCAAGTTGGAAAACATGAAAAAGGGGAAACCGATGCTTTGAGTAGTTCTTTGCAAAGTGTACAGGAAATCCAAAAGAAACAAAACAGGATACCACTCTTTCTTCGGGCAGCACAGTGATTAAAGTATAGCCCAACTATCCATTATGCTCAAATAATTCAAAACAAAAAGATATTAAAAGATTAAAAAAAATAAAAAATATATTATATATAATATAATATAAAAAACTTTTTATCAAAGTTTCCAATGCTAACAAACCACTTCCTGCGTCTGTAGAGGAACTCTAACATTACTTAACTTAATTTTCCCAATTCAATCTATCTTTTTTTATGTTTAATGAAATTTTGATCTTTTATTGGTAAACATGTGACCCTTTGTCTAAGTATGATTTCTACACATCAAGAGAAGGAGGTGCTTACTTTTCATTAAGTGAAGAGGGTAACTTTGCCTCTAGCAATTTCCATTTAGACTTCAGCAGGGGGTCACCAATGTTTCATCCCGAGTGAGCTCATTTTTTGCGACAGAAATGCCGAAGAGCAGTTTGATATCAGATAGTAATGAGAAATAAAGTGTAGGTACATTTCTGGTTTGTAGGTTGAGAGCTGCACATTGGCACGATAGACTTTTCTTGTGCATTGTTGTATAATACTGTATAAATTGGTTCAATAATCTGTAGTGAATACACTATGCATGTAAGTAATTTATTTAATGTCAGCTAAACCTATTGCCATTCCATATGAGGATAACAGACAGATAATTGCTGTAGTTCATTTACCGCTTGTTGTACCGGAGCTCATTCTAGTGGCACCGGTTCCTCCACACTTCATGTACTTATTTTCTGCATTTAAATTCACATTTCTGTGCTCTTGTGTTAATAAGTATGTGTCTTAGGTGATACTTGATGTGCAGAGTTTGAGAACCGCTGATCTCAGGCTTGTTGACTCTACACTTGTATTTGCATTGGCAGAACTTTATCAGTGAATCTGTCTCTCCAGCTGTACACATAGAATCTGAACATTCCTTCCTAAGCTTCAGTCTTTATAACAGAGCCATGCTCTCAGTAAGGTATGTATTGTTTGTGAGTTGGAGACATGACATGACCAATGTTAGTGGTTGTAACTGAGTGATTTATCGAAGCTTTTGAGCTGTTGCATTACTTTAATATATGATTCACTAAGTACCACCTTTATTTATAGATATATATTGGTTGTTACTTTATTGGAGGGGCTTACACACGTAAAAAATTATTATGGGTAACTAAATAGCAGGTTATTGTATTCTTATACATATAAACATCTAATAATGACTTGCCTATATATGATTCCTTTCGTTTTTCAAAAGGCTTTTCAGTTACATACAGGTCTATTCTTTGCATGGTCTATAACACATGCATTTAGCGTAAACCACTCTCCAAATGATTTGTCAGATGCTCCTAATGTAAAGTAGTGTGTGCTCTCCAGCATAAGCACTTGACTCCCATCCCCCTTTTGTCTTTGGTCAGCTGATACACTTCTGCACGCAATGGTCTGCTGACCCATTGCAATCAGATCAGGTGCATGCATGTGTGTGCCATGGCAATGCAGGCATTTCACACTCCTCCATCTGGAGTATGTTTTATTAGCAATGTTCCATGATGTGAGGGCATTTTATAACTCGCCTTTGCACAGTCTTTTGGTCATGGTGGAATCAGTAATCCTGATTTATGCATCTTTTGAATTTTTGCCAAGTGCTAAATATTTGTCGTGGGTTGCTAAGGGATGACACAGCTGATGAAGAAACATGTGCCTCTTAGGCCCCGTCCCAATACTCGCACTTCCACCCTCGCGCCCCTCATTTGCGCGTTCCCGATAAAGGGTGCCAGTGCGTAGGGTGTCCCAATTCTCCAGGGAGGTCTTTGGCCCCGCCCCCTTTGCGCCCCTGATCCACACTTTGCCGTAGCCTGCATCTATGCGCACTCTGGCGAAGGATATTGCCCATAATTCTTTGCGGTACACACCAAAACGTCGGGAAAATGCATTTAAATATACATTTTGAAATATATATGCAGTATGTGTGTAAATAAGTTTTGCTATGTTACTTGGAAAGAAGCATAAACGTTTGATGAAGAATTACGGACATTGTGTTTTAACAATTTAATAACTTTTTAAAGCAAGCGTTTATATAACATTCAATTTAAACTTTACACTTAGTACAATAATATTAGAATGTATAAAAACTGACCAGATAGTTAGTTACCCACATTTAACTTAAAATTATACAGCTATCTCTAATTAAAAACAACTAATATACATGTATTTTAACGTGTGTGAAGCAATTCATTTTGTTTCCCAAAGGGTCAGACAAAGTTACCTTTAATTTTTATAAAGTTTAGGTCTGAAAATGACCATCTCTTGACGAGTCGATGACGTAACCAGCACTCAGTGTGCACTGTCCCAATTCTGCCTTTTTTGCACGCTTGTAACCTGCGCACTCCAACCCTGGTGTGCACTTCGAACAAATGCACACTTCGTAGATGTGTGTAGGGTGCAGTGTGGGTATTGGGACTGGGCCTTACTGACGCTCTGTTTACATGTGCAATTACTGTCAAATTCCAACACACTTTGATTCATATACTTTTAAATATAATCCTAAAGGGAGATGCTTTTTAAAAATAAAAGTTGAATCAACTGGGACAATAGGGTAAATGTGCATCAGCGGATGAATGTTTCATGTGCAACTTATTTCAAATTTGTTTAAAAATGATTGATTGATCACTCATTCTGCATTCACAGCATGTATAACTCAAAATAGCAACAGCAGTCATCTCGTAGTGTATTAGGCTTGTCAATTCGCCATCTCCAGATTAGAATGTCCAAGACTTTTGTACATAATAATAATAATAATGAGTCAACCAATGTCCATAACTTTTTCTAAACGTCCCGCATCCCCTTTCCTTTGGCTTGGACCCTCTTCTGTGTGTGTGTCTGTCCCATCACGGCTGATACAATCACAATGAACAAAAAGCACAAAAAAACTGCCATTTATATAATAACAAATGGGTTGTATGGTGTGTAACGTGTGATCAGCCATCAGAAATGGACAGCCCCTCTCCCCCTGACCAGCCTGTGTGTGTGTCTCAGGTGATGATGCTTTGCTTCTGACTGATGAGTCACTTTTCCATCAGGCTTATTTGGAGCTGGGTCAGTATGGTCAGTCTTGATGGTCACCCCCTGCATCCATACACAAAGGCCTGGTCCTTTTTAGAGCAGGACAAACACACTGTCGTGGGGTGTTATAGACTCACTAGGATGTGAGATGACTGTAGGCACAGTATTATAGCTCTGTAGTTAGACTTAAAACATTAAGTATAAACTCCAGTGGCACTTCACACTCTGTTAGGTTAGTTGTTTTTTAGTTAATCAGTTTTGGTTATATAAGGAGCATGACAGCAGGTCTGTGTGCAGTAGATAGGAAAAAAGACGTAAAACATTGTTTCCCTTTATTTCAGAGCTCACACACTTTTATACAGACACATCTAGTGCATGTGTTCACAAAAACATTAAGCCAAGTTGTCCAAGTAAATAGTCCAAATACCCTGTCCCGCAGTAAATGCAGAAAAGGAGTACATTAAACAGTAGCCACAAGGTCAACACATACAAGGGCCATACATTTTCAAATAGTGTATGTTGTTCATTTGTCTAAAGTGATCCGCAGCTGCCACCTCCTCCCCCATATCCCTGAATGCACCTTTGTGTCTCTTGTTACTGTGAAAGAGATCTGGTAGGGCCTAATGCTGCCAGCTTGTGTGCTGACCTATGTTTGTGTATTGCCTATAGCCTGATAGGTTTAGGGGCCCATAAACCTCTTGGTCAAGTGGAGCTGACCCTGGCACAGATTGTGTTTGACCTCTTAACCCCTTCGTACTGTGCCTTGTGTCTGTGTGGCTCTTTGTTTATATGTTTGTAGGCGCCTGTCCCTGACCCTTGATTCCAATGCCCCACGCTCCAAGCTCCTTTTCACCACCTCACTATTTGTACTGCTATAAATATACCTCCCTTTGCTCATCCAATAAAAGTGGTGATATGTAATAAAATGCGGGGGGTTCATTTCAGTAGACTCTCATGGGTCCTTTCTCAATAGAAAAAGTGTGAGGCGGTTAATTGTGTGGATAGAATAAAACAAATATAGATAGTGTTCTGTTTAAAATCACATGTTATTAAGACATGTTTTGAAAAAAAGACTTCCCTTGCATTTGTGCAATTATATAGTCCAAGCGCCCTTTAATATATTCAAAAGCTAAAATGTGCGAACATTACAATCATATATTTAGTTGTATAAAGCGAAAAACCTTCCCCTCATTAATAATTCCCAGAGCATTCCAAGTCTGAATTTGATTCAATGTTGTTCAAATGTTGTACATTCATTCCTTCTCATCCCCTTTATTAATCCATTTCTGGGTCAAGGGGTAGTAATCAGAGCTACTACTCAAAGTTTGTATGCATTTTTTTTTTTATACATGTATTGTACTGCACAAACAGTCCTACTTACTGTACGTGTACCTCAACAATACTTTTGTCTTTTCAGAGGCCTTAATCATATAGAATATATAATGGACTTGGACTTAATATGTTTAACACTTTGTCTCATTACAGTAGGTCAGTTTTTACCCCCGTCATAATTAACTTAAATTCACAGGACACTTCTTAATTTGGATTAAATCACATCCAATAGGGTTAGGGTTGGTCTGTTACCTGGGAAACCTCTCCAATTCTGCGGTTTCATCACATCCAGCCTATACAGTGAAAGCATTTGTTTTATTAAATAATCATTTGCTTCAGATATGGAAACAAAGTTACATTTGTCACTTTTACTGCAGATTAATATTGGCTCTGTATATTTTCTTGTAATACATTATTAAGAAGAATTATTTAGAATTTTTCATATGAACACATGCCATTATGTACTGTATATAAATCCACTAAAATAACTGAATATAAGCCTAGGTTATTGTGCATTATCCGAACAGGATACTGGCCTGTTCGGTGAATCCCAAATTGATTAGGACGGGAGCTCGGCCTCAATTAAAACTCTATTCATTGCGCAGCCCATTTGTAGGCACAGGGATCACCTTGACAGAATATTGCTGGTGAATGTTGAATTGATTTCCAAATGTGAGTGTGCGAGCCAACACATCATAAAACCACTTTTATAGTACACATGTGTTCATACCATATGCACATTATTCCCGTAGCGCCGTTAGCAAGGCCAAAGTGCAGCGGGCAGTCTCGGATTGCTCTGAAATAGCCGCGTGAGACTGGAGTTAAAATAAGAACGGGAAAGTCAAAAACTGTCAAGGCCTTTGCATATTATTCCTTTGAACATAGTATGTGTAAGTCTGTGTGGAGGGGGTTGTCTCATGCGCCGTGCATGAGGGGCCAGCTGCGTTGGACTGTACATATGAGCCTGATTATGACTCAGTGTTGCATTACTGACATTCCTCTATAGCTCTGCTCGTCTTTTCTCTTTTTTCGCTCCCTCTTTTTCGCTCCATCTCTCGTCGCGCCTTGCCTTCTGCTCTCCGCAGCCGAGGCAGATTTGCTGAGCAACCCGCCCACCCCCACACACGGCTCCCTCCCACGCTCCCTCCCCCCTCCTCCCGTGACCCCCTTCAGCAAAGAAGCCCAAACGTCCGACACGTGATCCATCCCCATCGCTGTCTCCCTCTGAAAAACCTCACCTCACCCCCCCTCTCTTCGCTCTTACTCTATACTCCACCTGCTTTTTAACAGGACTTTCTTTTCCAAGCTCCAAGCCATCGGTGTGCGTTACACATGTTGCTCTGGTCCCAACACTCCCGCCTAGTATTTCACATACAGCTGAGGAGGGCGAAGAGGAAAGGAGAAAGAGGAGGGGCAAGGAACTGAAAACCATCACAGCGCTTAAAAGAACTGTCTGCGAACGCGCATGTGGGGATGTAATAATCGCTTGCAGATCGTTGTCTCTAGAAAGAGGATGACACAGGGAATTTGAATGCGAGATAAGAGCGTCTGGTACGTGACAGGTAGCGGCTCACTGTAACAATCCTGCACTGGGTTAATCCAGGAGAAGGAGGAGGAGGAGAGACGATTGTATGCAAACGCTGAGCTTTTCTGCAGCTTTTCCCGCACAAGAAGACCGCGCAGAAGACCGACCAGGCTGTCTCCGTCCTCTGCCCCCCTCTCCCCACCCTACCTCTTTCCTCTCTCACTCGCCAGCCTGACTTCCTCTCCTCCCACCAGCTCTCCCTCTCTCTCCCGGTCTATGCCACTGGTGGAGAGCTGCTCAGTGTGAAAATGCCATCCTGCTCTCCAGACTGTTGCCTCTTTCAGGCTGTGGAGGTAAGGAACCTCGATTGTACATGGATGAGCCTGGGTTGTAGCAGTGGCCTGTGTTTGCGCGTGTGTCTTTGTTTTAATGCGAGGTGATGCGATCCGTTATTTCTCGTGAAACTTTTGACCGTACAAACTAATGCGTCATGAAAATAGTTTAAGTCAAATGGTGGGGGGGGGGGTGTGAGGGGGGCGTGTAGGGCTAAAAAGGAGGCTGTCTTCTGGTTTTGCAGAGGCACTCGGCTGTGTGACGCCGTTTTTGCCCAATCTTTTTGCTCTGCTTTTGGTCTTTTGTGTCATCTCTAGGCCACAGTTGCTTCTACCTTTTTTGGCCTGTGTTTCTTTCTTCTTTGGCAAAATGTCTCTCGGTTTTGGGTTAGATTTGTGGTGTTTCATATAATTTCCAACAGTTGTTCCTTGCTGATATTGTGAGGAGTGCAGCTGAATTTGGCTCTTGAGTCCCTGCTGTGTGCAGGGACAGGATTTGTTAGGTGTGTGGGATTGTGGGAATAGAAACGCACACACTTGGAAGTCAATATATCGTTCTTTTTGGTTTATGAAATGGCAATTGTTGTGATTTCAAGCGCTTTACATTTGTCATTGGGTCATTTCAGACCTGCCTTCTGTATAAGGAGTTGGGTAGTTAGAAGCAGCTGGTACGTGACTCGATGAGGAGAATGCATCCAGAGAAGGCAAAATTACACCCAGCTTAAATATCGCTTTGGGCACTTGGCAGAAATGGTTCAAAATGGCGCGACAATGGGAGACACTGTGCCTTTGAACCAGACTTGTACTGCTTCTAACGGGTGACATTTTAATACTCAAATGCAACATGTGCGCCCACGTCGTATCTCTCTCCCATGTTTGCGGTGTTTCGATTCATTACGGATTTTATATTTCAATACTTTTACTCATTAAGATTCAAATTCTGCAATTCTAAGTGTGTGAGAAACTTTGGACAAAAGAGTTGAAGTGGGAAAGCAAGGGACGAACAACATTTCCTGAACGTCATCCTCCATTTTTTTTATTTTTTTTTTAAAGCTGATCTCATGTTGGACTGGCACTAGAATGTGAAGTGCGCTTTTTAGAGAGGACCTAAGAGAATTTAGTAATGGAGGTAATTCATTATCATTTTAAATAGATGCATCTACGTATTACATTTTATATGAATGCAATCCACCCAGCTTCTTCGTTCACTCTTGACCAATTTGTGACTTTGTGATTTTTTGTATAGATTGTGAAGGTGTGGAGCGAGGATGGGGCTGGTAAAGTGGTGGAGATTCCGGCGGACATGACGGCCCGGGACGTCTGTCAGCTCCTGGTCTACAAAAGCCACTGTGTGGAGGACGGCGCCTGGGCACTAGTAGAGCACCACCCCATCCTTGGACTTGGTGAGAACTTGAAGCACTATTTTTGGCCTTGTAATTTGCATTTGATTGGTTCTGGAAGTCGGATATGGAATATGCATGTACTAAAATAGGGCCAACAGATTGTGATACTGATACAAGATTTTCTTTATCCTGGTTTCGACTGATAGTTTGACTTGTCCTGGAGATTTGGCAACAGTAGCAAGTGTATAATCTAGGCTCATTTATAAAGCTTGGTTCTTTTGTGTGTTGTTTCTACATGGGTGGAGATACTCGTCTGTGTAGCTCAGTGTATATGTGCACTTAAGCATGGTACTGCTGCTTGTGTGCCTTCTGTAAGGACCGGTATGTGAGCAGGACATGGAAAAAAAGCCTTTTCTCGAGTGCCACACCTCCCTGCCAAAGTTGTACAGAAGGGGGAAAAAAAGTTATAAACTATTTCACTTCTGTCTCATGTCCTTTTTATATATTTTTTTTGCTAAGACTTTCCTACTCCCAAAAGTTTATTTATAGATTCAAGGGATGGCTTTGTGCTTTAGTGCTGCTTGAGCCGCGTTTTTGGAAAAAAGTGCACAGGAGAGATGGAATGTGAGTTTAGGAGCGGCGCTGGGAGGCTAGTAAGGAGTGAGTTGGACGAGAGAGATGAGAGAGAGAGCGAGAAGGAGGGGTGAGGTGGGGGCCGTGTTAGGAGAGGGGCCAGGACTAAAGCGTCATACCAGAACTCCGAGGAACCAATGGTGGGTATGCATCGGACGAGCCCCTAGCTTCCCCAGCCAATCAATCTTACCTTCACCCTTCCACAGGAAATTCCCCTGCTTGCAACTACTTTGAGCACACAACACACATCCACAGCTCCTAAAAAAGAATCCAAACACTATTCTACACTTTTTAACCAAACTAACAAATAGTTAATGTGTGCTTTGCTGATTTGGCTCTAGCTTTACATCCGCATCCTCAGCTGGGTTAGTACTGGGATCAGACCAGGTGCCACTAGTACTGCACTAGAACATCCTGTTGCTATCAGTTTCTAATCGCCTGTGTGTTATCATACCCCCTTCCTCTGGCAAAAAGGGAGACTGCTCTACATGTGCATAGACTCATTATCCCAGCCAGCGTGATCTTTAATATGCAGCAGTTTGCCTGTGGCTTGTACTTTGCTTATGGCTGCACTGCTCTCAGCAATCAGCCTAAATATATGACATCATCTGCCTGCAATGCCCCCCCCTCCTCTGCATCTCAGCACACTCCCGCCGCACCCCCGCCTCGCACACTGCTTCTGTTCACAACCCCTCCTTGTTTGACCTTTTAGTCTCTTGCTTGTCTCCTGGCAACAGTTTTTCTTGCTGTGTCATTGTATACATTGATACACTTACTCATTCTTGATTTTAGATGAATGCAGCCTGTAACATGTTCATTAGAGTCTTAATTGTGATCTTTATGCAGTTTTTTGGTCATTTTTCTGAATGTTTTTTATGTGGAACATAGACTGTATACATATGGACAATGCTAACTCGCTTGCTCTATGAATTGCAATTGGAAAGTGCACATGGACAAAGTTTTTTTTACTCCAACTCGATTTGACTTCTATAGACTTACATTGAAAAGTAAAGTCCTCTAGCGCAGTAACTGTTTGTTTTGCACTTAAATATCTATGGTTTAGTGCTCTATGATCCTGGTGTTTTTAGGTTAATATTGTCTTTAAAAATTAAGTTATGAGTTGTAAGGATTGACCAATCAGATGCCTTTTTTTCTGTTGCAAATGTTACTCCAGCTGTCCTTAGCAACCATGTTAGCAACACATTTGTTGGCATCTGCCAATGCTCTCACGTCATGGTAACAAATGCCTATATAAGGAAGTTGGCTCTAAAACTATTCAATTTGGTTGCTGTTCCAATCGGCTTCTTCCGCATTTAACAAATGTTATAGGTGTTAAGGGTGATGTCAGGCCCTCGGGTCAGTCCACTCCTTCTACAGTCTTTGGTTTGGAAGCTGTTTTCAATGATTATACTGTGTATAGTAGAAGGTTTCCACGTATATAATGGACAGGTTATATGCAAAAGGGTTAATTGCAGATCAGCTGAATCCGTCATAATGTGATAACTTGTTAATCCATGTTAACTATCTGATGACCATGTGAAGCAGCTTACGAGTTTCACCTCTGTGTGTGTTACAGAGAGGTGTCTGGAGGACCATGAGCTGGTGGTTAATGTTCAGTCCTCCATGAGCAGCGACAGTAAATTCCTCTTCAGGAAGAACTATGCCAAATATGAATTCTTCAGGAACCCCCTGGTGAGTCTCCCACTTCCCTCAATTGACCTTTCAGTGACTGCTGGCTTCTAGCACGCAGCCCTTAGCCCCCACATGCCCCCGAGGCACACTTGGCCCAATTTACAGACTGGTATTCTTGGGTGCAATATGAAGATGGGGATGATTTAGGGTTCTTTTTACATGTGGCAGGTGTCAAAGCAAAGCCAATTTATCAGTCCATAACAGGCCTCCTAAAAAGCATAGAGCAAAAGTTATTTATGGAATTAAGTCTGGTATTTCCAATACAGATCCACTGTTCCCCAAGTAATTGGTCGATGACATGGCAATCAACTAAAATATGAATTGGTCGACTGGTAAAATGCACCAATACCACTTTTTTTCAAAACCGATACGGGTACTGTTATCCCTGGGAATTCATAAAACTAATACTACTGAAATTCAAAATGTTTTAATTCTCATTTCAACAATAGGACAATTGAACATTTTAGCAATTTTAGCAGTCAACATTGGCATCGGTGCATCCCTACTAAAAAGGTATTCATGATCAGGTATAGTTTCTTGATTGGAGAGCTAATTTTATGAAACAAAAATGGCAGAGAGCTACAATTTTTTTAGCTATTTGAAATACAATTGTAGTCTATATAATAACTGCAGCCAAACATGGAGAATACACATGCATGATATACCAGGATACCATACAGTATCCCTGCATTAGTGATTAGATTTATACTTAAAACAGATATGTAATGACACTCAAGTGAATCATTCAGAATCATGTGTTAAATCCTTGAATCCTTTGGGGAGCTACCTGAAAGGGGGTTGAGTGCTACTGGTAGCTCCCGAGCCACAGGTTGGAGACCCCTGCATTATTTTAGCATGGGGCTGAAATCTTGTAACGGGATCACATCCATAGGACCGTATATAGTTTTGAGAGTTTTTTTTGCGCCTTCTTTTTTAGGAGACCAATGAATTGACAAGACATGGTTCTTGTTGACGATTAAGCATTTCAACACCCCTGATAGTTACCACCCTGCTCGATGACGGCCCTGTTTATTTGCACCAATCCTAAACCAAAAGTGAAAAAAAACAAAAAAAACAAAGTTGCAAGTCAGCGTGGGGCTCTTCGGACGTCTTCTGCTGATGTGGACTCCGGCGCGGGCCGCTGGGTATGTGGTGACATTATTGCAGCGGTGATTTAGGTGAATGTCAGAGCCAGCAGGTGACCTCAGCTCTGTGGTAATGAGCACAGTAAAACACCAGAGCGCTGGCCGTGGCCTGTCAATCACACTAAGAGTACCAGCGCTTGCTAAAGGGGATTACATCAGCGGGTGAGATCATGCCGCATCTCCTTCCAGGATTCGAGTGGCCCCTCTCACTTTGTCTTTGAGGCCAAGGCTTGTTCTCAGTGACAGGGAGGAGGAGAGGTGGACTACAGAGAGGCACTCCAGGCTGCTCAAGGGCTGTTAAGGGCCCGGAGTCTAATTGTGGCTTTCTCTTTGCAGAACTTCTTTCCCGAGCAGATGGTGGCTTGGTGTCAGGAGGCTGATGGCTCAATCCCTCAGTCTCAGCTCCTCCAGGTGAGATGCTGACAGTGAAATGAATATGCAAGGGATTAAAGTGCTGTTTTGTTACAACTAGACTTGTGGGAAATGCTGGATTTGCACTTTTTAGCATGTTCGCTTTTGGCTCTAAAACTGGTGTCCAACTATGTAACTAAGTTTGTCTATTTCCTCGATCTCAAACCAGTTTGGTTATATCCATAGTTTTTCACATGCATGCATTTTTAGTGTCAAATCTTCACATCAGAAAACCAACCAGTCCAAAAATTCATAATATTGACACGGCTCTCTTACAAGCATGCTAAAGATAAGTGTGTTGTGTGAGGATTTGGCTACACAATTTTCCTTTAACAGGACTATTTCTGTTGCAGTTTTTAAACAAACAAAAATTAGGTTCCCCAGCTTTAAATCTCAAGTAGAGGCTAATTATATTATGGTTGTAACCAGCTGAAAGTGAGAAGATATCACTGAAATGCTGTCTAGTCCAGTGAAATGACATTTTATTAAATTAAAATCATATCCTTTGGTTGATCAGAATAAATGAATGAAAAAACAGTTTGTATGGATTTTTCTGGCGTCAGGCTTGAAAAACATATTTGTGGATCTCCATAATTCCCCATCTAAAAATTCACTCTTATTGTATTGTTACAGCATTTATTGAAACAAAATACATTGGAAATAAGTAGCTCCTCTGTTAAAGTCCAGTTGTAAATATTAACATAATTACTTTTCAATGCCAGGATGCACTTTGATACATGTTCTCTTTGCAGAATTTTCTAAACTCTAGCAGTTGTCCGGAAATCCAAGGCTATTTATATGTGAAAGAGCCGGGCCGAAAGTCCTGGAAGAAGCTGTACATGTTTCTCCGGCGCTCTGGGCTTTATTACTCCACAAAAGGAACATCCAAGGTGCAATATCTCTGCTGCTTTTATGCAACTGCTTTACTCATTTGGCGCCTGCCCGCATCCAGCTTGTTCTTATGTCAAACCCACAGGAGCCGAGGCATCTGCAGCTACTGTCCGATTTAGACGAAAGTAACATCTTCACCACCATCACAGGACGAAAACCCCACAATGCCCCCACAGACTTCCAGTTCTGCATCAAGGTAAGCCGACCAAAAAGTATTGGAATATATACAGGGGTAAAATGTAAAAAATGTAAATGAATAAGAATTATGAAATGGGGGCGGACTCGGGTGCCCGTATGTCAGGCCAGCCAGCTCAGGACAATGTTAAAGTGAATATCAGAAACTTTTTGAAGATAGGCACTCGTTAGACCCGCCCTTGCTCACCGCTGCAGTTCCCTGATTGGTCGAAATAATTGGTTTTGCTATTCTCCTCCAGCAAATCTTACTGGTTGTAGTCATGTCAAGGGGAGGGACTGCTTTTATTGTTTTTGAAATATACTTATTGTACATAATGAAAACAGTGTCCCATTATCAGAAATATACATTATTTTAAAACTGATATATAAGTTTCTGACACTTTTATTATTTCTTAGTGAATATAATTTTCCTCTTTTAAATGTATTTATTAATCACAGTATCCTTCTTCCCATATGTATTTAATCTGGTGTATTCATTAGTTGTGACGCTTTCATAGAGGTTCTTTAGGATAAGTTATCGTCACCAGGTTCTTTACGAGGTGTGCTCTGGAGCAATCCCAAAAAACATTGTGCCAAGTGACATTTGAACCAGTGTACTGTCAGCTGTTCTGGTTAAGCTATACTAGTATTTGAAACTGATTGGATCAAGATTGTGTGGGCTTGCCAAGCTAACTGGTACAATGTAACTTAATGACAAAACACTGCTCTGACTTAAAACTGGAGTACCCTTCTTTGAAAAATAACTATGTAATAAAATCCATAGCTCATAGCTCTAAACCCAGTTCTATCGCTAGTTTTCATGTGTTGTTGGGCACATCACTGAAAAAGAGAGACCCACCTTTAATCAGCCAATCTGCTCTCAGTATATAAAACGTTTACTTCTAAGTTTGTCTTAGAAAAAACAAAAAACAAAATGTATGTATAATACAGAAAAGGCACACCAGTTTGAAATAACTGGTGTCGAATCAATCTGACTGATAACACATCGTGAAGAGAAAATTCAAGAAAACAAAATTATTTCACTTCTTGCATAACAGCCTTTTCCTTCCACATGTTGTCCTCCACTGGAAAAACCAAAGAAGCTGACCATTCTCGTCTGCGATTCAGAAACATCTAATTTGCAGCTCAATCTCATCCATTTCTGACCTTGCCTGTAATATTTCTAATTTTCACACAGTAAATGCTGTGAAGGATAGGTTGTCTAAGACGTCTCGATACATAGAGAAACCGTAGTAATTGGCTTTAGCTCAGACTCGTACAAACCATGTCAGGTGATGTTACCTCATCTCTGGAAACCCGCTTTGTAACAGGTGCACTCACTGAACGGTCGCCCAAAGCCGCGCAGTTAAAACTACCCTGTGGGGGTTCGAACACAGCCTCAGCACTATGGGTGGGTCACCTGCTGACTGGGGATAAGCTCAGTGGGATAAGCCTGGATGGGACAGCAGATCTAGTTTGCCTAACCTTCTCACCTCTCCTCCTCGGCAGGGGATGACGGCACTCTTAGGTCAGGGCTTTTAACTCTGCTCTTCTTTTAGTAATGCCAGGCGAGCAGTCGGAGGTGTTTTTATTAATGCTAATGATCTTGCTTTAAGGAATGATAAATGAGTCCCATAAATGCTAATAGGGCATCACCAAACACCCTGTCATTAACCTTGAAATGTTACCACTGTGATAAAATGATGGAAGATTAGAGGCTTTGCAGTGCAGCACGTCCTCTGGTTCATTAGTGTCGGTCTGGCTCGGCAAATGGCTCGAATGTGTCTCCATACCTTTCAGCTATGGCCGTGTTAGCTCATTAATCTGATCTCCCACTGTGTCTGCTGCTTGGTTGACAGCCCAGTAAAGTGAGAAGTGACTGTAAAGAGCTGAAGATGCTGTGTGCCGAGGATGAGCAGAGCCGGACCTGCTGGATGACCGCCTTCAGACTACTCAAGGTACAGCTGTGAGCCAAGGCTGGATATTTACAAAGTCAAATGCTAGCTAATTATTCTTTAAAAAGTACTATAATCATTAAGGTAGTGACTGAATCCAAATCTCACGGATGTTTTGTATTTGAGGAAGATCAACTTTTCATCAAATACTGTGTAGGTTTTTTTGGACACAAACTAAACAACAACAATAATTCCTATATGTTTTTAATTCATCCATCCATCCATTTTCTTCCCCTTAATCCATTTCTGGGTCGGGGGGGTGGCAGTCAGAGCTGCACCCAGTCCACAGAGCACCAGCCCCTCACTGATCCTTCTGCAGGTGGTGAGTCCACAGGAGCTGAGATCTTTCAGTGGGGGGCTTCAGGCAAAGTGGGGTTAAGTGTCTTGCCCAAGGACACAACGGCAACAGTCATCAGTGGGAGTCGTGAAGTAGGTCTTACGGTGGGCTCGAACCCACGACCTTCAGGCTCAAAGGCCAATGCTCTACCAACTGAGCTACTGTCGCCCCTTGTTAATTGCTTGCATAATATTCACATTAACCAGTGTTTTTGGTAATAAAAACAGGCCTAAAGACTATATCAAATACATGAGTTCTCTATTTTACCAATCTTTTATGACAGCTGAGCTATTATGAACAAGGCGGTGGCAAAAATGACTTCTAATGGAATATTGTTCCATTTCATTCATCCGGTTCAGTCCTGTTGTTTCAAGCTGAAAATTATTTGAATAATTTTGGTGTGCGCACCCCCTACTGCTTTGTCCCCGTTCAGACTGACTTCAACTAAAGTGTCTTCAGATCCATAATGAGAAAATCACTAAAAATCGAATCAGAAAACAAGTCGGCTGTTGCTGTGTATCCATGTTTATGCTCAGCATCCTCTCCTGCCACAGGGGATGAGCAGTTACTTAGAAATCTTCACACTCAGACATGTAATTAGAAAAAATGCTTTACAGTCACTTGTCTTCAAGACAAGTGACTGTAAAGCATTTTTTTCTAATCTAATACAATCAAATGTTAAGATAGATTAATTATCAGTGCTCATTCGTTTGTTTTCATAATTTTACCAATACAATCCTCCAAACAACAGACAGTTGTGGATATGGATCAAACCTGCAGTCTGTGCAGACTTCTCTCCACCGTAGACTGTATATAGAGGGACAATGCTAACCCGCTAGCTCAATGAAGCCCAATAGGAAAGTGCTCATGGACAAAGCTTTGCTCCAACTCGCTCTGGCTGATATTGACTTGACATTGAAAAGTACACTCCTCTAGTGTAGTAACCTTCAAATCCTTGCTCTCTATGATCCTGGTGTTTATACTTTGATAATGTCTATTGACCAATCAGATGCCCTCATTTGCAGGGGACACTCCTTCTTGCCTTTGCAACCACTTTAGCAACATGTCTGGTGCGAAGCTAATGGAATAAATGCCCATATAATATAAGGTCCTAATATACATATACAAAAACATAGAGCGTGTCATGTTTTTGTACATCTTTCATTACTGCCTAATTTTCCCTCATTTTAAGTTGAATATAAAAATAGAGAGAAAATAAGAGTTTGTTTTCAATGTTATTGGATGACATTGACTTCTCTCCGCATCGACACGAGTTAAAATTCACAAGTCACTAATGCCCCACTGTACAGACACGTCTCAGGTGCAAAATACTGCATATTTGATTATAATCTGACCCGCCTTCTCAGAGAAAGGAGCTCTTGGGGCTAAACGTATGGTGTGCTTTTCCTGTGCGTTTGACTAAATCCTGTGTTTTCTGTCTCAGTACGGCATCGTCCTCTACCAGAGCTACAGCCTGCCACAGCAGAGGAAGCCCGCCACCTCCCATTTCTCAGCGCCTGTGGTGAGAATCTGCTCTGTCTCTGGATAAAACTGCCATCCAGCCCCCTTCCTGCTGCTAAGATGAATTCCGTAATTAGCTTGAGATAAACCTCCGAACCTGTTTATGCAGTTAGTGGAATGATTACTGAAATGTCAAATATGATCACTTTATCGTTTCATCGATCATTGCTGCAGGTGACCTTTGCTTAATGACGTTAATTATTTGCTGTAGTAAAAGGCTCAGATTTAGGTCAGCTTCTTGTTTAAATGGTATTTGCAGCAAAAGTACATCCAAACAAAACTCTTGTGCTGGAGTCTTAGGGGAGTGGCTGTTTGTTGCTTGTTTATAATCGTATACGGCACTTGTCAATCAGCTCATTGCTGGGGCCCTCGTAAAGTGCTATAATCCTGCTTAAAAAGTCAATTGAAATCCTGGAACATTCAGTACGGCAGGTTTAAACTCAGACTTACGTATTGGTACATAGTCGTGTGTTAAAGCTGGGGTACCTCATTTTCAAACCACAAAAATTTTACTCTGAGAAGGAACTAGTAACATGGATTTTATTACAAACAGTTTGGTTGTATCACGTTTATGTATCTTAGGCCTTGATCATTTATTTAGACTCCTAATAAGATAAATACGGCTTGTTGTGGTCGACCTTTTACTTTTATGAGATTCTTTCTGTTGGGACAAATGAAATGTACGGGAGTATTAATAATGCATCGTTTTATAGTATTTTTTTGGCCACTGAAAGACCGATCACAGGACATTATTCTCTCCATGGCATTTCACTCCAAACAATGTCGCCACAGCTGCCCAGGGACAAACTGAAGAAATGTAGGTACCCAGCTTTAAGTAAACCTGTAATGACATTGACTGTCACTTTAACTCACAGTAGCCCCTGAAATGGTTTTCAATGACTATGATTATCTTCCAACATTGAGAGTTGGACGTTACGGGCCACTGTGGCAAAAGAAAACAACTGCATTGTTTAAAGGAGCAGTATGTAAAAATATGACCAAAAGTGGTACTGCAACTTCTCCCAATCTCGCTGAGTCAGGTTGCCAGATATGCAGACAAATCCAGCTGGAACCATAATAACTGAGTAGACAAAAGTTTTGACCTTTTTCACTAAGATAGCCATCCTGGTTTTATTCCTTTGTTTGTCAATAATAATTTGAAAATCATAACAAGACCTTTAATAGTTCTGCGGCCACATTTTACTTTACCAGTGAGATTAGCTCGACGCGGTGAGTTCTGGCCACTCGGATCACAGACCCTCTGATTGGTTAAATTCAAATATCTTTGAACTACTGTTATCAGTTAAAGAAGTATTTGAAAAGACAGTGGTTTATTCATGCCTTTTGACATATTTGGGCCATTTAATGATGACTTGACATAAAAATCTTATATATTGCTACTTTAAAGGAGCAATATGTAAAAATCTGGCCAAAAGTGGTACTGCAGTCACAGTCAATATTTTGTAGTCCTCTCCCACTCTCCCTGACTCAGGTTGCCAGATTCACAGCAGCAAACACAGGGAATTATTTTATCAGTTGTTTGTCCGTCTCCATTCACATTGCCATGACAGCCGTGCTAATGCTGAATGAATGTTTTGATTCATGTTTTTTTATTATTATAATTTGGACATTTGAGATAAAAAACAAAAACAAAATAAAAGCAATGTAAATATACATAGTTTATGCAAAATAAATAAGTAATTGATGTCCAAAATAGGAGTGGGAAAAATGGATGTTGGAACGTATTTCTTCAGCGTATCAACATCAGGGTTTGCTCAAGAGGATATCACCTTTCAATTTTATTTATTCCCTATTTTTTAGACAAACATGTAAAAGTCCCACATCAAAAAGAGACTAACATTATTTTAATTGGGGTACATGTGGTCTTAAATGATTATTTTTACAATTAAGCTATAATCTGCAAAAAAACGTCTTGACCTTCATCTTTTACCGTTTTTAGAGCAATCTGTCATAGAATGTGATAACATGCAATAAATACAAAAAGACATAGCCCGGAATCGAACCCGGGTTCCTGCATCGTAAGCGCGCAGCTCAGTCCACTAGACCACCGGTTCACACGAACAGAGACACCGTGAAGAACGGACTCAAACTAGAAAATTCTGCATCACACGTAAACTTTTATCAGCTGTCTCAATTGTTCAAAGGCATCTCGATATAAATCCTCGTTTTAGTCTTTGTTTTGTCATTAATTATTTGAGAGTCATAACAAGACCTTTTTTAGTTCTACGCCACATGTTATTTTACCACTGAGATTAATGAGCCGCGCGGAGTTCTGGCAACCCGATCACGGACTTACATGACACTTCCTGATTGGCGAAACGGCGGAGGGTAGGACATCAAAATCAAAACAATAACAACTTTTACGGGTCGTAAAACTAATTTTGATGATCAAATATCTCGGCTGAACTACTGTTATCAGTTAAAGATGAATTCGAAAAGAGTATGATTTAATAACGCCTTTTGAAATATTCGGGTCATTTAATGATGACTTGACATGCAAATATTACATATTGCTCCTTTAACTTAATTTTTAAATCTGAATGCGACACGTGATTAGAAAACGTTAAATTCTACCAGAAAATAATATCCAAACTCCGGTTAAATACAAGAAAGCTTTTGTCAAAAAATCTTTCATGAAGTAAAAAAAGTATCCATAGCAACAAAAGATGAGATTCAACCATCTATTCAACTATATTAATAATTGGCGCTCAGCCTGCTTTCATTTTTTAAGTTCGACCTCGGCCCAAAATGAGTTTGACAGGCTGCTGTACTCTTTAACAGATGATTCTTGCTCTCCAATGAGAGCAGTGTACATTTGCTCAGATACGAGCAGAAGGATACTACACTCTCCACAGGTTTGGCTGAAGTGGTCTGTGGAGACAGGATTTGTTCTGCTTCAGCGAGTGTGTCTGGCTTGTTTGGCCTCTGACCTCAGTACCACCCCCCCCCCTCTCTCTGCTCTCCCCCCACTCCCTCTTCTACCCCCCACTCTCCCTCTCCCCCGTCGCTGTGTGCCACGTCTCCCAACAGCGCAGCGTGTCGGAGAACTCGCTGGTCGCCATGGACTTTTCTGGACGCACAGGCCGCGTCATCGAGAACCCAGTGGAAGCCCAGAGCGCCGCCCTGGAGGAAGGACAGACCTGGAGAGTGAGTATTTGTACCCAAACCTTTGTCCTTTGGGAGATTAGAGGAGGATTACGTTGTGATTATTCAGATTACATCACATCATCTGACCGCCATAGTGTCATAGAACATTAATAACTCTTTAATCATTTCATTATATACTCATTTACTGTATAACACAGTTATAAACTTCTCAGACCACAAACCTGGACAAAAATCAAACAATTCGATCTCCCTGGATAAAATGGCATGGAATGTTTTAACCCTTGATATGCCAAAGTATCACAATTCCAGTCCAGGGCACTTTCTATAGAGGGACCTAGCTTCACACAAATGTTTCCTTCAATCCTTCTTAAATCTTTAATATTTTGGTCATTTCTGCTACTGAATTTATTATTCTTCTACCTCTTACACACTTCAAGGGCTCCACTTTTTGTCCGTTTCACGTCACATTTCTCAACAAATCCGCCAAAAGTGTGCGTTACTTTTTGACTCACGGCTTTGATTGTTTTGTGTGCAGAAAAGAGGTCAGCGTATGAATGTTTTGGGCAGCTCCAGCCCCCTGCACCCGTCTTCTTTGAGCACAGGTACTGACCATCCACCATCCTGACTCCATGATAACTACAACAGATTTCAATACTGACATAAAACATCTGTGTCAGTCATTCACAGAACGCAGGTGTGGTTCCACGGCCGCATCATGAGAGAAGACGCCCATAAAATGATCATGCAGCAGGGCCAGGTCGATGGGTAAGTAGACACGGCTCGTCTGCCTCGAGAGTCCCTCTGTATTCATAATTGTTCTGTTTGTCAGACTTTTCCTGCTGCGGGACAGCCAGAGTAATCCCAAGGCTTTTGTCCTAACCTTGTGCCACCACCAGAAAATAAAGCACTTCCAAATCCTACCGGTAAGTCACGCACAAACTCAAGAACATGTTGTATAACCAAGCTGTCTTTTACTTCATATGTTTGCTAAGTATAGTGTGTGTGTGTGTGTGTGTGTGTGCGCCTGTGTGTCTCTGTGTGTGTGCCTGTGTCTGTGCACGCCTGTGTCTTTGTGTGTGTGTGTCTTTGTTTGTGTGTGTTTGTCTGTGTGTTAGTGTCTCTGTGTGTGTATCTCTGTGCTTGTTTGTCTATGTCTCTGTGTTTGTCTGTGTCTCTGTGTGTGTGTGTCTGCGTGCGTGTGTCTGTGTGTTAGTGTCTGTGTTTGTCTGTGTCTCTGTGTGTGTGTTTCTGTCTCTGTGTGCATGTCTCTGTGCTTGTTTGTCTATGTGTGTGTGTCTCTGTGTGTGTCTCTGTGCGTGTTTGTCTGTGTTTCTGTGTGTGTGATGAATGTTTGTTTGCGTGGAGAGAAAGTAAAGAATGAGGGCTTGGCAGTATTATTAGAACTTGTTTGTCGAATTAATTTATAACCTCTGTCTCCCTAGCAACCACAGGTGTAGCTAAGCACTCTTGCTAACACCTGGTACTATGCATTTACTGTACACTGTAAAAATAGAAATCACATGAAACCAGAGCTGCTCATAAGCATTAATTGATTCAAATAAAAAGTGTTTTTTCCTGCAAATGCAAAAAAATCACTTGTGTCTTGTTTTGAGAATATTTTAAAGATTGGTCAATGGAATAATCAAGTATTGTGTTGTGAGGCAGACGATTTTTTTTCTCATTCTCCAAAATATCCCAATAATTTATCTATCTCACGGCCAAGGCTATCAAAATGTGTCAACTTGGGTCTGACGATAAGAATTTAGCGAAGAAAGACAACAAGGAAAACCCAATTGTTTTAAAATATATTTATTGTGAAAAACACTGAATGTAGATGATACTACAGAGTTACAGTATTTGGTCACTTGAAACACAGTTGAAGTTGTAGACATCACCTTTAACATTTTTGCATTGAATGTTTTATCTCTACTATATATACTTTAGAAGTCTATGCACATTTTCTGAAATGTGTGGAATTGTGTATTAGGTTATCACCAAATTAATTGTTGTTACTTTTACTCTGAAACATATTGGACTTTTTAAACCAACAGGATACTGAAAATCACATGACAATCAAATGTTGGTCATAACGATTCCCAATACATACTCAAACCCATGCAGTCCTAGCTAGTTTTCTTAATACTTTAGCCCAGGGATATCAAACCTCTTTCACTTAGAGCCGGTGCAGGATTTCATTCCAACCAATCAGGAGCACACCAAACTCTGCCAATTTCCTCAAGTCTCCAGGTTGATATCCAGGTCCATATTTACTGTTGTAATCATGTGTTTTAGGGCTGTCTATTTGATTCATTCTGTATAATGTGTTGCACTGTATGGAAAAGCTCAACCTGGGACTGGAGTTGAAAATTAGAAGCAACTAGCATTAGGAATTAGCTCTGTATGTGTCGCATCAGTTGCATCTTTCCTTTTTGATTTTAGATTAATACGAATTAAAAATAAGACTGGACTCACTTCAGGTATGGGTGGAGACTGATGTTTTCCTTAAGGACAGATTTGACACCCCCTTTTCAGCCCCTAACACGTGTGCATGTGTCTAGTGTGAAGAGGACGGTCAGGTCTTCTTCAGCCTGGACGACGGGGCCACAAAGTTCACCGACCTGATCCATCTGGTGGAGTTCTACCAGCTCAACAGAGGAGTGCTGCCCTGCAAGCTCAAACACCCTTGCACCGCTGTGGCCTTGTGACCCCTCTACCCTCACACCCCTTTTGCACACCTCTGGCGCTTTCCCGTAAAAACACCCTTATCTCAGCGATGCAACATGGCCAACAACACAACAGAAAGTACCGTCACGCCACCGTGGCAATCGGCGTCTCAGGAGGATTGCAGATTGTGAAGTTTGTGTTGTTCCGACCAAGACTTGAGCATGCTTTGTGAAAAACAAAAGAAAACCGGAGCGCAGATATAGTATCATAAGCTCTGTGAGGATGCTCCACCAACATTCGTCGCCCCTCCTCCATCGGCCAGGCCTGATAAGCTGTGGCGCTGTCCTGCCCCATGACCTCTGGAAGCGATTGGTTAGCGCCAGCCCCTTCTTGACTTCCTCGTTGATCATCAGGGACGGAACAGGAAGCTCTCCGGATCCACACATCAAAACCCAGGATCCGGGAGTTTTCTTAACCTGTGCAGTCCAGTCTTGATAAGCTGAACCCCTCCCCCCGTTTTTTGTCCCCTTTGAAAAACGACTCCAAACAAGACTAGACTTGGCATCAGTGATTGTGATTCCCCCCCCAGCCCTCATCGAACCGAGAGACGCAGAGAGCCAAGTGAAAGTTTGTAAAGATAGGAGTGGAGCAGTGGCGAAGGTGTCACGATCCTAAAGTTAGATTGATTACTTGATGTCAAATGAATGCTGTTTTTTTAAAAGTGACTATTGATTCAATGCAGAACTGGTTTTGCACTCCCAAGGCGGATGGGGAACAGCTGTTCTCTCCAAAAGCCTGCTCTTCGGTTTGTCATCCTCCGCTTCCTCCACACTCCTCCTCCTCCTCCAGGCCGCCCCCTCCCCCCAGGCCCTTCTGGAAAGCATGCATGTGAATTTCCACCAGCTCTGATTGGATTACAGTGGCGTGGGAGCAGAGAAAAGAGAGAGAGTGCAGTGCCTTTCAGAAAAGAAGGTTTGGGACTCGGGCGTTTCAAAGACAAGGAGGAAGACTGAAGAAAACGTGTGAGAAATAAGTATTCCCCCCTCCACTCAAGTCATTCGTAACATCGATATGGGCTAGCACAGTGAATTGTCTTGAATGTTATTTTGTTTTAGCCTGTTCTGAGCTTGCACATCTGTTGAGTAATGATAACTGACCACTGTTCCCTTCAACTAGGAAAAAAAAAGACAAATCAGCAGAGGTTTTGGGAGATCCAGGATGAACTCAAAATGTCCGCCTTTATTTTATGTGAAAAGTTTTAGTCAACATTGAAGCTATATTAAAATATATTCTGACCTATGTATAACGCAGCAGTGAGGAGGAAATCATGCGAGATAAGGTAATTAGGCGATTACGTTGCAATATTTGAGAACTGGAGGAGATAGGAAGCTGTTTTTGATAATCAGTTCATTTATTTTAAGTATTTGACAAGTAGGAAAACATGCCAAAAACAGTTCTTTCCTTGTTTTATATTTTAGTATAGCTTTAGCGTATATTGTGTAGGATTTAGCATTGTTTGGGGTGACGTTTTAGATTGATTGCCCCGTATCTCAGCCATCTGAAAATGAGCTCTAGCCGCTACACAGGAGACTGAGACTAGGTCAGACTGGATCAGGACTTAATGCACAGATGGTTGAAGGTCTAAATCCTACACAATTATTGTTAAGTAATGTGAAAACGGAAATGTAAACATACATTTTATTGATAATTTCATATTGGCAATATGAGGTGGGCACTATATCAAAAACATAACTTGTTGTTAGTATCTTGATGTCAATAAAGATTAAATTAGTCATTTAAAAGTTTCAGATAATTTGATATGAAAGAACTGCCCACAACACCGTATTCTTTTTATATTTGAATCAATGTTGCTGAATGTGTGAATATCTGTAGAACGGTGTTAGTATCTGCCCACCTCTGTTGACAATAGTGATGGACCATTATCACAACTGAACTGAAGTGATGTAAAACCTTGGATGTACTCAGTTTTTTTTTTTTTTTTTACAATCTTCATGTTTATCCTAAAGCCATTATGTGTAGCACTTTGAAAGTTTTAAACTTGGAGGGGCAGAGGAGGCACTTACTGTGAGTAGTGCCGCTGAAAATGAGCCAAAAGTAAGATCGCCACAATGTCCAAGGAATTCTCTCCCTTGGATCAGACACTTTTACAATATTCCCCTGAAGAGAAACCACAACACTTTGCTTCAGAGTTAATCTTCAAAAGTTTCACGGGAAAATTCAAATTCAGTCTAAGTAATTTACAAAACAACAAAAAAGTCCTAATCTGGTCTACTGTTTAGAGTTTTGGTTAATTATTGGAGAAGCAACCATCCTCAGCATAAGGCCTCTGAACGCCCTTTCTAAATATTGCTTTTAATCAAGGTTAATGATATAAAAATGTTAAATTAGCTGCTGCATGATATCATTTGTACACATTATATAGATTCACTTAATGAAATCAGTTCTATCCTATTGTAATTTATTGCCGTAGGACTGTACCTGGAGCAGTCACTGCCCTGATATTAGTAAAGAACATGAAACTTGAAACGCAGGCGGCTGGAGTGGCACCCGAATCGCTCCTCTGCTGGTCCACCTGTAAAACACACCACACAACGATTCCCTGGAGTTTTGACGCCCCACCTGCACGCCCCACGTCCCCAGGGCCAGATTCCTCCAGAGTGGGACCAGCAGGAGCTCTGTCTGTACTAATGCCGCTGCCGGTCGACCAATCACAGCTACCGACTCACCAGCTCTGCACCTCCACCAATCAGGCCTTTACTGTCACAGTCAAGCCAGGGCGGATTCTCCCCAGGGATTGGATAATGCTTGAACCCCCCCCCCCTCCTCCTCCTCCTCCGCACCTGTGTCCAGCCTCTAAGCTATGACCCTGTGGTGTAATGTGTGTATGGATGATGGCCAGACTGTTAACTATATACATTCACTATTTAGGATTGCTAGTTGCTCTCATTCTTGCCTTTTTTTTTAAATTTTTATTCCAAGGTTGTATTTAGCTTGGGCTATGTTATGTAGACAGGAGGTTGGCTGGCAGTTGTCCCAGCATTCCCAGCAGTTCATTTCCTTTCTTTTAAATAGGAAATCCAAAACCATACCTCCCTCCATTCAATAATCACTGTGCTTCAATGCAATCCTACATAGAGGTGAATGCTGATACCAGTTGTCAGAGTATGTGAAGCTATGGATAGGACGTAGCCCTAACACTGTACTTAGGTCACAGATCACTATGTATGGCGTGTTATGCTTTTGCTCATAACTCCATGTAAAATGAAGAATGATATCTTTCTTTTTCCTTTTATCTGATTGTGTGTACATTGTGTATTTTCTTTTGGTTTGCCACAAATGACCTTTTATATATATAAAAACTACAATATATTCAGTATTAAATTAAGCTGTTTTAAAAAAAAAAAGAGATCAAACTTGATTTTTGGCTTTGGTCAAATTTCTATAAACTTGCGCGTATAAGCTGACAGCCTGGCAGGACAAACTCGGCTGGTATCTTGATTCTAAAATACTATGCTTTCTGCTCGACCGTGTCTGACGTCATTGTGTCAGAGACTTAATGTGTAGGTGATGTTCTACACGTATGCACACAGGTGGAAAAACAGCACAGGCACCATGTAGAATGTCTGCGTAGCTACAACCGTTCATCTATATCTCTTTTTGTGGTGCATAACATTGTATTCAAGAGCCTATTTTTGCAGCAGGTGCCTACAGTATAACAAGTCCTTCATGTCCATCCGTCCACTGCATTGGCTGTAGAAAAGTTCCTTCCATTGCACAGAAGTCCCACAAACAAATTGTGGGCACACCAGAAACCTGACTCAGAGTTGAAGTTGTCGTAAGGTTAAGAACATTTCAGGGAAAGGAGAAAAAATAACTCAGTTCAAATGATAACCCCTTGTTCATTTTTCGATATTGCCACTGTGCTTTGCTTCACGTGTATACATCTGTATGGCTCCTGGATCTACATTGTATCTGATCAGGTATTTTTGTACAAATAAGGGACTGATATATTATCTGTATTGGAACTTAGAATAAAGGACAACATTGCTATTAACCAAATGATTTCACTGGTTTTGTTTTCTTTCAATAATTTATATAATGGCAAATTATGTTTAATGTGATGCATCTGGTTTTATACTGCCACCTGCTAGTGTCCAAGTGGAAGTGCAGTGCAAAAGAGTGATGGAGCTTAGGTTTTACATCGAACTGGCCTTCATGCATCATTAATGATCAAAGAATAGAAAAACAAAGTCATGTGTTCAATAGTTTTAATTTCCAAATAAATGATGGCAAAATGAGAATATTTACAAGTGGAAAATATGATCTGTACAAAAATATACATGCGTAGATAAAAAAATGGCAAATAAGTAACTTAAACACTGACAAAACAAAAGCAAAACTGACATTTTTGTTACGTTTGAATGGCCTCTGCAGGAATAAATTAAAAATCTGAATCATTCCGATCGGGTTAAAATATAATTGAGGGTTTCAACGGCAATGTTCTAGTCTTTGACCAATGGTGATTACTTTTGTAAACAGCAAGATCTTGAAACCCCAAGAGAAACTAATCATTTGTATCAAGGATTATAAAGCTTGAACAACTTTGGCGTCCCAGTCCTACAGGCTCCAGTACAAAAACCTTTGATCACATTGTGATGATCCACCTGTAAAAAAAGCCTGGCCTTGAACTCGAGAGATCAAATAAACACAAACTACTAGCCGTGCTTGAAGTACCAAGTACACGCTTTTCTATAGATTTATTACAGATACAACAGATGACGTCTTCATAAATAGTTGCATAAAATGTTAAAGCCGCAACATTGCACATGATAAACTGAACATACAATGAGTGCATTTACAGTAATCCGTCTTCTGCCTCCACATTCCCCTGTGATTGGCATTCAGCTCTGCCATCAAGGCTCCAAACACAAACTGCTGCTTTGAGGGAAGAAGGCATCTGTCTATTTACAGATAAGGCCTGAACATTTCCAGACTGCGTAACACAAGGTTAGTTCCCATAAAAGCATGGGGCAAATGTCCATTACTTTGTTTTGTGGTTGGTGTTAGTGCAGCCATTCAAAGCTCTGAGTGCACATACAAACGACTATTACTGTCCTATGGAAATCCTGTCAATGTTGAACAACTCTTTATTCTTTATGCTTCTTGTCTTGAACGTCCATACTCAATTTCCTATACAGTGTAGTTTCTATAAGAAAGTTTGCATTTAGGTAAAAAGAGCTCAACACATTATGTGCAAAGTGATGTCACTCAGCATTAGTCCAGTGGCATGTGCCAGTTTGAGTTGCCCCGTTTTACTTCTTAAAAAATAAATTACTTCATTGTGTGTACTTTCTTTTAGTCTTCCATTACAAGACATACAAAATATTTGTGTTAGCAAGCAGCAGCAGTAGATAAGAGCATCTGTTGTTGAGAACTTAGTTCTCAAAGTTTCTGAAAAACTTTAAGGTGAGAGGACTACAGGCCTGAAATGTTGGTCAGTGAAAAGATAAGATCAGCATTCATTATTATAAACATGTCATTTCTTGTACATGTAAACTGGATATCCATAGGTCCACGGCCTGTGCAAGAATCAGCAAGACGACGGGGAAATGAAAGGACCGAGGCAAGAAGAGATGGAGAAGTGAAGGCCTTGTGTCAAACTCTGGACTGAAGACGACTTTGAATAAAGCTTTGGACTCCTCCTATGGGCCGAGCGTCAGTCAGATGTTTCCTTCGGTCCATAAAGGCGATGAGTCGGGAGGTGTCCAGGCAGAATGTTCCCTGGGCCTGGCTGTCCGGCTGGAGCCATGCCTCCTGGAGGCACAGTCCGGCTGAGGGCCTCCTACCTGGGTCTGTCCTCAGCAGCAAGCACACAAAGTCTCTAGCCGCCTGCGTCACACCGTGGAAGTAGTCTCTGGGAAAGCTGAAGTCCAGCCGACAAATGTTCAGACAGGTCTCCTCTGCGCTCTCGTCCAGGAAGGGCGACGCGCCGCTCAGCAGCACATACGTCACCACACCCAGACTCCACATGTCACAGGTCAGGGACACCGGCTTTCCCAGCACCAATTCTGGGGACGCAAATTCAGGACTGCCCAGCAGAGGGTGGATGTATTGAGCACTGTTGAGCTGTATAGCGTCTCCAAAGTCTACGAGTTTGACCACAGGCAGGCCACCAGGGCTGTGGGCCACCAAAAGGTTCTCAGGCTAAAAATAAAGACACATTTTATTAAAACAAGTCCCTTGTTCAGTATCAAAGTATTAGAAACCATCAAAAAAGGAAAGTACGAGTCTCGTTGGTGAACTTTTCCCAAAAGGCTCGCTGTGTGACAATAAGCAGCCTCTAAGACCATTTCTATCAAAAACCTCCCATTTTCAAAAACACTGACCAAATGCCTTCATGTACTGCTTTCACCCAGTGACCCTGTATTCAAATGTGAAAGACTCACCTTTATGTCCAAATGCACAATCCTACAGTTGTGGAGATAGTGTAAAGCTTCTAAAACATCCCGTAAGTAACCGGCAACTTTGTCCTCGGTGAGGTTCCCACAGCACACCACGTAGTCCAACAAACGGCCTTGGTCCACTCTGCAGAACAATGACCCACACCGTGAGATCACAGACAGACACAAACACACACAGAAGCTGCAGCGAGGACTCACATCTCCAGGACCAGAGAGTAGCTGCTGTGGGACTCGTACGTGTCGACCAGGCCCACGATGTTGGGGTGCTGCAGCCGGTACAGCAGGCTGAGCTCCTGGGTCACACGGTCCCGTTTCATGAGTTTCTTGTTCACTTGTTTGACTGCAGCCACGCATTTTGTGCTTCTGTGCTCACAACGTTTCACGACAGAGAACCGGCCCCTGGGAAACGTGCACAAGACGGTCATTTCTGTTCAGTCGTACAGAGTGGTATTAGAGCTGCGGAAAACATTTCACCTGCCGGACTGAAATTTTATATTTTAAACTTATTCAGGTCTGTAAAGTTAAACAATGGCTCAAAAGGGTAATGTGTGTTTTTATAAGGATCTGTAAATGTGACTTTTATGTCTTGAGGACCAGGTCTGCAAATTAGCCGTTAGCTACACGGCCTATGAACATGGCATCGGCCATTTGTAACAATGCTTTTTGTTCGGTCCCTATCAAAAAACACATAATAAATATAACAAGGCAATCGATTCATCGCAAAAGGAGACACAGAGAGAGACAGAGTGAGAGAGACAGAATGAGAGAGACAGAGAGAAACAGAGACAGAATGAGAGAGACAGAGACAGCGAGAGAGAGTGAGAGTGAGAGAGACAGAGAGAGAGAGACAGAGAGACACACACACACACACACAGCTCATTCTGAACCTTGGTAGACTAGCGTCGTAAGGATTCTAACGACACTAGTCTTATGATAACTAGCATAACAACTGCATTCATAATTACCTGCCGAGTTCCGACACTTGGACGTAATGAGCCTCAAAGTTGTCCTTCCAGCTCACCCGGACCCCGTCCTTGGACACGGCTGCACACAGAACACGCCATGTTAACCTCTTCCTTCTCACGTGAGTCACACCTACGCCTCCTCTTACCGAGCACTCGCAGATTGGCTGTGGAGGTCACGGTGCCCAGTTCGTTTGTGGCCACGCACGTGTACAGCCCGTCGTCCTCCGAGTCTGCGCCGATGATCCGCAGTGTCGCTTCACCTGCGTCGCTATGACAACAGCAAACACTCAATACAACGCACCTACTGTTTTTAATAACAGCAATATGGCAAGTGTCCAGATATAACGGCTGTAAGCCCTTTTGCAAACATGCGCAGCTAAACTAAAATGAGAAATGTTGAAATGTTATGAGGAAAGAATGATGTATTTCAGCTTTTATCATCAAAGGGTCAGGAGTTTATCATCGGACAGCAGCAAGACTCACTCACAGCCGTTTACAATAACAACGTTTTGAAGAAACGGCGTTCACACTACAGTCTTCTCCCATCAGGGCGGAGGTTCAGGTCCCTCCCATTCACACATCCAGGGCCACATCCAGCTTCCTCCCCACCTCAATTGGCCTTTAAAACAGCCGATTTGGAGCTCTGTTTTATGTATTTTATATGGCATTTCTGCTCTTTTATTGAACTTATATTTTATATCAGGAAATCCAGCGATGATTTGTGTGATTTGAGTTTGTAAAAGGCAGGACCAGTCTGTTCTAGAGCCCACTGAGCCTCCACACTATACTTAGACATGTTGTGTTTGTGATTAGTATTTGTGATTGCTACCTGCAGGCGATGCTGAAGTGTCCGTTGTTGGTCAGGGCGCTTTGGTCGGGACCTTTCCACGTGAGGGACGCTCGAGGCCGACCGCACACTTTACACCTCAGGGTGACGCTTTCTCCGTTGTCACAAGACACATCACTCAGGGGAACAAGAAACTCAGGAGGAACTAAACAAAGAACACTTTTTAGTTTCTTTTCGTAACTAGAGTGGGGAACTGTCCTGCGATAGGATTCTTACCGTCATAGATGTAGTTGGGATTTAGAAGCTGCGACACAAACATAACTATTTTTGAGCAGTGAACACATACAAGTCAACAAATCTGGATCATATATTTGTACCGTTACCTTTACAGACACTTTGGTGGACTTCCTGTAGCCATTTTCCAGCTTGGTTTCCTTTTTAGCCTCCTTTTCCTTTTTTTCAGACTTCTTGCGAATACGTAATGATGTGTGCCACGAGGAAGATTTTCTACTGGCAAAAAATATGTCAATGTCTCCAACCTTTAGCTCTGGAATCATCTCAAAAGAATTTAAAACAATCTGCTGAATATTGACTCACATGACTAGAACTATTAGAGTAAAGTTTATTAAGGACAATGTGCAGTTAAATGAGTTAAATTATGTGCATTAAAAAGATGGCATCTAACAGCTCTCAAGCTCTCTCTTTCGACCTGTTAAAAGGAGTAGCTCTCTGCCAGTTTTGCTTCAAATAAAAATATGGTGCAGGGAAGTGAATGTGATGTCACCCAGAGCGTTTACTTTCCTGCGGAGGAGGCACAGTTTGAGCCTTCATTTTGTTTGCGTCATGGAGGGGCTCTGTCTGAACCCCGGGGAAAACCTTTCTGGTTGCATTGCGGTGCACAAGCTTACAACCTTAAGGATTACTGATCTATCTGGATTTCCAAAGACAATATCAGAAAAACTAGAGCCGCAAGCAGCATTGAACAACCAACTCTAAATGGGTGAATGAGAGCTGTATGAACAAATGGGAACCATCTTGTTAAATTGTGGACAAGCCACTCTTACACTGTCTAACTAATTCACACATGATTTAACTATAGTAAAATCATGTAATTAACAAGTATTTCAATAATCAATTAGTTGTCCAATTATTATTTCCATTAACCAACGAGTAGATGCTGAAAAGTAGACGAAAGTGTGATTTCAGTGTGACGAGTACAGTTAGGGCAGGGCTCGAGAGTGCACCCACTTTTATGAAATCCTCTTTAAAGTCTCTTTAATGCTGCGTACAGCCCAGAGATGGACTCGTGAACCTTGGACTTGGGACTGCTGCACTTTAAAACACATGCTTAGCGAGAGGCTGTGTCCTGTGGCTGCTTCTGTGAGCTGAGGTCACAACGCAGCGTTCATTCAGGTCACGGGAGTCTGAGTCTGCTTCTGTGGCTTCATCATTTACGCTGCTCTTTGTGTGTGTGCTTCACTTTTCTGTTGCTTCAGTTGTGGATGGGATTGTGATAATGTAGTGAGAAAATATAAGACACTGCCATTCTGGCCAGGATCATGCCATCTGAAATGTTGCACTGAATCCCGCGCTCAGAGCCCCTCCCCCCTTTGCTCTTTTAAACACTTCTGTACAGGATCGTCTCAAGAATTTGTCTATGTTTATTTAATATCTCTAACCGTGATGACTGCAGAGAAAATTGAGCAACAAATCTACGTTAACTAACTTTATGTATTTTTCTCTGAAAACATGACAGCATGTCCACTCCTACAGATTTTTTAAAACCGAAAAATGACAAGAGACTTTTAATGAGTGTGTAGTAGGAGTGATTTGCAGATCCTTACTTGACAGATCCCTCAGGGCACTCGGGGGCAGTGGCAGAGGTGTGTCCAAGTACAAATCCAGGGATCCAGCCTTCAGCAGCAGGACCCTGCTCGGTCGCTGCTCTGAAAACCAGGAACATGTTTTGCTGGTTGCTGGCTAAGATTTGGACCACCTCTCCCTGTGAAACACTGATCTCATCCTCCTTAACAGCCATGTAGTCCTGGGTCACCAACATTGTTGATACGCTACTGCTGCTGCTACTTTCACTCTGCAAAAAAAAAAAAAGTTTAGCATTAGTTTATGTTAAAGAGGTAACTAAACAAATGTAAACACTGATACTCCTTTGAAGAAAAACAGCAGAAAAGGATGGATATTTGTTACTGCTTTAGTTCTTTACTCCCACACAGAGATGAGAGGCAGCAGGTTCAATGATTTGTAGAACACGTTTGTAGGCAAAGCTACAAACGTTGGCGTTAGTTGCAGAAAAGTACATCTGACTTGTTGAGTGTGAAATCAAGACAGCAGGAGATGAATGGAGGCCAAAGGGGAGCCAGATGTTAGTACAAGCTTTGTTAAAGAAGATTATCTAGATAATGCCTTGACAAGGCTGATTAGAAGAGTCAACCCGAAACAAGGTAACAGTGCAGACAGCCACTAGAGAAAGTCGTGTGAAGACAAGTAGAGGAAAAGATTAGTAGCGCTGGCGTCAGCAGGCAGACAGGACAGACCAGGGCTGGCTCTGCCTCTGTTAGTTGGAGCAACAGTGGGGAATCACTCTTACCCCATTGCTCTGGGTGGACTGGATGGACTGCTCACTGGCCGATGAGCATGTACTCATGCGATCAGCTTCCTTGCTGTGGGTGGAGTGTCTGTGAGACTGATTTTGGCTCCCAGATCCAGAACCTGCCTGGATTTGATTAGAATTCTGACGGACTGGCGTCTCTGCCGCTTCCCCAGGGAAGGTGAAGGAACCAGGCCGGCTGGCTGGGGAAGCAGGCATGGAGCTCCAAAAGCCAGGTCCTGACTTTGGACCAGGGCTGGGAGGGGGACCTATATGAGCTTCTTTACCAAAAGCAGGAGTGGCCATGGGTGAGGCCAAAGGGGACACGGCTCCAGGCCGAGCTTTGGCAATGGGTGTGGAGGGCAAGGGCCCCACGGTGGCACGGGGAATGGGAGACACAGCATTGGCTGGAGTGTGAGCCTGTATTTGATCTTCCGAGTTTTGACTAGAACGTTTACTTTGTGGACTAGTCGCTGAAGGGGTGAGGGGTGAAGGGATAGGGCAGGGAGACAAACCTGGATCACAAGTAGGTAAAACTCACACTTCAGTCACATGTTTCTTTCAAAAACAATTTACACAAAAAATGCCGACTTCGTACCTGACATTTTGTGGGGGCTGTCGATGTCAATCCCAGGGAGGCGTGTGGGCTGAGGTAAGCGAGACGGCTGTGGGATCCTGGATGGTCTCCGGGAGCCTCCAGAAGGACCTGAAGAGAGAGAGCTAACCTGAGAGTTTCCAGCAGCAGGCAACATGCTGCCTCCTCCACTCAGAGCTCCCATGTTTGGAGAAATGTGGTTCATCTGGTATTCTGAAACAGACATTATGTTGGCGTTGATTTGTGTTTCTTATTTATTTAAAATTGTATTTTTTTACCATTGAGAAAGTTGCGTTGGCTTTCCAATATCTGACTAATTTGCAGGGTCCAGACCTCACGCACACCAGGGTGGGCAGAGTGGAGTATAAAAGACTCAATGGTCCCAGTGGAGGAGCGAGACGTCAAGATAAATTTGCAGAGATCACCTTCAACATTCTCCTCCAGGCCCAAACAGCTAATCTGCAGGGACAAAGATGGTAGTACTCAAAGTATTCAAATCAATTTGAGACCAATGAGTAAAAAAAACAATGGTTCTACTACCTTGATGCTGTGTTTATAGAGGAATCCGGGCAAAGAAAAGCCCTTCTTTCTGTCCAATGGCTCACTAAAGATCACCATCTGTTCAAACAGAAAGACTCTTCTTTCCTTCATGCGTCCGTGCACAGTGCTCTCTGGATCCGACACCATGAAGGTATCCTGCAGCAGCAAACGGCCCTGCGCCACAATCTTCCCCTAAGGTCAAAGAAATAGAAATATATGATACACGTTTTGGTAAGCCTAAGTTGTATGTGTTTTTTATTCTTATTTTTATTATCTCTTTTTGACTGTTGCACTGAGCCAAAGCAATTTCCAAGTCTGTGACCTCCTGTTACTTACGTGGCAATAAAAATGATTCTGATTCTGATTTAAATATGCTTTACAAAGAATCATTGATTGATTGATATTGATTGACAATGTTTCTCAGAAGCACAGAATCTTACCTCAAATCCCTGAAGTCGGCCCACATTCATCATATCATTGCATCTTTTTGGCACAATGCACATGACCTCCACTGCTTTCTGTTAAGATTACAGAGCAAACGAGTTTAATATTCATAGATGTCTTTGCAGAACATCAAAGCACTTTTGATGTAACATTCTAAACAAGTACCTCCAACTCCATGGATTCAAGGGAAGCCTTCTTTGAGCATTTCAAAAGATCCTATAATGAAAGCAAAAGAAAATCATGATACAATATCTGAAAAACACTGCATGATGCATACTCGCACAATGACACAAACCTTGAGCAGAAGCTGGTATTTCATGATCCTCTGCACTGGCTTTATGAGCAGGTCTGTGATCTGCAGTCTGTGGCCGAGCCTCTGCTTTAGATCCTGCACAAGACACAAGTTCCAGTCATCCAAACGTATCCGCACACAAGAACATATTACATTTCATTGGTTACATACCTCAAAGTAAGTGTCCAGATACTCTGAGACGATGTGCTCCGACTTGGGCTTGTTTTGGCAGTACACAACATACATATTTAACCTGCGATCCTGTCAATACCAAAAACAATATGAGATCATCCAACTTATGTAAAAACAATAGTTAAAATCAATAATCAATAATAGACCTGTTTTAGAAAGAGCGGTCCCAATCTGTCGGGGTCCTCCAAACATTTCTCCAGCTCCCCGAGGAAGTAACTGAGCAGAATAGTGACAGCATTAGTTGGTGTCATGTGAACAATGTCTCTCAATGTATGCACTCACTCTTTGTGCCAGTCGTAAATTTGATGGATGTTTCCGAATACAATTTTGTCCTTTCCCTTCATATCGTCAGGAACACCCTCCTCCTTCATCCTGCTCATGTACCCCTACAAAAAACAGACAAGCCAAAAAGTTAAGCCTAGACCTGTCACAGTAATCGCAATATACAGTAGAATGTCCCCTACACACTGAAGGCATCTTTTGGAGCAGAGGTTTGCACAGAACCTGCGTAGTTGCCTATGTAGGGGCCTGAGTAGGGGCCAGCGTAGAGGTCTGTGGGGCTAATTTCAGATACACACCAGTAGTAAAATCCTGGAGCCTTCCCGCTTTCAATCCAAATACATTGATTATATTGCTCATCTAGAACTAGACTAGCTTGGCCTTAGCCATCTGTAAACTCCGGTCAATTATTATTTCCCTACATGTACGAAATCAAATTGGTTTGAATCCGGTTTCTTAGACCAGGCTAGTTCTAGATCAGTGCCACATGCCCATAACATACAGGGAGTCCTCTCAGTCCTCTCGATTGTAGTGTCCCACAGCCAAGAGGGTAGTGTGTATGCATGTAGTGTGTATGCATGCTGTGAGAGATGTTATCAGTAATATATTTTGAGCCTTAATGTATATAGAGGTGTGTGGTCAGGGAGTGTTTGGGCCAGCGTCTGTGTGAGTGAGAGAATGAGTGTGCGTCTTGTCTCTGTGTGTCTTGTTTTTTTTGTGTGTTATTATTATTGTGTATTTTGTATTTGATGCAATGATATAACTGTACAGTGTTAGTGTAATTTGTATTTGCTGTTTTGCTGAAAGTGTGAGGGGGTTGGAAATGTATAAGCGTCTGCTTCACCCAACCCCCTTTTCAAAACTTTTTATTTGATAATTGATATTTGTACTTGTTTTTGTGCAGGTTTTGAAATAAATAAAAAAAATTAAAAAAATGAAATAAATAGTATGTACATCTGTGTGTAGAACCATCTACATACAGGGTTTTATCTGTAGATGTTCAATGTGACTAAATATGACTTCATTCTGTTTTCCATTTTCCTAACATTGTTTACTGACATTGACAAATCCTTTAAAGGGATTACATGTGACACCTGTAGAATATTGTTAACAAGTCTATTTCTGTTATTCAACTTTTTTATATTAGGTTTGATACGATTGTTTATCATAATCATTTTCCAAACAAGTTTCAAAATGAGTTCTAGTTAAACTTACCTCCACAATCAAGCTCAAGTCTCGAACATAATCTCGTTCCGTCTCAACGAGCTCGAGAACGATGTATCTAAACAAAAATGGGTGAAAATATATTCCTCCAAAACAAGAGAAGCTACAATGAACATGACACTCGGACACATACTGTCTTTTCTTCAGGAGGCTGGCCCTGCGGTCATCCACCTCTTCCATGGGAGAGGAGGAGGACAGCAGAGACTGGTCAGACGGGATGCACGAAGGGGAGCTGCTGTCTCCCTGCTCCACAGAAAGAGAACTCGGCCTGTCTTCCAGAGCCTGAACCAGGAAACACAAAATAAAGAATCTAAATATAACATTCTTTTTCAGAGAGGGTTTTTATTATCCCACCATTTTGCTTTTCACCAGTTCTTCGATGGCACTGACCAACTCTGCAGCACTGGGTGTTTCTGAACTAGACGGTCGGACTGAGAGACGAGACGCGGCCTACACGACAAAGAGAAAGTAGAAAACAGACATCAAGATTGAGATCATGTGGAGTTTAATTATGTAAATGTAACTGTAATAGAGATTGTAATCTACAGTTGAGAATTGGACAAGCACAGAGCATGCTTACACCAAAGGGAGGTCAGATTCAATTTTTTATATATATGTTTTGTGAAGGTTTATTAAAGTTACTGAAGCAAGCAAATGAAATGTAGTAAAAAATAATAATGAATGATGTATTGACAGAAGATTCCAATAAAAAAAAATGTTATGAAGATGTCAGTATGTGAAGTTTAAGAACATGTGTGTAAAAACGTTCAAAGTTTGAGAAATGAGAGTAGTAAATATGTATTCTAGGTGAGGATGTAAAGTAGCTAAAACAGAATCTAAGAGAAATGGCAGAATGCATCACAGAAGATGTGGACATACATAGTTGAGAGACTCTCACCCTTGCTGTGTGTGCTTCAAGACTTTCTCCAATTAGGATTTCTGGGTGAGGTTGTGTGCCCTTCTGGCCGCGCCAGCGTTTAAAGATGCCAATTACTCGCATGGGTAATGAGGTTACGCACACAGGGTAGAAGGGGGAGGACGAGCCAGGATGTGAGGGGTCAGCAAGAACAACGCCTTTCATTTTATCCTCAAGATATATGTTTGGGATGTCTCTACTTTATATTTTAGAGCAGTGGTGTTAAAAAAATGCTTTTAAGAGAAAAAAGTTTTGAAAAGGGAATACCTACATTTGAATAATTTGAAAACCATTGTATCATTCACTTTCTTACGTCAACTAAACTGAATGTTTCCACAACAGAGGGAACACTCTTTAAACACAGGCTCAGCTCAAGCCATGAGAAGGACATTTGTAAAGTTGCATAAATAAATGTTAAAAGTATAAACATAAGAAATGATAACAGAAAAAAATATAATTCAAATCCTAGAACTCTTTTCTGAAATAAGAAGAGGCTGTAATTTAAAGCTGAAGAGGAAAAAGAGCATTTAGGAACAGGCAGGAAAAGACGGAGGGAAAAGCCAGGCAGCTCAGATGGAGAGATATGGAAACTGAGACAAAGCAAAGACAGGACATAAATCAAGATAATGCTACATCATGGCAAACGCAAACAATACAACCAGAAAACAAAACAAAAGAGAAACAGAAATTAGTGTCAGAAGTCTCCAACTTGTGGAGATATGAGCTGCCAACATGTCACCAAAACCGTTTCAAATGAGGGCAGACTCAAAGAAAATTGTGCCAAGAAAATCATCAGACTACTGAATATTTTTCATGGATATAAAAGGGTTTTCTCAGGCCTTTTTACCTTGTCATCCTGAGCGTCTGGCTGTAGGAGGCTGTGCTGTTGGATGGCCATAGGGGGCGGCAGAGGAACAGCGTCAGGGCCCTCTTCCCCTTCCTCTTCCCCGCAGCTCTGCATTCCGGAAGAACTGGATTTGGATAAGGTACCACTGGAGAGACCTTCATTACGCACTCTCTGTCATTTGAAAAGAAATAGTGAGAATATTCAAACAAGCTTTAAACGTAGTTCAAAGTTCACACCAGTGACTGCGCACAGACCTCTTCCACGGTTTCATCTTGTGGAGTGGCTGCACTTTCGTCAGAGTCTTTCTGAGAGCCTATTGTCATCTCTCCGCTCTTTCGGACCTCGCGATTTTTCTTGTGTTTATTAGCGATCTTCTTCACGTGGCCGTCTGCTTTGCCGCTGCTTAGCCGTCGAACTGGGCTTGTGAGCCACTTTCTAAGTGTGTTACCTGTAAATAATAAAGTAAAGCCTTATTATTATCTCACTGCTAATACAGATAGAAAGGTCATGTGTGGCATTTACCGGGTCGTTTGGGCCCCGGTGAAGAGTGTGAACCTATGCCATGATTTGGCTGAAGTGTAGCAGAGGAACCAGGCATTATTGCATCATTACTGCACACCGACAAAGTGTCTGAAAATAAAGTCAAGTTTAGGCCAGCTCAACTCTTCAGCGACCCTTTAGAAGCAGCATTGCACAACTTGTTTGGCCATGGAATTTTTTTAGAGCCACAGTGTGCTACAATTCTTGTACATTATTTAATATATGTTTACTGCTGAAAATTGATGTTTTTTTACACTGGGTTGGCCACTCCACAGATATAATCTATAATTTAGCCAAGTGAATCACTACCCAGACTTGGCACAGTCCAGGAAAAAGGACAACATTTTGATGCTCCTCCACTAGTAAAGTTGTGCAATGCACTTTCATCTGAAACAGTCCTTTGCACCTTTGTGGTTATAGATGCCTTCCATCTCCATGGAGGATCTTGAATGTGCGATGCAGAGCATTGAGCAGGGTACCAGCCCCTCCTGAGCCGGGGACCGGTCTGTCGTCCGGACTAAGCACCAGTCTGGTTTATCGTGACATCGCTCCAGCACCTCCACGGTCTGGCCCCGTCGCACTGTCATCTCATTACTGTTGCTGGCCATAAAGTCATGGATGACCACAGTGAGCTCACAGCCTCCAGAGAGCTGACACAGAACACATGATCAGATACAGCAGAGCCACAAGCTGACATAAGTTATCTTTTCTCTTAAGTTTAGTTACTCACTTTGTCACTGTCCATAGTGTTTTGAGAAGTGCGAGAGGCCAGAGAGATGGTGTCTGGTTGACTGCTGCCTTCACCCTGACTGTCCAGATCCTCTCCATCCCTTCAGCACAAACAGCAGAATGTCAGTCTTCTGTCTCCTCACAGACACAGGGTGGTGCAGTGATCTGCTACTGTAGCGACACTTACCTTCGGCCCTTGTGGTGTTTGACTGCTGTGGCTTTGGGGATGTGGATGGGTTCTTTCAAAGCTCCTCGCAGGTGAATCGTGCGCTCCTGAATCACCTCCCGGATGTGCTTAATCCAGTCCTGCTTGTTCTCAATGTTAGACGCCTGGTGGTGAAGATTAACATTGTAGTCCAATATTACTCTTATTAACAATTCTTCAATCTATGGATTTGTAAACTAACTTGTGTAAGGGGAAAGAATATGTATTTAAAGTATTTTAAAAAATGAAGAGACTAAGGGCTGTGTTATTGGAGTTTGTACTCACCGTGGCGCCATGTTTGGATCCCTGACTTAGCTTTAAATTTAAAATATAAAAGGAAATTTCACTTGATTGATTCAGAATATACTTAAGACATTACATGTATTTTACTGACATACGACTTTGAGAATGACGTACAACAGAGAAATTGCCTCCAGAAGTACACCAATTAAAAAAGCATCAGTAGAATAGTGTGCTTGGACATATATATTAGTTTTTCATGAGGCACACTCAATAAAAGCAGACAGAACAAGACTTATCCAAGAGTTAGTTTGATCTCGTCTAAATAGGTTTGTCTTCATACTGTTCCAACAGCTGGCACATTTTCACATTTCCATCATGAAATCAAAACATACTCAATTGTTCTATTTTTCCTCTTGACATTTTAGTTTATGGAGTTACAAAAGTTGTGTCAGCAGCTGGAGCTCGCATGTTAACCCAGAGCATTAAATACAAACATCCACAGAAAAACACAGCCCCAAAGATATGCACAGTTGTTAAAGACGAGATGCAGCAGAGTTTATCTGAGAGGAAGGACAGAGAGGAAAAAGATTGGAAACCACAGAAATCAGCTTTGCCAGCTGCTCATGCAGTAAAAACAAGCTGTCAAGCGGAGCCAAAGCCCCCTCAACAGGTGCAGAGTGTGGAGGAGAAGCACACTACTCAAGGGTTACACTGTTGATTAACCAGAGAACAGCCCATATAATTTAGACAGAGTCGAGAACATTATAGTTTGAATGTCAGATACAACAGTTTAACCCTTGGTATTTCAGTACAGATCAAAAGAGAGCATACCTTAAGCACAATCTTGTTATCGTTTGTTGGAGTGCGTCCAACCCAAAGAGCAAATTTACAGGGATCTCCTTCAACATGCTCCGTTACCCCCAACTCTGATGTCTGTAAATGTAAAGTTACATGTTAACACTGTTCTATGAATGCTAGGTGACCACCAAAGAGTATGATGATCAGTCTAGCATCATTTGCTGAAGAAAGCGCCCCCCTCTGGTGGTCAGAAGTCATGAAACTTGAAAGCTTTATAGTATAACAGATGCAAAAGAAATTTGCGGCAGTATTCACTTACATAGAGCTTGCTCTTGTAGATGTACTTTCCTCTGCCATTTGAGTCCTTGACCTCCTTACTAAAGACTAGAGACATCTCAAAGAGGAAAAGATGTCGCTCACGGCCTTTTCGGATAAGTGTTTTGGGATCCCAAACTTGGAAGGAATCCTGTAGAATCAGCTCACCCTGGGAGTCAATGTTCTCATCAAAACCTAAGAAAATAAAATGTTTATCAATTTCTTATTAAACGAAATATTGTTTTTTGAGAGAAATAATCAGAAATGTACCTTCTAGCATTGAGAGGTGCATGGCATCATTGGCTCTTTTGGGAACACTGAGCATAACTTCGAGGCCATCAATAATCTCTCCTTTACCCTCTTCACAACAAGTCAACAGCTCCTAAACATAAGGAGGAACACATCAGTGATGCCGGAGAGAAGTGCATTTGTACTGTGCCTGTGCACGGGGGGCGTACCTTCAGGAGGAGTTGGTACTTTGTGATCCTCTGCACTGGTTTGATCAGATAGGAGGAGATGGAGTTAGCAAGTCTGTGTCTCTGTTGAATTTCCTGCGAACAAAAAAAAACGGAAAAAGGATTAGCCAACAAAACCAGCCCAAATACATGCAGTTCAAACTAATGCTGTACTTACGTCAAAGTAATTCCCTGCATGCTCCAGGATTAGCTGAGTGGAGTCTGGTTTGTTTTTACAATAGTTCACATACATCTGGAACTTGTCAGCCTGGATCAAACAGAAACGTTAGATTATGTTGGTGACACAAACAAAAGAGGACTATTCAAATACACCAAGGAAGAGGATCTATACCCATGTGACAAAACAATGACCAACGTCTTCTGGTAGCTGCTCATATTTCTCCAGCTCTTTGAGGAAGATACTGGAAAATTGATCATTGATGATTACAAACTGTTTTGATAATTGATCATGTGTTTTTATACATTATTCAAATATTCTCTCTTAGTCATTTAAAGCACAGTCTTACTTATGGTGAAATTCATAAAGGTCCTGCATGTTCCCAAAGATAATGAGCTCTTTGTTGACAATCCCCGGGGGAATCTCTTCGACGCCGCTTGTCATCTCCCACAAGTACGTCTAAAATAGTAGTCAAAACTTAAAGCAATGCAGCAATCATCTTTTTTTCTCCACAATAAAAGTTCAACTCACATCCATGCACTCCCGTAAGTCTCGCACATAGGCTTTCTCCGTTTGAATAAGTTCAGCCATGATAAATCTAATAAACAGAAGATAAATTGTCACTTTGTGTTCTATAGACATTTTATTATCTATACATTCTATATATTTCTTATTTGGAACATACTCTTTTCTTCGTGCAGACTTTCGTTTCTCCTCATTCAGCTCATGAGCAGCATCTCTGAGCTTGACCTCTGTCCCCGTGGCAGGTATATTGTCCAGCTGCAGGTCTTTGCTCTGAAAAGGAACAACAATAAAAACCAATACCGTCTTTTAAATGTTCAACACGCTGCAGAGGCTGTGCTTTTTCTCACAGCTTTGTTGGAGTCGGGGGAGATGCCCAGAGCCTTCTCCAGGCTGCAGCGGTACTTGTCCATGCGCAGGGAGAAGTCTCTATAGCGCTTGTCCACAGCAGTCACCCACTTTTTGATTTCTGCTGCGTGACTGTGCCCTTTGTCGCAGAAGCCCTCGGCGAGTTGAATGAGCAGCTTTACGCGCTCTTTGGTTTGCTACAATAGATGAGGAATATGAGAATCGGAAAGTTAAGAGCATGTATACAGTAGAGCAGGGGTCTCAAACTCAAAAACTATTTTCAATTATCTTTACCGCTGTAACTTGCAGCACTGATGGTAAAGGGCTACTACGGCATATACTGCGTTATACTTAAATTTAAAGCCTATTGTCTCAGGAAAACAACCAAATAATTATGTCTTCGAGCTGCGTATAACGTTTTTGGCTATGTATTATTACTCATTATTAAATGCATATAACAACTCTTATTGATATTTAGCCCAGTTGTGGTTGAATCAAAACTTACTAGATAACATCCAAACTCAAGTTAAATACAGTGAATTTATTAAAAAGAAAAAAAGAAAAAAGCTTGTGTTTTTGAATTTGGCCTCTGACCAAAATGAGTTTGACACCCCTGTTGTAGAGAGTCAAACCTTGGCCGTTATGTGGAACTCCTCGTGCTCCTTCAGCAGTTCCTGTGTGTGGTGGATGCTGGAGCCAGTGGAGGTGTGCGTTGAAAGGTAGAACTCCCCGGTGTCATGAATCCATTCCAAAGCCTACACACACATTTACATCATTAACAAATCTCCCACAGTGGTCATTATGTAAGACGTATATGGCCAGCCACTCACCTGTTTGGCGCTGCGCTCAAACACCACGTACTGCTGGCACTGGTCTAACCGCCGCTTCCTCATGGTCCAGAAGTGCAGCACCCGGTTCTCCCTCTGAAGCAGCTCGTTCAAGATGTTTTTGACCTGCTGCTCGGGGGCTTTGACATGGCTCAGCATCCCCGGCATGTTCACGCTGTTTCTGTGCATGTACTTCAGGAAAACGTCCGCATTTCGTCTGGCTAAGGTGCACGCCTGTATGACAGAGTGAAGCAACAGATTATCACTTGCACACGCACAAATAAAACATTCAAAGAGAAAAAGTTGTCTCAAGAGAAAAGGTAAAATCAGGCCAAAACATGTTCTCTTTGGCATACTTTTTTAGAAAGAGCCTTGTGAGTCACTATTTGATGCTTTGGGGCTGAGAGGTGATTGGCTGAGTGAGGGTGGTCCTCTCTTTCTCCCTTTTCGGTCTGAGAAAGCTGATCTAAAGATGTGACAGCGGCCAACAAAGTGTGCATGTGAAAATTAGTGATAGAATAAAACCAAACTATTTTAAAACTATGGACTATTTACATAAATTATTTTACTTCCATTTGTGTGGCTTGGAAGTTGGATACCCCAGCTTTAAGTTTATTAATGATTGGCACTATGCTGGTTAAATAAATGTAATTAGACAGAGATTTAGCACTGGATGGATTTTATTAAATAGTTCCATCATTTGGGATTTTAAAGTTACCTACCCAAGCTTTAATTTGAACAATAAATGTGGCAAAAGATAACCAAACCACTGCACATATAATCATGCTGTATCAATACCTTCAAAAATGCTTCCTTCTGTTCCAGGTGCTTGCTGATCATGGGGGTGACGTGGTCGGTCTCGGAGTTGGGTCCCAGTTTGTCGGCTCCTCCGCACCAGTCCTCCTCGCGCTTGTACTCCTGCTCCAGGCTCTCCAGCACGCTGCACACCTGCTCCGATGTCTTGTAGAAGGCCACGGAAGCGTTGACCAGCTTCAGTCTGTCCTCCATCTTCAACATGAGCTGCTGCCAGTGCGAGGCCACACTCTCGGCGCAGTCCCTGATCAGGTCCATGTCGTAGTGATTTGCTTGGAGGAGAGCCTCTGCCTTTTGCTGAACCTGCAGGGCACTCTGGTGGGTTTTCTGCAGAGGACAAGTTTATTTGTCACATACATTCCAATTATTCAGACTAAATCCATCTGACCAACCTCTATGGCATGTTGGAACTGCTCGTGTTCTCGTTGCAGCTGCTCGGCTTCTTGCAGAGAACTTGCTGTGATCATCCCGGCGTTGAGCATCGACTCTCCGTTCCGAATCCAGCCAAGAACCTTGAGAACAGGCCCATTCCATTCACACTTTAGACATTTTATGTAACGGATTGGCAAGAAGTTAATTTAAAATGTGCTGAGAGAACAAACAATGGCCAGAATAATCATCTACATCATCAAGTCCGGGATGCCATCAGATCCACACTCACAGGTGAAGGAGCCAGGAAAACAAAACCTCAGGTGTAAAAGACTCCTTCAATACCAGAGGTGGCAAGTATTGTACTGAAGTGATTTTTTTCTGCCATCTCCATTTCATGTTACAATTAGTTTTTTTCTTCACTTTTTAAAAACATTTCTCCTTTTCTTTTAAATCCAAATCTTTCTTTTTAAAATGGCATTGTACTTTGCAGATGGCAACCCAACCAATTTACTTCAACGGTATAATGCTGTCCAGGTGTTTCAAAGGCACCAATAAAACTATGTAAAATATATACATTGGTCAATTAATCAACTAAATACATTTACTTAAAGGTGCGTTCCACAACTGTCCTGGTAGTCACTTGCTTTTTGCTTCTTTGGTGGAAAACGTAATGACAAAATGTCAAGCTGTCGACCATCAGGACAGCTGAGTAAGTCACCTCTCAGTAAGTTGTCCATTATAGCTGTAGTTACATGCTTTCTCCCACAGGTGGCGCCAACCATCACAAACCATACCTGCTTGACCTCGGCCTGGAGGTGCCGGAGTTGCACACACTGCTCCAGTTGTCTGCGGTGCTGCTCGGCTGCCAGGTCCAACTCCTGCTGTTTCTCGTGAAGAAACTCCAGGAGTTCCTGAACACGCGTTGCCATATCCACGTCTCTGTCGCACAGAAGCTCCACACCTGCACAAACATTACACAACCGTCATCTTTACTTGTGTTTATATAAATATATGTATTCAGCAGGCTATTGAACAATTAAGTGTGAACAATTGTATTTTGAATTCCAGTATGATAAGTAACCCATACTAAATCACTGATGCAAAATGTTCTGAGTGGGTGCTTTCACACACAGCTGCTGGCCAAAGGTGAAAAACACAAGAGCACAACACCTACATTATGAACTAGAAACACCAGTTCTGTAAAAGATGCCCATTACATCATCAGTAACACAACAAATGAAAATTACAGAGAATGTCATGTTTTTGTCAGGATAAGCGATGAGAAGCTCTTGATAAAGATTTGGCAGCAGCTAATAAATACAATACAATAACAAGCAATAAAAGCTTTTGAAAATAAAAACCTGGTAATAGTCAGACATAGACAAAAAGGATGGTCTTGTGGACAAAGTTTTGCTCCTACTCGCTCTGACTTATATTGACTTCAACTGAAAAGTAAGATAAGAAACTTTATTGGTCTCACAATGGAAAAATTTACAAGTTACATTTTGTGTCATATCAATTATTTTGGGCTTAAAAAACATGCTTCAGGCGCTCTCTGTGGTCCTGGCGTTTACATTTTGACATTGTCGTTATATAAGAGCCAAATCATTATACCATTTATTGACCAATCCGATGTCTTCATACGCAGGGGAAACTCAAGCTTGCCTTAGCAACCAAGTTCAAATCGGCTTCTTCTACATTCACTAACACTATGGTGATGTTGGTTCTCGGTCAGTCCACTCCCAAGATATAGTCTATGGCAGCCATTCCCAAACTCAGTAACACCGAGGCCCCCTTAAAAATCTGACGGGTCTGCGTGGCCCCCCAAAATAATAAACAAGAAGACAACATTAAGAATAGGCTCTTCTGGTTATTTTATTTTGGGGAAATAGCCTCTGCTACAAACATTGTAATACAAAAATGATTACAGTGGATTATTCAAGTCAAATAGTGAACACAAATATTTTAATATTACAAACAAAACATTATAAATTTAACATTAAATAATTATATTATTTTTTTATTTTTTTTATGACCTCCCGCGGCCCCCCGGCAGTACCCTCGCGGCCCACCAGGGGGCCGCGGACCCCACTTTGGGAGACACTGGTCTATGGTATGGTAAAAGGTTTTCACTGGTCTTACCTGATGCCTGCACTTCGTTCACGTACTGCAGCATTTCTTGACCCTGGTGAATGACGTCAAAAGTGAGATTGTTCATAGTGAGGGCTTTGTCCGCGTGATGCTGCAATCTCTGCTCAGCCGCCGTAAGGTCTTCTGTATCAAATTCGGTCAACTGCCCGCTTAGCTCTTCATTCCACGAGTCCAGGTCAGAAATTATCTGTGAACCACAACATAATAATATGATCAATCTGAATTCATATCTTTTCATTCTTTATTTAATCTTTATTTAACCAAGAAAGACATCCAGTTTAAGAACCTCTTTTTCAAGGGAGTCCTGGATATCTGTAAATCCCACCGCATTCATTAGGGACACACACATGTTGATGAATACATGATTTGTAATGCAGTGTTTTCATGTGCCTAAGAATCCATGTTTTTTTGCTGTACTTGCATGGGAAAAAAAGCTATGCCAAGATCCTTTGGAAAATCATGGCCCCATTGAATCAAAGCACTTTCTGAAATTGGTCTCACTAGAAAGGAGGGGAAAGTGCTAGTTCCATTAACAGTAGCTCTTATTAGAAGACTGTCCAAACACACTCAAATCAAGATGAATACAGCTCCCTAAATGCAAGTAATAACTCTTTTGTAATTTCTCTTTTGCAGTGCAGATTTTTTATTTTTTATTGATCGACCCATCCATTTCAAAACCTGCAAAGCAAAACTCATTCTCAGACACAGATTTGCCAGTACACGGTAAGTGAGTAAGTAAGAAATCTCTATTTATACGGTGCATTTCACAGACCAAGGTCACACAAAGCACTTGAAAATGTTTTGGAGCGCTGATATTTTACCATTTAGCTTCTAAGAATGAGGACAGATGCAAGACGCCAAACACACAAGTAAATCGAAGCCTACGACCATCATTCATTATATTTAAACCTATTGTACATGTCTTTAGTGGTGGGGGGAAACCAGAGCACACAGACACAAGGAGCACATGCAAACTCATGGTTTGCAGACCCTTACATTATTCCAAACCCCTCTCACCCATTCAACACCAAACAGAATAACACACACTAGCATGTGGATAAAGCCAGTCTCGTAATAATAATCATGAAACTAAAACAATTTGGCATCCTTCAAAGCCTCCACAGTTCTTCAGACTTAAATCCGCTAACTTTCAGACTCGATGACAGTACATAATTGGCTCAAACTCACATCTATGGCGTCGCGCTCAAATATTCGCAGCTGTAGGAAAAGCTCCAGTTTGATCTTGCGCTCCTGGAAGAGCTCCTCCATCTGGGCCTGAGCCTCGTCCAGCTGCTGCAGGACGCTCTCGATGTGGTGGATGGAGCTGTTGTGGGGCGTCTTGTTGCTGGAAATGGCCGAGTCCCTGATGAAAAAACACGCAAAAGCATTGAGCAAACAGAGACAGAGTGGCCAAAAGGAAAACAGAAAAACATGTTTCTGCTTTATAGGCTAGGACTAAAGTTAACTTTGATAATCAACTCTTCGGCCAATTATTCATTTGAATATGGTGCTTTTTATACATTTGACTAAAACAAAGCTCAAGTGATGCCTCTGGAGAACATCTTCATAGAGATGACACATTTTCTTGCGTAAAAAGTACTTTCTAAAAACAAATTTATTTCATTTTGAAGGCAATATAGGTAGTCAAACTTTTTTATGTCAATGCAAGGATGAAAAACTATTATTATATTAGTTGACAACTATTTCAATATTTTTAAACCTGAACTTGGGAATATTTATATTGAAATTCTCCCTGAAATCATATTAGAAACTCAAAAAGCAGTCGAGTCCTAGAGCGCAGACCTCCACCAAGAAGCGCAGTTGCTGTGCTAAGAATTGCCCAAAACCTCTCGAGTTATTAAATTACCCCATGGTAATTTATTCTCATAGAAAATTTGTTTTGGGAAACATGACAAATAATGAAGCTGGATGACAGGAATGTGCCAACACCGACCTCTAGTGGTATAAATCGGGACTTATACTGTAATCTAATTACAGTAACGAGGAATGTAAAAAGAAATGACAGGAGAAATTCACTCGTTTAGAGTGAGTTTTTCCAGTATTTCTCTAGTTTTTCCATGTCATTCTTTTGCTTTAAAAGTATGACATAAAAAAGTAGACTGGATAGAATGGGGCGAGGGGGTTTGTGCTGATTTGAGGTGATGTAAGCAAAAACTGCTCCAGGTACGTTTTCTATGATGGCACGTTGTTTGGACAATGGCTAGAAGATGACGTTTATGCAGCAGGTTTATACAATATCTGCTGCAAATATTCAAGACAATCCAGAAATGTATTCTGGAACAAACTTGTGAGCAGGTTTATGGGACAAAGTTCAAGAGGTCCATCGGTCTGAGATGCATCAATGTGACAGCTGCACACACGCACAAAGAGGACATGAACTGACAGCGTTTAGGAAAAGCAACGCGTGACAAAGCACAAATTATTACAAGACGAGAAGCATCCTGACGAGCTGGTGGAGGACTCATCTGTGAGGTGTAAGCGCACAAACACAGACACACATACAAGGTGTGCAGAGCTGCAGTTTGCTCCCAGGGATACTGTCATGCAATTAGATGTGCTTGTGAAAGACTTATGTAACAACGCATTATGGAGCCAACACTCAAGAGAGAAAAGATATAAGTGGGTAGAGACGCAATAAAGCCCTATTGTGAGCTTCAATATCCTTAAGTATCATTTGACTGTTTCATCACTGGGCTGTTCAAAGGGAAATTCAATACAGATCCTTTTTCAGACAAAATGTTTGCACTGAAACTCGGAAAATTAGAATATTCTTCAAAGGTCCATTTATTTTCCGTAATTCAACCTACAATGTGAAACTAATTTACAACAAGTTAGAGCCTTTTATTTAATATAATTCTGATAATTGGATGATATCTTGAAAAACACCCAAAGAAAATGGACTTTAATCCATAATCAACAATCAACATAATGTAATGAATCATAAATAATTACAGAAATAAATTAACTTTTGAACTATATTCTAATGTTTATAGGGTCACCTGTATAATGGGTATTGTATAACAAACTAACGTCCATTTTGCGCCAGATAAGTATAGATAAATAATGAAGTGTGAAAGTTTAAAAAATACAAAAGATAGACAGACAGCTTGGCAAGAGGGAGCTCCAATAAAATCAGTTGAAGGTCTTACGACTAAGCACCTTAAACAGGAGACAGTGTGCTTGGAAGTAACAAATTCACAGACTTCAGGTGTAATTCGGATCATATTTAACACTGTGGGTTTCAAAAACTTTTATGGAAAACCACAGGACTGAAAATGTCCATGTGTAAAAGTGAAGATGTGACAGACCTGAGTTGCTGGATGAGATCTTCTCCTTCCTTGATGACGTTGACTGTGACCTGGAGCGTGGTTTGCTGCTGCTGACCGAAGCGTTTGATGAGATCTTGAACCGCTTCCACTGACTCGGCGTAGACATCGTCCAAAAGCTCTTTTTGTAGTTCTTCGAGCCACGTCCAGAGCTAACCCCAAATGAACACAAAACATTATGCTAATGTTTCCACCACATTCACTGTCCCTTTGTTGTCCATCTCTATGTCTCTACCAATTTATAGACACAATACCGCGCAGATTTATGCTATCTACCACTATTACCTAAGGTTTAGCTTATCTCTTATCTTATGAAATTTTTCATCGGAAACCCAAAAGTACAATTTTATAATACAGTGCCTTACTCAAAGATGCTTCACATGCCATTATTCATTCATTCCATACACTGTGGTGATTATCTACCAAAGCGGCCATAGCTGCCCTGCGACAGACTAGCAAAAGAAAGGCAATGTGTGTCATCGGCCCCTCTAACCGCCATCAATCATTTACGCCCACACCGGAATCAATTTTAAGTGTCTTGTCTAAGGATACAACGACAGACTGGCACTTTACAGCCACAGCCGTCCCACTGTGGCACCCGGTGTTCTCAGAGGTCTCCCATCACAGCACTAACCAGGCTTTCTGCTTACTTTCAGGGGACGCAATCTGGCTTTCACATGCAGGTGGTCGGATTAAATAAAATAATAATAAAAAATGAAAAAAATTGTAAATATGTTTAGGTATTTTTTTAGTATCAATTATCTACTTTCAATAATAATTTTACAATTGATCAATGATACTTTTGACGACCCTACTATGAGGCCACCATATCACTCAGATACTGTAAATAAAACGCTGAATAAAATAATATAATTCATTAATCAATAGTTGTAGGCGCACACTTACGTTACCTTACAAGACTTTAGCAAATCCATCAAACTATTTTTTTCCCCATATGGTAATGTTCACTTGCACTTTCAAATGTTAAACAATCAACACCTACAGCTCCAAATGAACTGAACCGCAGTTCTCGTCACCATTTGCCTGTTTGAAGAGCACTCTCCAACACAAGTGCACCGCCCACATCTACTTGTGGATTACATCAGCCTCCTGCCTACCTCTTTGACGTGCGTGTGGAAGGCGACAGACATATCCAGCAGGACTTTGCGCTGCTCCACGCGGCGAACAAAGTCTTGGATGCGGTCTTCGAGTTGGTGGGCGGCCTGGTAGATCTCCTCTGGGTCGCACTCTCCCGTCTGGGCCAGCTGCTCGGCCGCCTCCAACAGCTTGTCGGCATTGGTGTACGTGTTCTGCGGCAGAATGGGGAGTTAGCAGAATGACAAGAGAAACAATAACTCTCGCACTAGTACAGGACAGTTGGCCTTTTCCAAAATACACTTGATATATTCAGTTTCTGTAAGTGTGTGAATGAACGGGTCTGGCAGCTTGTGACCCGTGTGGTAAATATTTAAAACTACAAAATACACTGAATGTGAATGAATGGTGCGTGAATTAGTAGTGGTCGGATTGGAAATATGGCAACAATAATAGATGGCAAAAACAAATAAAATAATATAAGATACATTTTCATAAAGAATGCATTTTGTTTTTTTCCCAATAGAAGTATTTGTTAAAACAAATCCCTCAAAACATTGTCTAGAAAACACTTTTTCACTTTTCTTAGTTAGATAGAGGCCAAATACATGCATGTGAAGAGCAGTGATAGAACAAAATCATTTTAGAGCCAAGAAATAGATGGATTTTATTAGGGAATTTTTTTTGGTTCGACGATACGATACTACTTTATTAGCCAGTATATTTTATAAATTAAATTTAATTGAAAGGTACAACAAGTCCAAAGGAACAGCTCCAGGCTAGTTTCCATCCGTACCTGTGCAACCTCCTCAAAGTCCTCATGACGTTTTTGAAGGGCTCGGGCTCGATGCAAAGACTTCCCCACACCTGTATGTTTGCTAAGAAAGGCCTCGCCATGGTTTTCTATCCAGTCGAGCACCTAAAACAGGAACAAGACCGTTAGGCATATTTAACTTGCAGAGGAGCCGACAGTGTAAGAGCAATATGTTCTTGTCAAAACGTTCTGAAAGAGGCGTTGCACAAATGCTTTATTTTCACACTGCTCGCTGCGCCCTCGCCATAAATGAATAAACAGCATCTGCATGGACATATGACCCAGTTCAGTTGCCATGGCAGTTGTTGCTGTGGCGACACACTCCGAGATACTCATCATTCTTTGGGATATTATGACCCTGCATTATCACATTTCGTATTTGTGAGCACATATTTGGGCAATCAATGTTTATGATGCGGAAAGATAAAAAAAGGTGTATCGCTTCAGGGCTTTCTGTGAGGAAACGAGGCTGCTGCTCAGATCAGATGTTTTATTAGGAGCACGATGCCTCAAGCTAACAGCCGGCCCTACCATTTACAAATTACTGTCAATCCCATTCTACTCAGTCAAAACAGCTCTAAAAATGGCATCTTGCACATATAGTAAAAACCAGATGCAGGGTTCTTTCAGACACGTTCATGTGCATTAATAAAAAACAAGCCAAAATGATGAGAGGACCTGTTGTACGTCTTGCTGGAAGACGCAGAGCTGCAGGCGCTGGTGCAGCCGGACTTTGCGGTGCTGCCAGATATTCTCCAGTTGTCGCTGATGATGCAGCACCTCGTGGATGATGTCCAGAACATGGTGTACCGCTTTGGAGTAGTTGGCCGATGCAGTCAGAGAATCTGCGCTGCCGGGAGTCAGCGGTCGCTGTAGTTTGTCTAGCAGAGCTTTCCCGTCCTGGCTCACCTACAAACACATTCAATTAGGGCCAGGGATAGTGGCTGTTTGGGAGTATTGTGATGACTCATATTGTTTTGATACAAGTTAGCCGAGCAGAAATGTTGGGACAGAATGTAAGATTTTCAATTGTAGCTACATCTCATATCTATGCACCGCAGAGGCACAGATAAAAAAAATCATGTTTTTTTTTGGTTCAAATTGTTACTAAAGAAAAGCAATGGACATGATGGCAATATTATTTAATTTAACATTTAACATTTTGGATCAAAAAGAAAAAGTTGACATAAAAAAGGTGTAATTCAGGTTCCAGTTTCTTATGTGAAATTCAGCCGATTCGGTCTCTGCATAAAACCCAGCGGCTGAAATCAACCACTTGTGTGGGCTTAACATGAAGTACAAGGCACACATGTATTTGTAGTAAACATTTGAAATCAGAAAGTAACAAGTTTAAAATAAATTGAATTACTTACAAAAAACATTTAGCAAAAATACTTTGTAGTCTGTTGTATAAACAACTCAATAACTATACAATAAAAGTGTTACAGTGTCCAACATGTTACAAGTCATTTTAAAATATACATAATTTCTTTTTAGATTTTATTTCAAAACCCTCTCTAGACAAGAGCCAATTACTTGTGAAAAGCCAGTTACCTCCGAGTATGCAGCAGTTATGTGTTCGTACAGGCCCTGGTGATGATGGATGGCGTCTTCTAAGTCCTGCAGCTCTGAGGGCAGATCCACCTCGCCGCACGCTTTGCACCACGAGTCCACATTACCCATGTACTGCAGACACAGCCTTTATTTAGACTTTTAAAACATATTTCCATTGATGCAGGATGGGACAGTAGTGCTCTATACATGTTGGTCAGACAGAGAGAAAAGGACAAGACTTCCCCTTGGGGGCAGTCTCCAGAAGTTTAAGCATTCGTAAATATCATTAAATAAGGTTCACAACCCAATGATTATCAGCCTGTGGAAACTTCAGACATCAGTATTTACCTAGAAAGAATTTACAAAGAAACACATTTAAGACTTATCTGAAGAGAACGCAAAACCGATTATGACTGCTTCTGTCTGAGGATAATGTGTTGTTCTTTTCAGCTAAAATTGTGTTATTTCAGCTAATAAACATGCTGTTCTTGGGACAGCTAAAGGCCAGATTGAATAAAGTCATGCCATGTTACTGAGTTGTGAAATTCCATGTGTATTTCCAACCACAGACTCACACCAAAGTCTTTCAATATAATAATCTCAGCCAGGACAAACAAGAAATGTGCTTCTGTTCAGCACATTATGTAAATTAATGTCCATATTTTCTACTACTTACCGTAGTTCGTATTTAAGAAAATCACTTTTATAAGTCTACAAAAACTGCATTTTGTTTCTCTTTTAAAAAAGGTGCTGCAGTGCTGGCTTTCCATTTCAAAACCATAAGCAGAAGGATGGATGTTGTAATGTGGTTTGTAATGAAATTAGTGCTGGCTTACCTTGTCACACTTTTGGTGAAAGCTAGCAGACATATCCAATAAAGTGCTTCGTTCATCCAGGGCTGCGGCAAAAGCCTTCCACTCCTGCTCTAACTGACTGGAGATCTGCTTTATCTGCTGCGAAGCATAGTGACCCGACTCAAGAAGCCGGTTTCCCACGGACATAATGCGGTTGATGTTGACGTAAACATTCTGCAAATGCAATGACACACTTTACTAAATATTATAGACACAAGTGTATGTTTTCCTATTTTAGAAACTGTTGAAAAAATGGATAAGAATAATGAAAATACAACTGAATTTGACACAACTGGAAAATTAGTTACTTACCACTTAAGCAAGGCTAATGAACTAAACATGATACACATTCATAAGGGTATAAACAACTTAAATGTAATTTGTGTGGATATTGATCCATGTGAAGTGGCAACTACCAACCTCAGGGCATTTTCGCATATGTTCCAATTTCCAGATGCATTGAACCCTCCATAAAATATGAATTGTATCAATTGTGATGTGTTTTCAAAACCTGTTTACGGTCTCACACTTATTGTTCTACTACTTGTATGTAGTAGTAGCAATATTTTTTGTTTTTCAAGCACTTCATTACTACTACTTAATTTGTTAATTTCCACAGTTACAGAGGAACAGGTTCAGCACCTGAACATATACTGTAAATTTGTGCCATCTGCAAAGAGTATAAATTTCATATGTTTTGATATTTTACAAATTTCATGATGAATAAGTACCCAGTATTGCCCCTTGCAGTACTCCACATTTTAACTCCAAACGTTCTGATTTGTGTCAGTTTTATTCACACAAATGCAAATAAAGAAGAGAGCTTCACAATAGTTGCATAAGGCCAGCTGATTAAGCTGCAGAGCTGTTCACCACACACATCAGCTCCAGATAAACAAGTGCAGTAGTAGGCCCAAGGGTTAAGTAAGAGTACAGTCCGAGTGGGTGGAACACACAACTTTCGTAATGGTCTCTTACCATGCAGTTCATGGCAAAGTGATTATGTTGGGTCTGAAGCTCCACGGCGTGAGGGTGGTTGTTACCGATCTCTGTGTATCCTGCCAGGAACAAACCCTTGTTGTGCAGGATCCAATCAAACATCTACAATACCAAAAAAAACAAAAAAATTCAGAGTAATGCGTAAATGAGTAAAAGAGTGAGGGTGAAAAACATCGCCTCATTACAATACAGCTGTCATATATGCTAGTTGAGCTCTATTAAGATGATGCTTTCAGGCTCCCCCAGAGAACAACGTGTGGCCTATGGTGTCCTAGCAACACGCCCCTACTACTGCAGCCAATCCAAGCTCCTGCAGCTCCTCTGCTGCTGCAATGTGCTGCTGTATTCAGCTCACTCCCAGAACCTCAGTGTTTCAGCAGCTCTGTGGACCTGTCCTTCTCCATTACATGCTGCAGTAGTCATTCCATGAACAGTCAAGAATGACATCCAGAGGAACTAACCACAAACTAGCTACTGGCAATAAGCGATCATCCGTATTGCTGTCGAGGGAGAGCTGCTCAATCATAAACTACCTTAATTTTCATGAATATAGAATAGGCATAAATAAGCAAGAAATTAGGAATTATAGAGCACACATGTTGAACTTAGATAGTGATTACAATTAGTGCAAAAGATGTGATTTACAATAGAGTTTAAATTCTTGAAGATTGCATTGAAATATGCACGGTAAATGCATGGTATTTACGTCTACTTTGTTTTGTGTGTTTGATCCCATCAGACCTCAGGAGCTAAGCAAAACCAGGCCGAGTTAGTGCTGGGAAGGGAGACTGGCTGAGGCTATACAGCTGTTAACCATTGTTGTGTCCATAGGTAAGACACTTCCCTCACATTGCCTAGTAAGAGCTGGTGTATGCGTGAATGGCTGAAGTATTAATTTACCACTGTGAACAGAGTGAATGAATATTGCTGTGGAGCATCATGAGTGTCATGGAAAGCACTGTACAAGTATCGTTGGCCTTAAGGGTTGCCCTCTGTATGATTTGAGCTATACAAAATAAACCTTGCAAAACAAAACAAAAATAACTTTTTTTATACAAACAAACATGTATATATTTTGCAATACAAAATAAATTAGGTTGAAAGAAAAGGCACAGATCAATGGCTCGCAGTCTGTATAATTAGGAGCTGTTCATTGGCTGTGCCCTACAGAGATCACCAAATGTGTTATGGATTTCAGTTGGTTCACTCTGCCCCACACTGACCTTCTCTGCGTCCTGTTCAAAGAGTCGAAGCTGGAAGCATTGGTCCAGCTGCAGCTTGCGAACGTGCCATGTCTGATGGAGCTGCTGTCGGGTGGAGTGCAGCTTGTCCAGGAGCTGGCTTATCCGCGGCACGAGGCCCTGGACGTCTGTGTTGCCTCCGCTGCCACCGCTGCCCCCAGTGCTACCATTACGGTTGGAGAAGGACTCCGTGCTCTGGATACGCTGCAGTAACCTGCAACCAGATGATCAAAAAGTAACATTAAATACTCTGTCTGTGATTAAAATATATTCAAATTAAATGTAGACTTTTAGTAATAAAGAATGCCATTGTCATAAGTGGTTGGGAAAGTTTGTAGTTCCATATGCTAACTGGACATTTTGGTCGGTATGGTTACAAACAATAATAATAATAATAATAATAATAATTTGAAGAAAAAAAAAAAACGTACAATTGCAATTAGTACTAGCAATTACAGTTTTAAGAAGTTTTGAAGCTAGTCTCGGGTCAATGTAACCAACATATCCAACATGCCTTGAACGACATGATGACACAGAAGAAGCAAGTATAGAGGTTTCAAAAGATACTCGAGTTCTCACCGTTGACCTTCCGTGTCCAGCTCTTCTATTGGAGCCTTTATTACTTTTTTCTTCAGCGCTGCATGCTCTTCTATCATTTTACGAGCTCCGTCGAGGTCTTGGGGAAAATCTTTCCTCGACACCGTTTCGTACATCTCCTCCAGCCGGGCCAGCATCTGGGTGGCGTGACCAGAGAACTCCTCAAAAGCCACGCGCACCTGAAACGGAAAAGCAGGACGTTACACCACTGTTCTGAGCTGAAGCTTTTCCATGTAGTCATTGAGAGTAGCTCCGTCGTACCTCAATCCACTCTTCATGATTGTACTCCAGGCTGCCGTCGAAGTCTGATGTCAACTGGGAGGGGTCTACAACTTTTGTAAGACCCTCCAGTGACACCATTGTTGTCTGGAGGAGAAAGTAAAGCAAGGGTTAATAATTAGTCGTTACCTTTGGAAGTTTTGTTTTTGATGAACTAAACAAGGAATTAAACACTTAGAAAAAGGGGCATAAAATCATCAATCAATCAATCAACGTTTATTTATAGAGCGCCTTTCCTACACAAGGCAACGCAAAGCGCCTCACAACCCATATAACATCATGCATAAATCATCAAACATTAGAATTTAAGTAAACATAAAAAGACAGATTAAGAGCACAAGATATATAAAATCACACAAGTAGTTAAAAACCGTAAAAAATTAAAATCACACAAGGGATTACAATCATAAATAATCATAAATAATCATAGCGCATTAAAAAGATTAAAGATAAAAACAAATGTAAAATCATTCACTTGTATGCACAGCTAAAAAGAACTGTTTTCAGTTCAGTTTTAAAAACTGCCAGAGTAGACGCCTGTCTCACACTCTCGGGAAGACGGTTCCAGACTCTAGCTGCATGAATCTGAAACGCAGCCTCCCCATGTCTAGTTCCGACTCTTGGCACTAACAGAAGTCCAGTCCCTGTGCTCCTCAGAGCCCGAGTTGGTTCATATGGCACCAACATGTCGCGGATGTACCCTGGTGCGAGGCCATGGAGAGACTTGTACACAAGTAAAGCTACTTTAAAATCTATTCTCTGAGCCACAGGAAGCCAGTGCAGAGACCTGAGGACCGGACTAATGTGGTCGTACTTCCTGGTTCTAGTCAGGACTCGAGCTGCAGCATTTTGGATGTACTGCAGCTGTTTTACCGCTTGTTTAGAGAGACCTGTGAACAAGCCATTGCAGTAGTCCAATCGACTGGAGACAAATGCGTGGATAAGAATCTCCAAGTCTGCTTTAGACACAATGTTTTTAATTTTAGCAATGTTTCTTAGGTGGAAGTAAGCTGATGATGTCACAGATGATATGTGGCTATTGAAATTCAAGTCTGAGTCCATTATTATCATAATTGTGTTATTCACAAAATTTGCTCTCTAGCTATGCGTTCACCCAGTGGCTTTAAAAACAAAAACAAAAAAACATGTGACAACAAAAAAGATGGTCGTTGCAAGAGATTCTCATAAAAAATAATAATTGCATCTTACAAGGAAAAACCTCTTGCTTTCAGTGCCTCTGTATTTCTGCTAACCCACCTCCGCACAACTCCCCCACACACATGGCCGGGGATGGATGAAGACAAAACCAGAGAGATAGCTTTGTTCAGGTCAAACAATACAGAGTTATACTGCCATCCTTGGGCAATAAAAAGCTTTAGTGGCATTTCCCAGAGCCAGGTACAATTTCTATTGTTGCTCAAGATCATCCATTAGCACTTGAATGGGCAAGGAGCCAAGGCTGTTACCAAAGACCACAAACCAAAAGAGTTTACCTAATACTGTATACCAACTGGGGTAGAAATACTGTGTGTGTGTGTGTTTGCTTTACAGACGCAAGAGGACGCTTTCCTATCAAATACTGTACACATAATTCAAATATTCTGTAGTTTATATATGCTGGTATTCAAATGTGATGCATTTATATACCACAATTTTGCTTGACAAGACACACTGTACATAAAATTACATAATTCCTGCATAAGATGTGAACCACTTAATCTATTTTAATGTGCAGTGAAAAAGCTTGAATAAATGTGACCCACGAAGCAGACTAAAGGGCACACATTGACCAACAGTGTACCCAATCAATGGCGCTGTTGCAAGGCTGTTGGATATTTGCATCTGGCTATTCTTGCAATCACATAATTAATGGTACATCATTAACCTGGGGGCATTTTGACTATTTAATAACCAGCTGCTGTGGGGGAAAAAAAAAAGATATAAACCATCCAACATTTTCAGTGAAATGAGCAACGTTCAATAACTCAAAAGCAAACATAAAAGTGTCCTCATTAAAGAGCATGCGTTAAAGAGATTCCATTCAAAAGAAGGCAACTCCACAGGGTTCAACTCTGGAGCAGCGATTGCCCTCGTCTCACACACAACTTCATTAATATCACATGGAACCTACATCTTTGTACATTTCATACAGTGCAATGGAAAGAAAACTAAATGTACCGAGGCACAGAATGGTGCTTTCAGAAATCTATGGTGATCTGCAAGTCTTACCAGAAATGCAATCTGCAATAATACTCTGCCGTCAGCACTAAATGCAAAATGAGATGACAAGTAGTCTTGAATTCCATTTCATCTGAGAAACCACTGGCTGGCAGCACACGATTTGCTCTGACAGGTACAGAAGTTTAGAAATAAACTGGCAATGAAGATTTTCCCTTATGACTGTAATTTTCACTGTTTTTGTAGTACAATTTGTCATCAACGAGGGGTCATTACACAAAAACCAAGCAAAAAAGATCCTCTACAATGCCAATGTAGTGATATAGAATATTATTACCTCAAATTCAAACTTGGAGCTTCCGAAGTTGGTCTTCTGCTTCTGCCAGAAGTTGTCAGGTTTGATAATGAGAGCAACGTGGATGCAGGAAGGGAAGGACTCTTGTAGGATCTTCAGCAGCGGCTTGATGCTCTCCCATTTGGATCCGCGCATATCAACGATGACCGTGAAGCCATGTTTACACACATCGTCACTGGATCAGCGGCAGGGAGAGTGGGTGGCAGTAGTAGAAAGGAGGAGGGAGGGGATTGGGCCGTGGGAGATTGAGGAGAGTATAATCCGGGTAGGGAGAGACACATGACAGGCGTGGGAAAAGATGACGGAGGGATGACAGAGGGGAGACAGATGAGCGAGATGAGGACAAAAAGCAAGAGAATAACAACAAAATATGAAATGACGCAGTTTCTATATGGTGAGCAGCCTACGCAGTAAAACAGAGCTCCCACACTCGCCCACGCTCTGACCCCACAACCACGCAGATGCAAACCTACGACAAATGTATGTAGAAAAAAACACAATCAGCATATTTTGTGCCTCAGCAACCTCATCTCCCTGTGGTGCAGGAGGCTGTGCTTGACATCATAATCGCTGGCAGGCACACACTGTATCCACTACTCAAAAGAGAGAGCTAATATAAGACGTACTATATCCACCTCCAAATGCATGATACTAATGAGTGATTTGAAATGGGAATAATGCACCGACAGCTGACTAAAAATCAAATGAAAACAACACAATTTGCAGCTGTCTCCCCTTCACATAATCTCTCAATCTATACCATAAACAAAGCTATAATGACAATAAGAGAACACAATGCACAAGTAGCATCTCTTTAAAAAGCCTCCTAGCGCTTTGATCTGTCAGTGAAAGTTCCCTTATGCAAAGCCACAGATGGCGAATGATAAAGGCACGCGCTAAGTGGAGCAGATGGAGAGATAGAGAGGAGAGCGCGGATGTGAGGAGCTCTACCTGCTGCCTGGCGACTGGTCCCTGGTTTTCCACTGGTCCACGATGGTCCACACTGGTCCGATACAAACGCAGCTGCTCTGCTGGGGCTACTGCGGCACTTTGTTTTGCTTTCACACACTCTCGCTCCCATCACGCGCACACCTCCTCACACATGCGCCCTGACGCCGCTGCCCGCCTAATCCCCTCTCCTTTCTCTCTCCCCGTCATTTGTTTTCATCATGGTTTTTCTAGAGGCTCGACTATGTGTTTTCAAGGCAGCATCAAACTAATGATTTTACACGCTCCCCCTTCCCCTCCCCTCTCTCACATGTCCCGCTCACCACTGCGCATGTGTTGCAGCTGATGTGTGACTATGGAGAGTGCATGCAGATAGGAAAGAAAAGAAGAAAAACACCTGGGGATGCCGGCGAGGTATGCGATCAGCCTCCTTAGATCCTCTTGCCGTATTCTGTCGTGATTGCTACGAGATGGAAACGTAAGCACAGGACCCCCGCGTCGGTCTCTACCGCCTGGAGAAATGCAGAAATATTCATCAGACTCTACCCATGCAGTTTCATAAGAAGAAAAAAAAGGCCATTACGTTTGCTCCATCATTTCAGCAAATATGAGAGCGAAGCGGGGAGTGAAGTCGACACATAACTGAGTGATAGACGTGATGAATGAGAAATGAGTCAAATGTCCTTCCAAACAGATTTGCACTTAAATTACGCCTCATAGGATGGCTTTAATCATAACCATTTTGAAAGACAAGCTATTTATTATTACATCCTTATGACGAACTTAGTCATTTTTATAGAATGGAAGGAAAAAGTGATGGTCATGGGGAAAATATTATATTTTTGGCACATATTTTAGTTAATACCATATTGAATGATCACAAAAAAGCACTGAGCAAGAAATAAGGGTAGTGGGTAGTAAAAAACTAACACCAAGATAACCCCATGCATCTCCTTTTCAAGGGGGTCTTTTAAAAAAGAGCCTAGGCACAGATTCATACTAGTCATGTTGAATATAACTATATTTAGTAAAACCTATATGCAATTTCATTTAGATCATTTTTGAATCTTGGTTTTGGAAATACACATTTGAGTCAGACCAGACATAGTGTATTCTGTGCAGCATGGAAGTCACTCGGTTCAGGTGCAAACGCTCTGGGCTCTGTGGGATTGTGTTGAATTATTGAATCCACAAATGCCCAAAGTGAATGGTTGTCTGTCACTCTCTGTCTCCATGTCAGTGCTGGGTCTAAGTGGAGTTCGTAGGGGAGCACAACGACACCATGTTCTCCGATATCGGCTGGATATTTTAACGACAGATTTGGAGGGGACAAGTTTAAAGCTAGGGTACTAGATTTTCAAACCTCAAAAGGGTGGAATGGATTTTCTTGTTCTAATAAGTTGACGATTTGATGAAATGACTTCTTGTGTACGACACCTTTAATATACGAGTGTCTTTACATGGTCGGGCATAAAAGAGAAGCAAACCAAATATAGGAAAGGACAGCAATGATCATGATTGGATATGGTATGTATGAGGCATGATGTGGTATGAACATATTTGATTTTATACAAAAAACATTACAGATGAGCATGTGCAATACATCAAAGTTGAGACATTATCCTAGTTTTTGGCTTGTTTTGTATTTTGCATTTAATTATTAGACCCACTATTTCCAAGCCCTGTTGTTGAGTTAACCTAATCAACATTTGAACTATAACAATGGCATTCTTTACAAGGAATTGTCAATGAGAATCTCCCCAAATCGTCAACAATGCCATTTTTGGTTTATAAACCCAATGTATAGACGTCACATTTTTGTTCCCATCATCACCATAGTAACAATATTAGTGTGTGTTATTCCAATGAGTGCTGTGGCCTCACGTGTTCCCAAGCGGACTGCACACAGCCCACAGAGCAGAGTGAGTTGTTTGCTGCCCGTGGGCTCGACCCGGCTACTGGCACAGACAAATCATGTGCTCACGTGGCTCGCAGTAACATGAGCGCACCAGGAGGGTGGACAATTTATTAGAGGGCACAATTGGGAGTATTAGGCTTAGATTCATTTACCCTTTCTTTTCAACGCACTCCGGTGCCCCTGCTTAATGTTTAAAGCCAATTACAATACCCCACAGAGGCGCGTGAGGTACAAGAAGTCGTCACCATGGCAACGCAGCCCAGTCTCTGCCTTTCTATTGGTCTGAGTCATTGTCCTTCGTATTGTGGCGTTTCTGCTCGTGACCTTCGCTGGGAAGGCTTCGAGGTTGATTGAGAAAACTAAAAAGGTGGAGAAAATAAATGGCATGCACTTTGGCCCTTGATATTTTGAAAGTAAAAGTCAGTTTATGCATGTTAAAGAGATCGGGGCTTTGGATCACAAGGAATAAAGGACAACGCTAAATGCTACTCGTTTATGAACACTCCGTGATAATTAGTATCCTTTTTGGAAGGAAATATTAAATTATTTATTAGAATAGTTAAACCCATTGGTTTAACTGTTTTCCTTCAGCATATCTTACTGGAAGTAACGATACCGATGGGAGGAACATATTTATTATCATTATACTAATGATGATTTTGACACATCACTTAAAAAAAACAATAATAATAAATAAATGGGGATTTTCATTCATATACTGGTTATTGTTGTAATGGTCAGATAACTTCCATTGTGGATTAATAAAATACAATACTATTTGGTACATGTATTGATCCACAGAGGAAAATGACTTTTTTAATACATATTAATTATATGTAATCTTAAGTTTCATCACTTTATCATATTCATAAGTTTCAGAATTATGAGAAATTGGGACCAAATTTGTTTTTGCATTCACATTGTACTTTATATATTGACCTTGGGTTCAGGGAATTCACAATGAGAAACCTGCAAATACATTATAATGGAAGGACGTATAGCTTACCTGACAAAAAGGCAACTTTTTCTTTCAGGATAGGAAGAACCTCCATGGCTCTCATATGTTCATTCCTTTTAAAACCTGTAAGATAGAAAAAAAAGTGTGAGTTTTGCATAAACAACATTTTGAGGCATTACTTTTAGATTTGAAGAGTCAGGATTTATGAGAATGTCTTAATCAGAAGATCTGAATTTTCCCAACATAAGGGACTGAATGCAGGAAAAAAAAACTATTATCAAAAAGGTCCAAAGGATTTAATAACAAAAAATCGTTGAGAGAGCAGCACAATGTTGGGAAATGTGTGACATACAAAAACGGTGTCAAGGACCGCAATAATGATATTTATTGCAATATTTTGTTTTCCTCAAAGAAATGAAAATGTTTGTTATCAAGAAATACAATATTTTTTTCTAAGTCAAATGTACTTTCTTTGCATTAAGATGAAATGCATTGTCATCACAGTCACAACAGGTGATTATCACACATCATTTAATATATTGTCAAGTCCTGCTTCTAACCAATCCCACTTGTTTTAGATAAATCATGATTAGTATGTGTAAAAAGTACATTAATTACTAGATTAGTCAAAGGTAATAATGGATTAAATACTTGATTAGTAAAATAATGGATCGCTGCAGCCCTGACGGAGTGCCATTACTAAGTGCAGGCTGGCGCGGTACAGAAAAGTCAGTGGGGTCATTTTACACAAACACTAAAGCTGAGAGGAAGTACAAAGGCTGTGGTCAGGGAAAGTGGTGGTCAGACAAAGAGGCCAAGCAGAGGAAACAATCGCCTGTTGTGGCGTTAGCTGGGGAACAGCTAAGGCTAAATAATATTCAACCTCACAGCCATATTCTCTGCATTTCCATTGACCCAGCACTTAAAACCAATGAGGGGTTTTGTGCTTTCAGTTTCATGCACAGTGGGTATTGAGCATAATTTGATCGCACCACTAGTCATTTTAAAGTTGTACAATACCGCAATTCATTTTCATAAATTCTGAATATTTTACTGCCATTGTCTATCACCATTGTCAATTTCACACATTTTATTTTAACTCTGAAGCTGAAGTGTTCTGCTGCACATTGATGTTTTGTCTTATCCCATAATTTAATGGTCTTTTGATAATAAGCAAACTTCCATATGGCACGCGTCTCTTTGTTTATCATAAAATCCACCTCAAATGAGCACATCAACTTTGATGCAAATAATGGATTCTAGATGAGATAATTGTCATTTCCACTTCCTCACATTAATTCAAAGTTTATCTGAACTACACATATTTGACAGCATCCCTATTCTGTATCTGAAACCATGTGGATTGAAACCCACATTTACACTGGCATAGGGCTCAAAACTGCACAGCATCAAGTTTACGCACTCGTGTCTTTTATATACAGGTTTGTGAATAGGCAGCTTCATAGGAGTCATACCACAACACTGTGGTAGCGGCACCAACCCAACTCAAAATCTGTCATCCTATAAATGATAGAGGAGCTCTCTGCTGCCAACTGTTGAAAGGCTGTCGGGGGATATTCTGTCAGAGAAAACTTGTGTGTCAATGATTAAAGCCTTGTATACTTGACTATGCAGCTGGACAGATGGGCCCAGGTGTTGTTTGGAGCTCTCAGAGGAGAAGTTAGTCACAATGATGACACACAGCGAATTGTGGGATTATAAAGACACCAGTCATGACTTATCACCAGGGTAGTTCAGAGAAGTGCTTTGAGAAGGCTGTCAGTAGATCTTAAACTATTATTCCACATATTTAATAACTTAAAATTAAACTGCAGCGCATCAAGCACACACAAGTAATCACAAAATGATGTGAATGGAACAAATATATTATACTTGATCACACATGAACACAATCCCCAGGAAATTTAGGAGTGTGGGTTCATGTGAATTGCACTGAGTGAAAAACTGAGATTTACCAGGTACATATGACTCGCCTAGAGAAATGGCATTTGGGCATTTATGGACAATTACCTCCATCCAGTTTGGTGGCCTTCAATCACATGTTGATTGGAAACTGACATAAGGTAAGCAGCACTAGTGTCTTCCTAGTGTAACGGTTTATTATGGGGGGATTATTTATAACTGTGTTAATTAAATAATCTTTTAGATTGTCCTTGCATCCAATAGTTCACCGACTAGCAGTTGTTTATCCGCTGTCAATCTGTTCCCAGGTTAGAACATCACACCCCTTGCCCGTTACTGGTGTGTGAATGGTGCAGAAGCAACCCGGCAATTTATGATTGAATTAATCTGAATCTGATTGGAATTATGAATTAGAAAAATGTTGGAGATTACAAGGAACTGTATCTGGGATTGTTCCGTGAATTAAGATAATGATTCTTTCAGGATATGGGAAAGAATGAAAAAACATTGCTCATAATCAAATATCAACTCAAACATATTAACAAGATGATAAACTAGCAATGAAGGGAGACATATCTAGGGAATTCAAAGATAGTGCCCCAATTTAGTCCGCTAAATCATTGTTTTTTTCCTTCACTCCACTCCTCAGTGTGAGAATAGACCATCTCCATTGTTGTTTGCTGCCTACAAAGTATTACATAATAAGTACTTGGAGGGAGGAGCATTGAGTCTTGAGTATTTTTTACAACTGTATCTGAACCACACACACACACACACACAGACACTTACAGGGCACTTGTATCGTGACGTACATCCATCTTTGTGCACAGCATGAATTCAAATATACACGGGCATGCTAATGAGCCGCTAATTATCTTTCCTTTCGGTGCTAATGGATGAGAATCAGGACTCGTCCCTATTTTTAGCTCCTCCTCTCATTTGTCTCCTGACATCCCTCAGGGGGCGGCAAAAACAAATTGGCTTGATCAACTACATTTCCTACTGCGCTCCTGTGGAGAGTGAGCTGTAGTTCTTTATAGATGGTGCATGAGAAAAGTGCCGTGTGGAAAGAACGGTTTGTCCAACTATTTCTGTAAACCACAAAAAGAGTGCACAGAGGGCATGTACTGGTCCAAATGTATTCCCGAGATTGCATTATTAACACTATACCATTCCTATCATAATGTAATAGCTTTAAATGATTACCATATTGTGTTAACTATTTGACGTTAAGCACATTTGTTCTCTGAAAACATTTAGACCAAATACATGTATTGCCAAAATGTTAGTATTTTTAATCCAACCTTGTTTTAGGAAAGTTAACACATTAAAACAAGGTACATACCACTTCATCCATTTTTATACAAACTGATAGCACAAAACTAGCAACAACTAATATATACTTTAGTTTACATGTGCATTAGAGAGAAATGGAGACTAAATATAGCCTTATGAGAAGTTCTGTTGCTGCTACACTATAAAATATCAGTGAGGAGATTTTCTCAAATAAGCCTCGCGTACAATTATAGAGACTCACGCCTCACTTTTGCAAGGCTCTTGATAAAAGTGGCACAGTAGCTAAATAAAGAATGGCTCGGTCAGACACCACACACACACACAACTGTTATGTCGTCGAGCGATACTGGAGAAATGTATTACACAACTCCCCATCCTGCACCAATGTGTGCTTTAAACTTGGAAAACTCAAATGAACAGTGATATACCTGTCAAGTGGAAGTCTGTCTGTGCGTACTGCCATTTATGACTGGTCACCCAACAGGCCATGAGGATCCATATAAATTGTTGCTTATTGAGAAATGCAAAACATGTGTCGTTGCCACCGTTGGCTACCGAGGGACTGGCAGGGCAATGTGCTGAAGGAATCCCAGTCGTCTATGGTCACAGACACAGCTAATCCTGAGATTCCTGAGGGGAGATATTCCAATCCAGCAGACAACCAAAACCTCCTGCCTGGTGCCAAATGGAAAAGCTGGAGCAAACATTTCCAAGCGCAAACAGTCTGTGTGCACCATCAGATCTGGGGGCACAGGCTGAGACTGCATCTTGCGTTTGGCCTTAGGTGAGCTGATAATCTCATAGTATTTTGGAGAGGCAGGTTTCAGGGGGTAATCCACAAAGGAGGGAGGAGCCATGATTATAATATGCCTGTGCTGCATTTATACTTCCTGGGAGATCTTGGAGGAAAGCCCCCCCTCACTGCCGTTGCCGTTTTCCTGTATTCATCTTTGGCAGTTCCTCATCAACATATTGTGTTGGATTGAATACATAGTAGGGGTGGGAACCTAAGGGTACTTCACGATAAGATACGATACACGATACAAAGCTCACGATAACGATAATATCACGATAACGATTCTATCACGATACGACGATTATTGATATATTGGTCAGAAATATACAATATGCCAATTTATGGCATAAATAAAAGAAAAATTACTCTTTATTTCATGATAAATAGAATGGATATGCGTAATGTAGCCATATATTAAGTATTGATACCAATTCAAAAAAAAAAAAAATACAAAAAAAAAAGTAGAATAAACCCTAATGCTTAGTTTTACCCGTACATAAGGCTTTTTCAGACATTAAAATTTGCAGCACACTTGGACTAAAAAGAAAGAACAGGAAACTGTACTTGATGAAAAAGTTTCAAATTATATGTATAAAATAGGTATCATAATTGTTGTTCTTTCGTAAACTACAATTGTAAAAAAAAAAAAAAATCACTCTCACTCGCCATTAAGCCCTCTACCCAAAGAGCCAAAAATATATAAAAAAAACGTTTTACTTTTACACGCCTTTAACGCTTTCTGCTGGGACGAACATGTACTATTTACGAAAAAAAATATTGTTAGTTACCCCAGCTTCAAGTTAATTTTGTCAGCCCTACTTTTAATGTGATGTACAAGACTAACAGGTTGGTGTTTATATATATATATATATATATATATATATATATATATATATATATATATATATATATATATATATATATATATATATATATATATATATATATATGTTATATAGCAGGATATGATAATGTTCAGGATATAGATGAACAATTGCAGTTCCAGCTTCATTCAATAATGTGATTGCAAACTTGCAGTCTTGCGTCTTAGTAGAGTTACTTTCAGAAAAGGAGAGAAACTGTTTGGACCCAACCACGCCACAGTCAGAGTTTTGCAGGTCAGTGCCGTTAGTGGGCTGTGCGAGTTTGAGAATGTGTCAACAGTGTTTCCCACAGGTTTGAAGGCAATGTGTGGTGGTCGTCGGCGGGGGGGGGGGGGGGGGGGGGGGAGTGGGGTACAGTGGTACAGTGGTAGAGGACAATCTTGAGGTCATGAATCCAGTGAAATTAGTCGCACACCTTTTTACAGTAATAAGTTACAGCAGATCAAAAGTGACATGTTTTGACCATTTTTAGGCTATTTTGGACCAAAATGGCTACTTTACCTCAATATTTCTCAATATTTCTACAGTAAAAGTGTCTGGTCTTTGGTACAGTGGTAGAGGACAATCTTGAGGTCATGAATCCAGTGAAATTAGTCGCACACCTTTTTACAGTAAAAAGTTACAGTAGATCAAAAGTGACATGTTTTGACTATTTTGGAGGTATTTTGGACCAAAATGGCTACTTTACCTCAATATTTCTCAATATTTCTACAGTAAAAGTTTCTGGTCTTTGGTACAGTGGCAGAGGGCAATAATAAGGTCATGAGTCAAGTGAAATTAGTCGCACACCTTATTCCAGTAAATAGTTACAATACTTGAAAATTGCACTAGCGGACCAAATTGTGTACTTTATATATGTAAACAATAGAGTGGCTATCCTCCTGAGGACTCACAACCTGCAGGAGGAATCGTAGGGGGCTGGTGCTATGTGTGCCGGGTGGCATCTCTATAAGGTTTTAATCACAAAAAACGTGTCTCCCAGACCCCAGCGCGCTTTCTGTTCGATAAAAATGGGTGACTCCGAAAGGACGTTCCGCTGTTACCGTAAGTTCTCAAACAAAACGCGCACCGTCTTTTCCCCGATGCGGGCCGCATGTTCATAGAGCTGAAAGATGCGGGCCACTTTACCGCGGTAAATTAATAGACACAGCTGCTTACAGCGATGATCGCTGATGGAGACGGAGACACGCGGTGTGCACGAAGGGGAGGGGCTGTGTGTGTGTGTAGGTCTCTGTATGTGGGAGAGACGCGTAGCTTGAGTGAGAGTTACGAAGGGCCGCCACATTTTAAACCCCCCTCCCCGCTGTCAAATTGACCGCTGCGGCGGCACTAGACGATGCATGTTTTAAATAGCGTAACAAAAAAAAATATATATATAATAATACGAAACGCAATTTGTGGCGGGCGGTCTCTAATCTGTGGCGGTGCGCCACAGATTAGTCTATGTGTGGGAAACACTGGTCAACACTGAGAGGTGCTGGGGCCTCCAGAGGTCAAGTGGGCATTAAACATGGCCCAGACTACAAAGCAGTTTACTCGACAACAGCGCTCAAAACGGGCCCAGGGAGAAGCTGACAAATACTGGGCCGGGCGTGGGATGTGTGACGGGGAATGTAGCAGTTGCCAACAGCCGGACAGATGGACAGTGTGCTCCAATCAGAGGAGTGGAGAGGAACCGTGGCATACATTCTGCATGGGGAGCACGCATTGAGTCCAACAAGTGATTAATGTTCGGTTACACAGACATAATCTCATAATGGCCGCTGGGCAGCTGACACTGGACATGCATTCTAAACCAGCTGTTGTGGGTCAACAGAAACCCAAACCAAGTACAGTCGCATCATCCCGGCAGAGAGGCGGACTTCCCGCATTCACAGCATGCCACAGATTCCTTCCAGGGGATGTAGAGAAATGGCAGGGTTGAATTCCTAGAGGATGAAGAGGTGGCCAGGAATAGAGTGTCCATGCCACGGACCACTGGCCTACATCCTGAGGCAGCATGCTTACAGCTAGGAAACTGCACTTATATTCATTACATAGTTTATGTGAAACGTGTCACTGCTGAGGATATTGTGAATGGACGTTTGAAACTGATTTAAATTGAATGCTGCAGATTAACACATTCATATACAGTAAGCCTCTAGCCTTTTACAGGATTGTCGCGCTCAAACTTCAAATTTCTCACTGATATATTCATAATTATACTATTGAAAAGGTCTGAAAGATTTTGATATCTAATCGAAAATATGAAATGTGCTTCTTCTACTATGAAAACCACTAACACTGTGCAGTGTGTATCAGAAATTTAAATGCAAAAATACTTTCCAGATTCTCAGTCCTTTCACTGATTTACACCTCAAATAGTAGGGTAGACTAACCAAATGCAATAATGGGTCCAGGGTTACCACAGCGACCAACACACAGCATGAAGGATGAGGAGGGCAGTACAGACAGAGACGGGAGCGCCTGTTACTTTTCTTTTGCCTTTTATAAGCATCTGATCAATTTCCCACCGTGAAAAGGGCAACTTCTTGGCACCAAATGTGAAAAACTCTCTTGCTTGCAGTTCATGGAGTTTACTGCTGCAACCCTATATTAGTATTAGTGCTCATTGCTCAAAGACGCCATCTAGAGGAAAGTCAGAGTACAAACGGTAGAGTGGCATGGTATTCAACAAATTAAGAACAGTTTTTTTGGGAAGAATATCTGACATTTTTGAAACTGCAGCAACATTGGGAAGAAATGCATATTCTGCTTGAAAGCTCCCCTCAGCACATCTGTCATAGTCCAAAGGCATTAGGGCTATTGCATAAGAGCCAGTGACCCCTCCCTCTTACGTTCGAGGGCTGAGAAACAGGCCAGCAGATGGACACTATCCCCCTGTGTCTTATAACTAAGTGAGAGCAGGCAAAGTCGGCTGCCACGAAAGGTCCTCTCCTGACAGCACCATCGACCAAAGCCAAAAATTACCCCATGTAATTGTCATCGTGTTGTTGAGCCCTTTTCCTCTCGCTTCACCAGTTTGAGCCGTCTCCATAAAGGCCCCAAGGCTCAGAGCAACCTGCCAACTCACTGTCCTCATTTATATGGAGCAGTGAGAGTTGAGATTTTTAATGACAAATGTGAAGGGAAGAAATTGCAAGGCAGATATTTGAAATTTTGTTTTCATTGGGAAGGGAACGACTTCATGGAATTCTAAATGCACTGAATTGTGGTGTCTACTAAATTGTGCTGAATCTTACATCAAAAGTGGTAAAATACATTAGGGAATGAGGCAGCAATGCAACACTTATCAAAAAAACAATGAGTGCGTTTACCTGCTATCTGACTGGATACATCTCCTTTAGGCTCTTTAGGAAGAGATCCATCTGGAAAAGATAGAGCACACTGGTTAGATGGACTCTCTCAGGGCTTTTAACAATAAACCCAAACACTGAGGCATTTTACAAATATATGGTCATTGGTCAACAATGTTACATTTCACTTTAACACAAATCCTTTTCACACGTTTTCTTGTTATGTTCATGTGGTCATTTATTATACTGACTTAGACACAGTTTGTAATAACCTTTTTTATCCTAATAACATTTAACCAGTAAGTATTTACTAAAAGAAAACCTTGCGGCTCACGGTGACATAACCGGTGTCAACAGCTCGTCTGACAGGCTGCATGTGTTGATGTGGTTCTCTTCTGCTCCTTTCCAAATTATACGGAAACCGCAGACAAACGGCTTTTCATTATTTCTAATAATGTGTAGAAGAAATGTAATTAGACATATTGTGAGAAGATAATGGCAGAACGACAGAAAAGGCAGCGGATCACTGTGTGCTTATACACCTTTGTCTGCACAAATTAAGGGGGCGGCAAATAAAACAAGTTGTCCGTCATATTAAAGCAGCAGTAAGCGATTTTTGGGTGTTAATATACGTCTTAAATATTGATATATTCCAATAGCCATCACTTATATAGAGTGTTTGTACCTAAACACGGATCTCTCAGTCCTTCCAGTCTTCTCCCACCTATATAATAAAAAAACCTCACATCCTATGCGCTTATCCAATGACGAGAGAGCACGCCTTATAAGGGGTTTCTCCCGTGTGTGCACGCGCACTCTTCAAAACAAACATGGCGGAGAAGGAAAAGCCGCCTCCAGCGCTGCTGCAGACTAAATACATGGATGGATATATTAAATACAGGCAAAACGCCAGAAACAGAGGAACGACAAAAAGTAGGAGCAACATGGTGACCAGCTGCACTCATGTTGGCTTATTACCTTGTTACGCATTACCTTGGCTTAGCTTTGAGAAACAACAACAGACAACACAACATTGAAGCCTTAGCCCAGCCTCAGCCATCCATAAACTCCGGTCAATTATTAGTTCCCCACATGTACAAAATTAAATGACCATATCACCAGAGTTCCCCCGTGAAGTGGTGTTAGCATTAGCGTTCGCTGTTAGCATTAGCGTTAGCTGTTAGCATTAGCCGTCTGTAGTTGTGAATATGATGTGGCTGCTACGAACACTTCTGATCTGTATGAATCGTTTGTTTTTGCCAATAAACATAGTTGCTTGCACTATATATATATATATATGTAGGTCTGCATTTCATTCTTCAATGACTAAGTTTTGCAACTTGCACTCTGTATATTAGTTTTATTGTTATAAAAACAATATCTCTTTACCTCAAATCTAACTTCCGTGACCACTACATACATTTTTATTATTATGTATTGAGAATAAGTAAGAAAAGTCTTGCTGCCTACTACCAAATAAATTATGAGCATGATATAATATAGACATTGTAATAATTTACATGTCTTCATTGCATTCTTTTCTCTGTATCTTTTCCAGTATGGCCTAAATCAATTGGAATGAGGTCTTCAATGTACAAGAGTTCAAAAGCCTCCATAATGCAAGTTAAATAACTATTTAAAAAAAAACAATGCCATAACGACTAGATACTTTTCTGCTGACCTCTTCTTTCTCTAGTATTGACTGGGAAGACAAGACTTTGCTTCCAGAATTAGAAGAATGGCCATTGTCATCTCCTGAGGAAGACTTTACACCCCACATTTGTCATGTAGGTTGTTGTCAATGCATATATGGGACGCAGTGATTATGATAATGATGTTGTGATGTGTGTGTCGTTCATCCCTACAGTTGTGTTGCTGCCCTGAGGTCCAAAATGAATATCGATCATGTTCCAGGAGTCAGTGTTGACAAAACTGTCGCTGAGTTTCTTCAACAATCAAGAGGAGTGAGATAATCACTCGACTCCCAAAACAGCCGATGTAAGTGTCTTTCTCTCACAATGCACAGTCTCTCACAGTCCAAATAAACATGTTCAAGGATCCTGTGGATCAGGGGCCACTCCTGGTGATCAATAAATACTGATGTTGTTGATGATGAATATATCAAAGTCATATTTGAGTAGATAAAACTGATGTCTCTTCTATTATGTTTCAAAGGAAAATCTCTGCCAGAGGAAGACTCCAGTTCCTTCAACCTGGGCCCCTGAAGCGTGGCTGTCTGTGCGTGTGACTGTGTGTGCGTGTGACTGTGTGTGCGTGTGACTGTGTGTGCTTGTGGCTGTGTGTGCTTGTGGCTGTGTGTGCTTGTGGCTGTGTGTGCTTGTGACTGTGTGTGACTGTGTGTGACTGTGTGTGACTGTGTGTGCTTGTGACTGTGTGTGCTTGTGACTGTGTGTGCTTGTGGCTGTGTGTGCGTGGCTGCTTATGAATTATTTTGAGGAAATGTGTTCAAACAAGCTACAACATAAAGATTAACATTTTGTTAGATATCTCTGATAGTGTTCGCTGCAGCAGCGATGGATAAGGACCTGGATAATAACAGTGTTATTCATTTGAGCAAAAAGTGATAACACAAACGTTGCCTTACCATCACTTGTAATTATTTGTCTTAGTAGGGACATTGTGTATATTTTTCTGGCTATAACTTCAAATCTTCTTTTACATAATAAAGTTTCTTAGACTCGTTACAGACTGTATTTGTTTTCCTACTATAAAACAAAGCACATTGAAAGAGGTGAATGTATTTTTTTTTATTTTGAAATAGTACAACTACAAACATATTTCAGAACTGCAGAGTGGACGTGCACCATGGGGGCCGCTGAGGACGTGCACCATGGGGGGCCACTGAGGACGTGCACCATGGGGGCCGCTGAGGAAAGCACGTTTTCAATGTCTGTTGGCACCTTTCACAGACGCATCAGGGAAAGGATCTGGTCATCAGCTTCTCTGGACAGAGGGCGTTCAGTGCTTCCTGAAAGAACCGTTATGACAAATGACTTTATATATTCTGTTACTTGTAGCTTTTCTTTCAAAGTGGTGAGTTTCCTTACAGTGTAATAGTGTAACGTAATTAGTTATGACAGTACTTTTGCGTTTCGGACAAGCTTTACTGGAATTGTTTTTCAGTCCCACATCTCACTGTACAGCTCTGATACACTTTGATTTTGTCTTCATTCTCTGAACAATAAGCACATAATACAGATGTTGATTACATCAATAAATGTATCTTTATTTTGTGACATTGAGAAGGCAGCTTCCAGTGAGATGCAGCTTTACTTTCACATAATACATTACTACAGTGTTGTCTATAAAGAATAGGGGTGCAACGGTTTGAAAAAATCACGGTTCGGTTCGTACCTCGGTTCAGAGGCCACGGTTCGGTTCATTTTTCGGTTCATTTTTCAAAAAAAAAGTGTTGTCTTTTTAATAAACACAGCTCATGTGGACTCGGCACCTGCTCTGACTGCCCCCCCCTGACCTAGAAATGAATTAAGGGGAAGGAAATGGATGGATGGATGGATGGAATATTCCATCCATCCAATTATGTCTATTTAACATCAGAATCAGAATCAGAATCATTTTTTTTTCCCATTTTTTTCCCATAATTAATGAAAAACAACACAAAGTGCAACATAAGAAGGCACTTTATGAGGATATTTACCCTCATATATTACACCACCTTCCTTATTCTCCCAAGGAGGGGGTCCATTCTGGGCCCAGCCTCATTCACTGCATTTATTTAATTTTTGGCATTATCAGTTGTGACTGGGATATTAGTACTGGGCCTTTGTCTTCCATTCCTCCGCAGTACCTGCGCTGTGTGACTGTGTGACTGTCGTAGAGGGGGCGTGTCTTCAGCGCCAGACTTTTCATCTCCCAGTCTGCGGTGATGAAGTGAGCGGTTCCGCTCATGGATCTATTATAGGTTCCGCGGGACGTCCAAGCGTCAGTCGTGAGCGCAGCTGAGGATACGCGGGAGAGTTGACTTTAGCCCGGTCTGACTGTGCGTAAAGGAGCTGCTTAAATGCCGCGACAATAAGCGGTCGTTGAGACGCTTTTTTCACTCATGTCTTTCTTGTGCCACAGTGCTTACACATCGTGACAGTTTTGTCGAATATTAATTATCAGTGTAGTTACAGTGAAGCCAAAATGCTCTCATACTGGGGATTTAAATGACGCAGGGCTTTCAAGCATCTCCGTTCCTCCGCTCGCAATGACCGCGCTGTGTGTGGACTGAACAACGTGCGCACAACTTTTTTTTCATAAATCAAACCGCGGATAACGTCTGTACCGAACCGAAGACGTTGAACCGAACGGATCACGGATCAGTGATGAACCGTTGCACCTCTAATAAAGAACTCCAAATATACAAATTGTGAGGAAAGCAGTAATGTATTACTTTAAATAACCTTCATGTAAAGCTCTGTTGTTGTAATGTATATGCATTACATTCATCTAATACATATGCACTGTACCAGATGTTACAGTGCATAATGTTGAGACACGTCACACTGCAATCTGCAACATTATGTTTATCACAACAGTTATCAGTGTACCAACTATAAAAGCAGTATTATTCTATAAAAGACTGGATTGTTTTTATCTCTTTCTTAGTGATGCTATCCTAGCTAACACCAAGCTGCTTCCAGTGTTATAGCTAGGTTACAACTGAGCTATTCTATGCTAATATTTCACTCCCAGAGTTTGTTGTTAATATACTTACGAGTAGACCTGACGGAGATGAACATGCTGCTGCCATCACCAAGAAGACGATGCGCGTTCATGTGGTGTGACGAGGGGACGGGGGCGGGGCTACTAACTCGCTCAGGCAGAAGAAACTGCCGGAAACGACCAAATCGCTTACTGCTGCTTTAATATTTACGGACTAAATGATTTCTTTGCTAAGATGAAGCAGGTTTTGCATTTGGGCAGACATGACAAACATCATAAGCTTGTGTATGTACAAAAATTAGTTTCGGCTGTGAGGTACAATTTTGAAGCAGCGCTTTTTTATTTCATAGCAAAAGATAAACTAGCAATGTGCATATTCGGGG